CTTTACAAGACAAACAAAAAGTCACGAGCTATATCATGACGAATATGTCACACAAATACAATGAACACTGCATTAGCTAAGATACAGTGAACACTCCTGCATGAATTATTTAGATATTTATTTTTTGGGGTTTAAATTAAAATTCTTTTGAAAATATTATCAATTTAATGCCGATAATAACATATTTGTGGTTGCGTGGAGCGAAGGGAGAAAACTCTATTCTAGAATCCTATTATTTTCCTCAGTTACTGCCAATAATTTATTTCTAAAAAAACTTTTTTTTTTGTTAAAGGGTTTTTCTAAAAAAACTTATTATCTTCAATATTAGATTTGTTCATTGGAAAATCCAAATGGCATGGAAGATTTTGTGGCTTCAGGCGAAACGGTACCCACACGGCCACACGTATGTTTCCAGCCTTCAAGGCGAACAATGCGAAAGAGTTATATCACTGGTCTTCTAGAAAGCATTATAACTTCTACTTTAAATTTTTTAACAATCAATTTTTTCTTTTTCCTACATTTATATACCGAATAATGTTCTAAAAGAATTTCGTATCACGAGAGTCGTTTTGAAGAAGACAAATACAAGATTTTTGTAAAATCGTCTTCAATAAATTAAGGAATCTAGTTTCTTCGACTTGGTGTGGCTTTAGATTTGGTTCATCATGTGTCCTCCTCATCCGTCTAAAAAGACAACACACGGTTTTCCGTCCAACGTTGATCTAATTCAAAGTCACTTCATAGTTTCACATTTTTTTTTTTTTTTTGGATAAAGTAGTTTCATAGTATTATTGAGCACCAATAATGCAAACATCAAATCGAAATAAACGGAAACAAGAGAAAATGAGTTGTATTCTGTGTAATAAATAACTCCTTTTTGTTTTCTTACTATAAAAATAAAAAATAACAATGAAATTATTAAAATCTTTTACAAAAATGAATTTAACTATAAAGACATCAAATGACGATCTTTTGTGTTAATCTTACAAGATGAACTCTGGTCGATTGTATCGTCGAGTTTTTAAAAAGGGAAAGCATTTAAGACAAGGTTGGCTGTTGGGAAATGGTAGGAGTTAGGGATTGGTCAAAATGGAACAGTTTTTTTTAATGTCACAGCCTTACGATTCCTGTTCATGCATGTAGGAAAGTTATATAATTGTCGATCGACCAGCTATCATTATAATCTTATATGGTCATAAAGCTACGTTTACTAAGTGAAGTGACCTAATAAGAAAGGCTCTTACAGCATCGTCACTGCATTTTTACAGTAGAAATGCAAGGAAATGACTATTCGTTAAACTAACAGTACTAGTAAATGATGTTTATAGTTTTTGATACATTTTGAAGTATTGATATTTAATATTTGCGAGCATTAAGAGGTCGTAATGACTACGTCTACGGTGAAGGTCCATGTGTCGCCCTATTGTCGTTCGGATAAGAGAGAAGATAAGTCATCGTATCCACATGGACTTCTTCTAGAACCATTTTATCCACAATAAATTTATTATAACTATTATAAACATGATATCTTGTAGTACGATTTTTAGTGAAGAAAACAAAAAAATATCGTAGATCAAATCTCTCACGGCATTTTTTTCGTTATTTAATGCGTTTACACATATCTAAAACCGCGAATAATTATTTGGAAGAAAAATGGTGTGGTCCATTATATTTGAATGATTTTATTCAGTCTACACAAGATTTTTAAATTTCCTGATTGGGTGGTATATGGAGAAGTGAATTACCATTTTAATGATTTTATTCAGTGTGAATTGTTATAATCCTTGTTAAAATTCCCTAATTAGCTGACATTTAATCCTTGTTATATACTACAGCACACCTCGGCATTTTAATGCGTTTACATATGTCGTTTCTGATTATCCGAGATCCAAATTTATAAATAGTTTTGATAAACTCTTAGTACAATTGTAGTTTGGATTGTTCTTGTCCGCCCATATTTATGAGTAGATTTACTTAGGAAAATTATGTACTAGATGAGAAATGGTTGGAAATTGTATTTTACAGTATGTTTGTCTTTTTGTTCGGAAATATCAAGAATAAAATAAGTGATAACAATAAAAAGGGAGCAAAAGTGATAATAACAAAAAGAAAAGTGATAATTTTGAAATTATCCAAGGACCGTCTTCTTCACTCGTATCTTATCCCCTATAAAAACCTCTGCCACTTCGTCTACCAATCGCATCTTCTTGAGTGTCTCATACAAATCCAATCTATCAAAATCACAAAACCTTCTTTCACACTCTGTTTTAAGAAGCTTCTAGTTCTCGTAACTGATTTTTAGTAATAAGAACGCGAAAAATTATGAGAGTGTCAGGGCAAAATGTTCATAGTCGTCGGGATTTAATCCCGGGATTACCAGAGGAATTAGCGATGGAGTGTTTGGTTAGAGTTCCGTTCGAGTTCCATTCTTCCATAAAATCCGTTTGCCGGTCATGGCGAACCTTAATCTCCGACCGTTCGTTCAACAGGGAACGGCGAAGATATGGAAAAGCTGAATCGCTTCTCTGTCTTGTTCAACCACTGACATCGCCGTCTCTGGTTAATCCACCGATTGAAGGCGAAGTGAGTGAGAAGAAGAAAGAGGAGGAAGGCGAGTCTCACCAGCAGCAGCAGCTGCAGCCGCCGCGTGTTATTGGCACGCCACTTTACGGTTTGAGCGTTTACAACGCAACGCTGGACACGTGGCACCGCGTCGCGATTCCGGAACGCATTCCTCTGTTCTGCGAGTGCGTTGCGCTTCAGGACGCCGGGAAAGTGTTGTTAATCGGCGGCTGGGATCCAGAGACGCTGCAGCCTGTGAGGGACGTGTTTGTGCTGGATTTCCTCGCCGGGGAAGGAAGCGGACGGAGGTGGAGGCGCGGGAAGCCGATGTCTGCGGCGAGATCGTTTTTCGCCTGCGCGTCTGTTGGTTCGACGAAGGTTTACGTCGCCGGAGGTCATGATGATCAGAAGAACGCTCTCCGGTCTGCGGAAGTGTACGATGTGGAGAAGGACGAGTGGTCGACGATTCCTCCGATGGCGGAAGGAAGAGACGAATGTCACGGATTCTCGATGGCGGATCTCGGATTCTGCGTTTTGAGCGGTTACGGGACAGAGACGCAAGGCCAATTCCGATCTGACGCTGAGGTCTACGATCCCATTTCGAATTCGTGGTCTACGATCGAAAACGTATGGCCGTTTCCGGATTTGAGCCCGAGAGGTCGTACAGCGGCTTCTGCTGAATCCGCCGGAGATTTCAGAGGTTGTAGGTTATGGTGTTTCGTTGACAGCGAGCGACAGAGTGAGGCTCGTTGGGAGATTGAGGACGATTCGATGAAATGGAAGGTGGTTATGGAGACGGTTCGGCTTCCGGTGACGACGATGACGTCCATTTTCGCGGGAAGCTTGAGTGGCGAAGCGGTGGCGATGATCGGCGGCGGCGGCGAAGAAAGTGGGACGATGATGAAGAAAAATGGCGGGAAGTGGAGCCACGTCAACACTCCCTCTGGTTTTTCGAGTCTTCCTTTCTCGTATTCTTCAATCTACGTCTGAAGATTCGACTCTTCTATGTGAAAATGAAGTAGAAGAATCAAGAATCTCTCTGTTTTATGACTTGAGTGCACGTTTTTTGTGTGTGTGGGAAATGGGGGAGTTAAATGAAAATTGAACGAAATAGTATATTTTTGCTTAGATACAACATCAAATCTTTAGCATCAATGTAAAAAAAAAAAAATGGTATAGTGAGATTTTAAATTGAGATAATTTAAACGAAGTCGCAACAAAGAAAAACTGGTCAAAGTAATTGCCACTCATCTTCATGTTCCTCACCAGAGATCTCTGTAGATGTCACTGTGCTGGTTGCTGCAATCCTATGAGATTGAGTCACCGTGAACAATGGAGCTCCGTTGGAATCTCCGGCTAGCTTCGTTGCTCGGGTACAAAAATCATCAAAATCATCTGTTACATAGATAGACGAGCGATGTCAATATGACATTTTCACGAAATCGTTACCTAAATGAGATTTAACTTTGTCATCCAGTTACATATAATACCTTTGTCCCTACAATGAAATCCAAGAGCTAGTGAGGGGTCAAGTGACTCCAACGGAACGTAACGGAGATTACTGTAGCAAGATTAGCAGGAGCAACTAATAAGTGAGAATCATGTGGAGACAAAGAACTAAATGATGCAAAGAAAGATCAACCCACTCACTTGCAATGATAAGACGATGTGTCAACATCTTGATTTTCTTTGCTGACTGTCACAACCTACCAACCATTACCGATAAGGCTCAATCAGTGAGACGGCCATAAGAGGTGAAGCACATGGACTGATTAATATTCAGTCCCCAAGCCAATTTAACAATAGATATATGACTGTTGATGGAGACAATATAAGCAAATATGGACCACCATGTCTCAAACTTCAAATCAAAGCATGCCAGATCATATGTTTTGAGTTACTGGATTTGATTGATCTTTTTTCTAAATTAAGGATTTATGAAGAAGAAAACCTGTTGAACATCATGCGGATCAAGGTAGAAACCTTTGTCTTCTTGAACTCCAACTATGTAAGTTGATGCACCCGGTTTGCCTCCCAAAATGCCAAGGCTTTGAGGGAAAGTGAAAGTGCCTATCAGAGATGGAATGTACCTGACAACAAATTTAGAAACTTCTTCTTTCAGAAAGATTTCAAAAATTTGCATAGCCAAATTCGATAATATGTCACTCATACACTAATTCCACTACCACCTAGCAATCAATTTGATAGAATCAAACAAACCTCGGATTCACTTTGTCAAGTCCAAGAACGAGCGGGACTAAGAGAAGAACTGGCGTCCACTCAGTTTCTCCTTGTGAATATTCCAAGCAAGATTTCAGGACATCTTCTATACAGAGAATTGGAGCTCCGCCTCTCTCTCCATCTTCGCTGCCAGAAACGATATGAACAGCCATGGAACACGAATGATGTTTAACATCAGTTTCTTCTCTCTTCTTCCGAACTAACGATTCCCATGATCGACAAACAGCATATGGTCCTACCCATGACCCAGCAGCCAGGCCATAAGATTCTCCAGCTACTATAAGGTTATGAATTGAGAATGCTGAAGCCACAGAATCACCAAAAGTTTCTAAGATCTCTAAGTATTCCCCTTCAGGCGTCTGCAATTTCCAAACCAAACAAGCTCATTTTAAATGGCCTAGACTCATTATTAACCAGATTTATGTTCCTAGTAACTAAGACAGAGATTGGATAACACAACTGACCTCAGATCCCTTTTTCCTCCAAGACCTTCCCAGCTTTTGAAATAGCAATGCCTGTGCGAAGAGCATCTGGCTGCTTCGAAGCATGCAACCCCAGTTTACATCACTAGTAAAAGTTGTGTCTCCAATAGGCTCAAAACCTGTAGAATAACAAACACTGTGAGTTTTTGGTGACCACTTACAGTCTAGCTTTGAGCTGAAGTACAAAAATATACAAACCTCTACGATAAGTCATTAGTAGTAAGGAAGAAAAATCTTGTGTGAAAGCAGCCAACACACTGCCAGCATTTGCTTCTTCTGAGGATTCACTTTCTGAGATCTTATAACAGACACCGAGGAGCCATATCTCACTTGTACTGCTTGGAACACCGGTCCTACTCGGCCCTAAGACACGATCTTGAAATCTCCTAATTGCTCCACTAGCCATAGAAGCTGTTTTCAGAATCACTGTCCAACCATTATGTGGCTTATCCTCGGATGTTGAAGCCTCACTACACACACTCGGGGATAACGTTAACTTTGACTCGTTACCCCTAGATGCTGAATCTGAAACTAGAGATGTTGGGGATTTATCACGTTTTTCATCAGCGCTTGATGATGATGAACAGTTTGAAGGAAGAAATCTATCACATATAGCCTTCATTACCTAGACATCAAGCACCAAAATGCAACAGGTCCGTCCAAAGAATCTACCTTTGTCTGCAATAAGAAAGCATAAGAGTCAAAAAGATATCACTTAGCTCTATGAACCGGTTCTCAAAATTAGCTAAAGCACACACATTTAATTTTAGAGATGTAAAAACTAAAAACAAACTAAAACCCCAAAGGTTCAGGGATTAGCTAATCAATAATCATAAACCAACAAAGTTCAACAGCTTTACATCAGCCCAAAAACGTAATCCCTTAGTTATTTTCTCACTCTTACAAGATGTGCCTACAACTTCTCTTTACACTTTATGAGTCAAAGATTTACACAATTATGAATCCGATACAGAGAATCTCCAAATTGATCAAATTCACAACACTAATAGAAATACGAGACCAAATCATGAAACAGATTAAAAACGTCTAACGCATTTTCCCCTCGCGGATCTACAGTAATCACAATTGCTCAATCAGTCAACTATAAATTTGCCAACTCCTTCCTCGTAAATTCCAAACAAAAAAGAAAGAGTAGGAGCTCGATTAACCAGAAAACAAAGGCACACAGTTTCATCATAGTCCAATCCGGAGAACGAACTTTTAAATTTCTAGCAGAAGAGAAAGATGGATCACCTGATAAAAACCAATCGAATCGTTCAGTCTGACTAGATACGACGGAGATAAGACCTCCGGCGACGACGCTGAGAACGGGAATTGAAATGAGAAGAAGGGAAGTTTGAATTGGAGAAGATCGATTTCGTGTTACCACAAGAAAGAAAAAAAAGGTTCGTGTTCTCTCTCTCTCACCTTTATTTTACGTAATTATCTTTGGCTTCGAATTTGGATGATACAATCAGATTAAACAAATAATTAAACAGTGCATTACCATAATCTCTGGGTTTGATATACATACATTAAAATATACACAATCCTTTTACACGAAATTTAAAAAACAATTAACCCCCAATGATAATCTCTGGGAATAAATGTGGACGCGACTACTAATTACGTAATTAGTTTGGATCCACTTTGGTCCACCACTAAAGCCCATTTTTGTCCGAATGGGCTTGCATCACTCGGTACAATTACTGTTTTACCCTTTGAGGCCGGTATAAGCCGTTGTTCGTTGTAGTTCAAAAAACAAAATCATCAGAAGGAAACCAACAAGTTAAAACTGCCGCTCTTTCGTCTTCGAATCTTTTCACCCTGTGTTGATCGCATCGCATTCACCATTGTTTCATCATTCTCTTCATTTTCAATTTGATTAGGTTTTTTTTTAAGTTCCTCGATCGTTTGTTGATTGTTCCTTATCTTTCCATTGCGTAGCTTCACCGTACTTTGCTATCTCAATCAAATTGGAGAGACTATCATTCGAATTTCTCCCATCAATCACCATGCCCGAACCCAAGAAGGTATGTTCGATTCTTGTTGATTATCTCTCCGTTTTTCGGATCACATTTAGTTTCCTCTGTTTTTTTCTTCTCAGGGCTCCGATCGGAATCAAATCCGGAAACCGTCGTCAAAGCAAATTGAGCCAGATCGGTTGAATAAGGAGAAACCTATCTTCATAAAGCGCAGTATCATTTTTTTTTCTGTTACTGATTGCAATTTTTTGGTTGTACTTTCCATTTACACCTTTGGATTTTTTATTTGTTTTCGCATTAATTATCATGGTTTTAAAGATATATACGTGACCAACAAATCCAAAAAGAGGGTTAAAGATCATGGCATTTTCTGTTCTTGTTCTTCTTCTCCCAATTCTTCAACTATCTGTGGTAGTGATTGCAATTGTGGGTAAGTTCCATATCTGTCTTTTATCTGTTGCTTTCTTGGCTCAGATTTGATTTTGATTGTTGGTTCATTTTAGGATTCTACTCTCAAGTTGTTCATCAAGCTGTAAGTGCGGAGGTGAGTGCACCAACAAGCCGTTCCAACAAAGGCATATCAAGAAGATGAAGTTGGTTAAGGTTTGTAGATTACACAAGCTTGCTTGCGAAGAAAGCCTTCTCAGTGAGAGTTTAATTTAATAAAGTTGTTGCTTGTAGACAGAGAAATGTGGACATGGGATTGTCGCAGATGAAGATATCAATCAAGGAGACTTCATCATTGAGTATGTTGGGGAAGGTGATGTGATTACTCCGGTGTTTTTTTCCTCACTATTGTGCTTACCCTGTTCTTGTTAAACTCAAAACGTTTTTATTTGTGTAGTGATTGACGAAAAGATTTGTGAAGAAAGGCTTTGCAAGTTGAAGCAACGGGAGACAAATTTTTATCTGTGTCAGATAAACTGGAATATGGTGATTGATGCTACTTACAAGGGGAATAAATCGAGATACTTCAATCATAGCTGCAACCCTAATACAGAGATGCAGAAATGGTTTTTGCTAAACAACTTATTCTCACTTTCCTTTTGTTCCAAGCAACTTACTTACATGACATCTTTGTTACCATTAGGATAATTGATGGAGAGACAAGAATCGGCATCTTTGCTAGTCGTTTTATAAACAGAGGAGAGCAGTTAACCTACGATTACCAGTAAGAACATTTCATTTGATAAACTACTTAATAATTAATAATGTTTTAGATGTGAGACTAAGGCAATATTGCAGGTTTGTTCAGTATGGTGCAGATCAAGATTGCTACTGTGGTGCGGAATGTTGCAGAAAAAAGCTTGGCGCAAAACCTCAAAAAGCTGTGAGCCTAAAAGCATGTAAAAGAGTGACATGGAAACCTCCCAAGGTAAAACTGAATTTTAAACCTATCTGAAAAATATAAGCTTACATAGATGGTATTGGTTAATCATTTTTAGTTCATGTCTCATGATCTAATTTCGACCTTGGTGTTGCTTTTTATTTAAAAGCAGTCCAACTATATAATCATCTCGTGATTTCAAACATTTGGTTAGGGAAAAGTGACTGGAGGTAGACGCGCCGCCGGTTAGTATCAGTTATTTGGCTCTGTTTACGACAAGCTTCACAATTCAGATGTAGGAGTAGGAAGATAAGAAAATAATTCGGATATGCGTCAGGAAAGCTTTGGAACAATCGTGGCCAAAGGAAAATAGGTCGCCGGAACTGCATCGGTGTGGTGATCTGGTTAGCACGTCCGATGAACCATAGGTACAACAAACAACTATCTTTCATTATTCTTTCTTTTACATCAAAGAACAATGTTTAAGAGTTTCTATTGCAAGGCTCAGATGGATTTGACGTTTACAGGTGTTTTTGTATCATTCGAAAATTCGATGAGTTTTCAAGACAACACTTGGTAATCCACTTTGACTTGATCTCAAACTCTGTTGTTCACATTCTATCTATCTCATGTTACGAAGTGTAGTTATAAAAAATGAAATTTTTTACAGGTCACGTACGAGGATGGTGTTACCGAGTTTATCGACATGTCCAGAGAAATTTGGAAGATTGTAGCTGTTTGATTTTTGTTTCCTGATTTCTCATTCCATACCTTTTGTTTTCATTTGAATTTGTGGAAAACCGTTGTTAACCGGGCGGTCTGTGCTATGTGATGTAGTCTTTGTTGCTGTAACAAACTCGAATATACAAAACCAATCAAATTACGATTTTGTTGTTACATTAAAATAATCTGTAGACTTTTGGTTTTAAGCTGTAACAAAACCGTTATTCTCTCTGTTTTCTAAACGATTTCCACAAGAAGATCGAAGTATATCAAATTCGATATATCGAAATAAGAAGTATTTCTCTATAATTAGTAAGATATTTTTATAATGTAATAATATCGACATCAAAACATTAAAATATTCTTCATTATTGAAAAAGTAAAAGTAGGGAAAGTACTATAGGTCGACTTTTCTTTTCTTTAATTGACATTTTCCCTTCTTTTCTTTATTTAACCGTCAGTCTCTTGATGTTAGAGGTTTTGGGCACGGATAGAGAAATCCCTACCCTCTCTGAAACGGAGACTCAAATTCATCTTTAGCCTTCTCCATCATCAGTTCGACCTCTGCTACTGCTTCGTCTCTAGACTCAAAGTCGGATGAAAGGTTGGAGCTTTAGTTTCTAAACCCTCTTTTAGTTTTGTTTTTATGGAACATCGTTGTCCGTTGATGTGGAACTTCTCTCTGGTATCTGGTTTTCCATATAGACCTCTGGTTCTCTTAAAATAGCTCAAAGTGTTGTTCTTTTGCGAGCTTCCACTCTAGGTTGATGAAACTGTTGTAGTTTAGCCACTAATCGTCTTTCTCTAGCTCAGAATCTTCCATTAGTTCTGTTAATCTAGAAAAAGCTTGAACCTTAAGCTTCTTTAGCTTTAGTTTCTAAACTTTCTCTGGTTGTTTGTAGAATTTAGAGAATTGTTGAATCACTCTGAGCTCACTTCGTGTTTCAGGCGCTTTTACGGAAAAGGTTGGTTCCGTCTCTACGGATGCCAAGAAGTTAGACACTGGCTCAAGGGATGCAATCAGCTCGCTCCCTCGAGAGGTTCTTGGGGACATCTTGTCCTTAGTTCCCACCAAACTGGCTGTTTCAACATCTGTTCTATCGAAAAAGTGGAGGGACATGTTTGCATTTGCGCATCATCTGGATTTCGATGATTCTGACTTTCTGCAACCGGAAGAGGGTAAAGAAGAGAGAGATGAGATCCGGGAGAGCTTCAGGACTTTTGTGGACAGAACACTCGCTGTGCAGTGCGGTTCTCCTATCAACAAGTTCTCTCTAAAATGTCACGTTCTCGATGACAGCGATATGGCTCATGTGAGCCGCTGGATCTGTAATGCCGTACAGCGTGGTGTTTCGGAAGTGGACCTAAGCTTGAACGCTCGCGTTGAAGTCTATCTGCCTGCTAAGCTCTTCACGAGCAAGAAGCTGGTTAAGCTAACACTTGGAACACAAGTTTCTCTTGGGAAGATTCCAACAGATGTGTCTCTTCCAGCGCTAAAGAGTCTCTCCATCGATTCAGTCTTTTTCACTATATATGATCTGAGTGATGTGCTTCTTCCTGCTTGTCCAGTGCTCGAGGAGTTGTCTATACTTCACGGGGATTTTGAAGGACACCCATACTGCATATCGAGTCGGAGCATCAAGAAACTATCAGTTCGCTACTATTGTGAGTTTTACCTTCGTGTTATGACTGGAATGTCATTTGACACCCCAAGTCTCGTGTCCCTGGACTACTCCGATCATGCCATGTCTGTGTACACACCACTTAACTTGGAGTCCCTAGTCGAAGCTAGGCTGGATATTTGTTATTCTCCAAAGAGAGAGCCAGATGTATCGGCTCTCCTTATAGGGATGAGCAACGTGGAGACCCTGCATCTCTCTCCCGCTTCTGCTGATGTAAGTTTCTACAGTTCTGTTTGTTTTGTGTTTTTTTTTGTTTCCTTGAGAAGACTCATAAAGAGCTTGGACATTCTTGAAGCATGTGTATGTGTGTGTGTGTGTTTCAGGTGATTTCTCGATGTGTTAATCAAGGGCTTACTCTACCGGTGTTCAACAATCTGGTTAACTTGTCTTTTGGGAGTGACAGTGAGCGAGGTTTGAAACTGCTGCTGCCATATCTGCTTAAGCAGTCTCCAAAGCTTGAAACTCTAATCATCCAGGTATGTATAGTTTATCTATGGAGATTAGAGAGAGAGGGAGGCACTGTTTTAGTGATCGATCAGTTTCTTACATGCATCTTCTTGATCTTGATTGATGCTTGTCCAGGGTCTGGATGTTGGTTACACAGGAGATGTTGTTAAGTCTATTGGTCCGTCGAAAGTGAAAGTGTTGCATGTTCTTGGCTTTGGAGGAACTGCTAAAGAGTGGGAACACGTGAAGAGAAAACTCTAGTTTCCTGTAAATGGTTTAGTTAACACTTGGTATCCACTTTAATCTCAAACTCTGTTGCTCACTTCTATCTCATTTTACGAACTTTTATTAAAAATCAGTTTGATGATCTTTGGATTTGTCAAGGTCACGTACGAAAATGGTGTTCCCGAGTTTATCCATTTGTCCAAATTTAAGGAGAAATTTCTTTTTAATAAAAAAAAATTTCCATGCATTTAGCACAATAAAAAACTGGATCATTTTTTTAGAGAAAGTATTTGGGGTAGAATAAATTGTGAACTAAATTTGGTAAATTTAATTACTTTGATAAAATTTAAATTTATTAAATTCAAAACAGATGTGTAAACATTATCAATCTTAATAAATAGTTTACAGTCACCACCAAACTTGTTGGATCTCTTTCATTTAGCGATCAGTATAAATAAGTGAGTAAACCAACTAAGCGAGACCTCTTTGCCTCTCCACCACTTCTCTTCCCACATAAATCCATTTCGAAATCTGGTTTTTGAGCTCATTGAGGAGGATGAAGGTGGTGGATAAGATCAAATCGGTGATCAAGGAAGGCAAAACGGCCTTCTCCTTTGAGTTTTTCCCGCCGAAGACGGAGGAAGGCGTCGAGAATCTCTTCGAACGGATCGATCGGCTGGTCTCTTATGGACCAACCTTCTGCGACATCACCTGGGGTGCCGGAGGTACCACCGCCGATCTCACGCTCGAGATCGCTTCTGAGATGCAGAATGTCATCTGCGTCGAGACTATGATGCATCTCACTTGTACCAACATGCCTGTCGAGAAGATCGATCACGCGCTCGAGACTATTAGATCCAATGGGATTCAGAATGTGCTTGCCCTTAGAGGAGATCCGCCTCATGGGCAGGAGAAATTCGTCCAGGTCGAAGGAGGGTTTGATTGTGCTTTGGATCTGGTGAATCACATTCGAAGCAAGTATGGAGATTACTTTGGAATCACTGTCGCTGGTTATCCTGGTATCAAATTGCCCCTTTTGTTTCCAATTTCATCATTGGTTTTGTAAATTTCTTGTGTTAGTATCGTTCTGATTTGATTTTGATCTATAGAGGCTCATCCGGATGTTATTGAAGCTAATGGCCTTGCGACTCCTGAATCTTATCAGAGTGATCTTGCTTATCTGAAGAAAAAGGTTTTAGATTGTTTTGTTCATGGCTTTGCATGAATTGAGTCCTTTTTTTTATCTGATGGATTAGTGTGTTGGCTCGTGGAACAGGTTGACGCTGGAGCAGATTTGATTGTGACTCAGCTTTTCTATGATACTGACATATTCCTCAAATTTCTGAATGACTGTCGACAAATCGGGATTAATTGTCCCATTGTTCCTGGAATTATGCCAATTTCCAACTACAAGGGTTTAGCGTATGGCTGGTTTCTGCAAAACCAAGGTACATTGTGATGATGTGGCTTGTACTGTTAGAAAAATGTTGTCTTTGTGCTTAAAATTCTTAAGATTAGATTGTGTTTACTGCTTCTCTGTGGTTGCTTATTGATTAGGCTGACATATTTAGACCCTTAGTGATGCCTTAAGACTAGTGTATTTTGATTTGGATATCATTCTTCTTCGGTTAATATTCAACGGATGCAATTTATTGCTGTAGATACCTGCTGAGCTCACTGCTGCCTTGGAGCCTATTAAAGACAATGAAGAAGCTGTTAAAGCCTTTGGTATACACTTTGCAACAGAAATGTGCAAAAAGATTTTGGCTCATGGAATCACTACCCTTCATCTTTACACGTTGAATGTGGACAAATCAGCTACTGCGATATTGATGGTTGTTCCTCATTTCATTCTTAGTTTTGTTTTTTGTAGCATATTTATTAACACATAGAGAACCTAACGATGGTGCTGAAATTCCAGAACCTTGGTCTGATTGATGAGTCAAAAGTCTATCGTTCTTTACCTTGGAGACGCCCTGCAAATGTTTTCCGTACTAAGGAAGATGTTCGCCCCATTTTCTGGTATAACTTGCATTATGCGTCTCTTGCTCTGATCTTAAACTTCTATTTGCAGGAGAGAATAATAACATTGGTTTCTTTCTGAATCATTGCAGGGCAAACCGTCCAAAGAGCTACATATCTAGAACAAAGGCCTGGAATGACTTCCCACAGGAACGGTGGGGTGATTCACGCAGTGCATCGTATGGTACACTTTCCGATTATCAGGTACCTCAGATTCATTAGTTTTTCTGACAATCCGCTCTAGGACATACTAACTTGAATTCTGAAGGGATCTTTTTAGTTGCTCTTCTTTATTTGCTCAAGATTGTACCCGCATATTGTTATCTTCCACTACCATTATAAGGAGATGCTTGCTTTGATTTCCATCTTCTTCTGTGTCTTTCATTGCCAATGAGTGCAACTGATCTAGCTGCATTTGTTGATAGTTCATGCGCAAACGATCACGTGACAAGAAGCTTCAGCAAGAATGGGTTGTCCCATTGAAAAGCATTCAAGATGTTCAAGAGGTAGCCTTTCCGTCGCTAAACACGCATAGATATTGTTTCCTTCTCCTTTTTCACGTTCTTATACACAGACACTTACAAACAATCTTGTTACACACTGTCACAAACCAGAAATTCAAGGAGCTCTGCCTTGGAAGCTTAAAGAGCAGTCCATGGTCTGAGTTAAATGGACTCCAGCCAGAGACAAAGATTATAAACGAGCAACTCGGCAAAATCAACTCCAGCGGCTTCTTGACCATCAATAGCCAACCATCTGTCAACGCAGCCAAATCTGATTCCCCAGCTATTGGTAACGAAATTCATATCTTTGATCACATATCATACTTAGCTTATAATATGTAACATAAATGTTTAATTACAATTGAAAACTTTGCAGGATGGGGTGGTCCTGGAGGTTACGTCTACCAGAAAGCTTATCTAGAGTTCTTCTGCTCAATGGATAAGTTAGACACGCTTGTGGAGAAATCCAAAGCTTTTCCTTCTATCACCTACATGGCTGTGAACAAAGCAGAGAATTGGGTATCAAACATGGGTCAATCCGATGTGAATGCAGTTACTTGGGGAGTGTTCCCATCAAGGAGATTCTTCAACCGACAATCGTTGATCCAGCCAGTTTCAAAGTCTGGAAAGACGAAGCATTTGAGATTTGGTCTAGAGGCTGGGCTAACTTGTACCCAGAAGATGACTCTTCTAGAAAGTTGCTCGAGGAGGTACAAAATCTTCTTTTAATCCCCTTCTCTTCTTTTCTCAGACCAGATTGGTTAGTTAAGCTGTTGTAATGATGATAGAATCTAATCGAATGTTGCAGGTGAAGAACAGCTACTATTTGGTAAGCTTAGTGGACAACGATTACATCAATGGTGATATCTTCTCTTCTCTGTCTTAGCTTGATCTCTGAGAAAACCACCAAAGTGAACAGTTTCCCGATTTGTTTTTGTAACCTTTCTTAAGATATTTGTGATTCTTTAATAACCTTATTCATCGTAAATCAACAACAAAAAAACATCAATTTCATTGCAAATGAAAAAATCCGCACTAGCGCATTTGTTCTTTCTCTTTGTCAAAAATTAAGAAATGTTGGCATTTCTTAAAGTTTTGGAAGTAACAAGACCAGAAGACGTCCGCATCAAGTGCTCCTTGAGCATCGAAACTCCAGAAGCATCAGTCTTCAAATGCGGTTGCACCGATTCCCAAATCTTCTTCTTGCCAACCTGCAAACCAAAACATACACAGCTTGAAAAAAAAATGTCAATGGACCAAGATGATCAAGTATTTGCATGCTAAGTAAGACCTTATTAGGAGGTGCTGGCTCAGGAAGCTGCTCCAGATCTTCTTCGTTACCAAACCAAACTCTGTCTCCAGGAACAGAGCCTTCTGGTGGAACCAAAGGCTCAACATTCTCATGAGCCGAGTCAGACGCACACAGAAGCATTCCACATGACTTGACTCCTCTCATGTTTCTTGGCTTCAGATTAGCCAGCACCACAACTGATGCACCCTGCACAGAGCCAAAGTCTCGAAATTTGAGCCATTTCTCAATCTAATTGGTAAAGTTCCGTATGCTCACACAATCCAACTATGAAGCTGACCTGGAGGAGATCGAGAGGGACGTATTTGACGAGACCACTGCAGATGATTCTAGGCTCAGCTTCGCCGACGTCTATTTCTTCCACATAGAGAGAATCAGCTTCCTCGTGTTGCCAAGCTTTCACAATTCGTCCTACTTTTATGTCTAACAGATTCGCCGTCTCCTTCACATTCTCCTCCTTAACCTCCTGGGACGATTCGGTCTTCTTCTCCGATTCCTCCGCTGAAACCGTCGTACCTGCATCGGGAGCCGCCGAGCAGAAAGTAGTAACTCGAGGCCAAGAGCTTCGATGACGCTGATAATGGTTGTAAACCGCGGAGACTCGAAGAGATGACGAAATTGTCGCTACCGAAGAAGAGAAGTACCGAGGGAGTTCGCGGCGGAGAGGAATCGATGAGAATTGGACGGCGAGAACTCCAGCCTTCACTTTCAGACCACCGGAGAAAACAGCTATCGTCGCCGCCATTGTTTTTAGCTAAGATTTAGCGTTTCTCTCTTCTTCACCATATCCGTTTCTCTATATATATATATATTTGTTTGTTTTCTCAGTCTATGATTTGACTTCAGGAATGTAAACAGAAATTTATTATTTTTCGCAAAGCAAGAAGCTTTAACAAATACTCTGCATATCTTATCTTCTTCAATAGAGAGAATACTAGTATGATTGATCCAGAGCAAATTCATGTTTTAACAGGCACTGAAGCTTTATAAAAGGATTCGAAGCTGTGTCAACAATGAGAAGAAAAGGAAACAAGCAAGTGTACAATCTCGAGAACAGTTTCTGAGATAAAACGGAAACAGAGCAAAAACAGAGTATCTGAATCAATAGTCGTCTCCCTTGGAAACAACTTCTTTGCAAGTAGGTCGCAGTAAAATGGTGTGCTCAAACTGCGATACATAGCTTCCCTTCACATCACACAGAGGAGGGTACGGCTGAAACAAAACAGAGACAAACAAAAAAGATTAAGCCTTTTAACTCCAGAGCATTACATGAATGATCGTTTTAGACTGTAGTGTGAGAAGGGTTTTACCTGAACAATGCCAGCGTCGCAGAGATTCTTGAGAGCCATCAGATATTTGGTTTCACCAATGCGGTCCAAATAGCGTCTGCAGAAGGCAAGAGTCGAGAAATTCTTGTTAATGGTGGCAAGAAGTTGCTTTGCTCTAGGCAACCTCAAAGGGATATGGCCAGCGTCGAAATTCTTCATGTAGTGGCTGCATTCCAAGTCTTCTCTCACATATCCCTTCCCTGCAATACACAGACAGAGAGAATCAAACATTAGAGAATCTCAAAGATGCAGTTGCCTTTTCTCTTAATAGATGATTGAATGTCCAAACTTCTTTACCGGTTGATCCAAATGTTTCAATGGCATAAAATTCGCCTTCTTCCATCTTTGTCTGCTCGCCTCCTTTAACGATAGGGACGGATTTACCAGCGTGTATCTGATAAGGTCCAATGCTATGCCCATTCAAGTTTCGGATACTCTTAACTGCCAAAAGGATAAAACATGTTAAAGGTTTCACACCTTGAAACAGCCACTAATGTAACAGAGGTAATCAGATTCTACCTTGGAAGACTTTTCCATTGATTTCAACCTCATAAGACTCCATGACCTCCTGAATTGCAGCACCGATATCACAGAGACGGACATCGATACCAGCTTCCTGAACCAGCCCAAAAAATCCACAAAGTTAAAAATAATACTCAATGGTTCCTAAGAAGCCAAAGCCTAAGATAAATCACTTCCACACAGAGTTTATTTGAGCTTAGAAGAACAAAAGGTTTAAGACAACAGGTGAGTAGAATAAAGTATTACACAATTGATTCATTAGCTGTACATTCATAACGCAGAGGATATTAACAATAAGAGCAATCAGTACCTTGATACCGGTATAAGTAGCTTCACGGGAGGCTGCTAAGAGAGGATCAAACATAGGATTGAATGCAACTGTAAATGCACAGTCAATAATATGCCCTGCAAAAGAAGAAGAGATGCTAGTTTATCAGACATTTGTACAGAGGAAAAACAACAACAATAAAAAAAAAGAAAAGAAGAAATTCACAGTCATTACCATCAATGTGTGTTCCAAAATCCAATTTCATAACATCATCGTACTGAAGTACAGTCTTATCTCCGGAGTTGGGGGTCCAATGAGCAGCAACCCTGAAAGTTAAAAAAAAAACAAAACAAAAAAAAAGCCATTAGAGAAACATGACTAAAGAAGACGAAGAGAAAATTGTTGATAGAAAGAGAAAGAAGATGGCAAATTTATAACCAACCAATTCAAAGAGCATCCTGTTGGGAATGCAATACCAGCTTGAAGACCGTTCTCCTGTATCAGCTTACGAACAGTATCCTCCAGAGTCTCACATATATCAGTCATCAACATTCCAGGCTTCACTACGCTTCTGACATATTTCCGAACCTGAAAAATTAGCACCATACAAAATCTCAGGCGGATGTATAAAAAAACGCCAGAAAACTATAATCAGTGGAACATTTCATTGTAAAAAAGAGAGTAAACCTGGCGATGAACTTCTGCAGCCTGGCGTACAGAGTTATACATCGGCTTCTCTAGACGCTCCAACTCTCTCTTCTCTTCAGATGTTGTTCTCCATAAATTGCTACATTACAGAGATCAAGACAAAAACCTTAAACAAATAGTCTTGACATCAAAAAGACTGCAAATCCAACCAGTTCAAGAGAATACAAATCCACAAAACGTATGTCTATAGCATAGTATATACATATGAAAGATTATCCCTAGACGCTGTCCAAGGCAGTAAAAAGAGTTAAATGAAACTTACTCATCCTTATACTGTTGGATTTCACCTTCAGGAAACTCTCCAGATGGGAAGAGCTGAGCGACAGGAATCGAAGGTGGATCAGTCTGTTGAGGCAGTTCCTTCTTCTTCCTGCAGCATAATCGAAACTTATCCTTAAAGCAACCACCAAAATTGACAACATAGAAGAAACGAAAGAGAAAGAAAGAAAACATTCTCTTACTTGCTTTTATTTTTCTTCTTCTTCTTCTTCGTTGAAGCCTCAGCTAACAAGAGAAAGAAAGAAAAAAAGGATTATATTAATCAACCATACAGTACAGACATAAACTCGTCGATTCTCAGAAACAAAGGATCAAATCTAAAAACTTTCAAATCCCAAGACCAATTCAAAGACTAATCACTGAAAGCTAGTTCCTTTGACGAAGATAAACTTAACATTTACACAACTCCAAATTTCCACAATCTACTAATCAATAACACAGAAAGGTAGCAAAAAATATTCATTTTCTACCTACTGGGTAAATGAATTAGAGAATCGGAAGCTCAAAACCATGTGATCAATCAGAACACCAAAAAAAAAAAAAATCAATTAATTCACCTTTGCTTCCTTCTTCTTCGTCGTTCTCCTCTTTTCCATCTTCATTCACGTCTGTAATCTCAAGCTTCTTCGAAAGCTCGGATTCCAATTGTTCCCCTTTTCCGTTGGAAGATTCGGCGCCGCCATTATTCACCACGGGAGCTACAGCAACATCAGGGTTCTCGCTCGCCATCTTCAATTTGTTTGATCACCTTAATAACAACGCACTTAATCGTAAAACGAACTCGATGATGAATCGCAGAAAGCAATACAGACGAAGAAGAAAGTAGACAAGTTACAAACTGTCTCGCACCTCCGACACTTTTCTTCGTCTTTCGTTTGTGGAAGCCCTCGAGATGTTTTGCGAATTTGCAAAAATCGGACAACTTTATTATCTTGTTTGCAATAACAACCTCCCAAATCAAAATTCACAGTTCCGCTCCTTATTGGGCCTTACCGACATCTGTACATGGGCCGGTTTAGCTTTTTATGTACAGCATTGCATTTGTCTATTCGAAATAGTTCTCTATGCTTAAATTTTGGTCATAACCAGGCAAGCAGTGTATAAATTATGAATTTTCTTCAGTCAACAAACGTGAAAAACGAGAAAAACAATGACTGGTGGGGAAATTTCAAAACTACACCTTTTGAAATGCAAATTTTCAAAAATACACCTCTATGGTGCCAATTTTCAAAACTACACTTTTTCATTTAGTAAAATAACTCTAAACCATAAAATATAAATCCAAAACCCTAAAATCTAACATTGAACCCTTAAATCTAAACCCTAAACCCCAAAATCTAAACCCTAATATAGGATTAGTGAACCCAAACATATATATTAAAATTGAGAAAAGGTGTATTTTTGAAAATTTCCACACTATAGGTGTAGTTTTGAAAATTTGCACCTCAAAAGGTGTATTTCATAAAATTTCTCAGGTTGATGAAATTTGAGTTTTGATAAGAATACGATAATTGGGGCAAATCAATTATTCAACTACTTGATTATTTTGGCATCTATGAACATAAACTAAAGCCAAGTTGGAAACGAAGCTCATGAAAAAGATGGTAATTCATAATGATCAAGGTTTTAAAATACAGACTAGATCCTGACCCCTGCTTCTAATTCACAATGATCAAGGTTTTAAAATACAGACTAGATCCTGATTCCTGCTTCGGAAGCACGGGTTGTTGCAATTTCTGTTGAGTTTATTTACATAATTAACTTAATAATTGGCTTGAGAAGCACGAGATGTTATAATTTTTGAAGATTTTAGTTTTTTGAGTTACACAGTTATTCGGTGTTAATTTTAGTTTAGATTAAATAAATGATTGAATCAATAATAAGACGAAAAGTGATAAAATAAGTGGTAAATATTTGGATTGTAATAATTCTTCTCGAGTATGCCCTAAAACGGATAAGTTCATTTCGCATGTTTTCTATCCATAAAATTAACATCAGCATTTGTGGCATCCACACCGTTTGTTTAACATCTTGCGCAAGACGAAAAGTCGCACAACTTGGGGGAATGAGAGAAATCAAATCCCAATTCGATTCGATATCTAGTCTTTTGATATGAAATTAATTTGGCGAATCCATCGAATCAGCTGTTTCATTAATAAACAATAATTTTTCATCAAATAATTTAATATGTAGTTCTGTACAATTAAAATGAAAAAAGAAAAGAAAAAGAAACTTATAATAAGTCTAGTAAGTCTCCTTGACCACTTAAAATAATATATTCTCAATTTGATATCATATAAATTTTTGTTTGTAAATCCAATATTTACTTCTTTCCTTTCATTTATAAATTTGTCTATGAGACATATATTAAAGTCAATATTACAAATTTTTACCTTTATCGGTCATGTTCTTTCTTTATGTTTTTCCGAAAAGACCCGGATCTAAAAGAATGTTGCGCTAACCCGTGATGTTACTAACCTTTGAGTTAGTTAAATTTGTGAATATTAGATTTCTAAGATTATATATTGTTTTGACATTTTTTATTAAAGAGATCTAAATCGTCTCCATTGGCATTATTTTTTGTGTTAGTGTAAAGCTCATTTTTAAAAAAGAAAAATTGGTAATTTAGGTCAAGAAAATGATACTCTTGTTTGTAGATCCTTTTTTTTTTCTCTTCATTTTTAAATTTGTTCATGAGACATGTTAAAGTCAAATCACAAATTTTCAATTTTTGATTAGATCCATCTTTTTTTCTCATATGAGACATATCAAAGCCAAAAAAAACAAATTTTGACCATTATCACTCCATTTCACTCCTGTTCTTTCTTTATGCTAAAACGACACCGTTTAGTTTCTTCTTCCTCGAGTTTTTTTTCCATCGGTGAAAAATCAGATATAGCTTCGACTCACCGTCTTCACTCCTCTCCACCACCGTCTTCTCTCCTCCCCACCACCGTCGATTCTTACACTTCTCTCCACCACCGTCGATTCTTAAGCTCTTCTCTCTTCTCGGTGAAGCTCGGCAATCAAGTGAGTTTTCAGTTGATTTAAGATTTTGCAATTTTGTTGAAATGGGTTTCAGTGGATTTGCGGATTGGTTGAAATGGGTTTACTGGGTTTTTTTATTGGCTCATGTGATTGTGTTTTGTGTATTGTGCATGAGCTGAGGGAGAAATCATAAGCGGATCTATCTCCAGCAGCCTTGGCCCTTGCGACTCCGACCTCCAGCCAATGCAGCCATTTCCTTTTCCCGAAGCAATCTTTCGATTGCTCCTTGCATGCGAAATCAGAGAACTCATACCCTGTTTATGTTTCTTCTTAGCTTCCGGCGAAGCTCGAAATGGGACTCCCCAGGCTTTGGGAAAAATGGAGGTAGTTGCCTTAACCTCATTCTCAATCTATCTTCCGAAACAACCTTTAGTTTCTTGTCGATTCCGCTTCTAATTTTTGTCTTTTGAAACAGGAATTGCAGGTTCTGGTTTGAGCAACAGGCGGCTCTCAGTTTCTTCTCCGTCGGAGGTACCTTATGTTGCCAAGGACCTCGGCAATAGAGTCATGATTCGTCTGGGTTTCGCACCATGTAGCGCAACCTCTGATTCTTCTCATGGAGCGAAAGGTATGTTATAAATTTGGCTATGCATTGATTTATTTATTCACCTGTTAAGATGGTTTAGATTGTTGGTGTGTGTTTATCTCTCACTGATTGTAGTTTTTAGTTAGCTATTTATGTGCTCGTAATGTGATTGATGCTTTGAAAATAAAAAACCATTTTCTTTGTCTTTTCTGAAAATGATTTTTCTGTGTTTGTTTGTGTGATAGATTCTTGTTATCGAAGAGTGGATCTATTGTTGGATGTTAAGACTCTTGGTGACAGAAAACTGTGAAAGCTTAAAATTGCCAACCTCTTGACAAAAGAAACCTATGACATTTTAGTATGGTAGAAAGAATATTTTGCAAACATTTGACATTTTATTTAGTCAATAAAAGTACCTCATCGAAAGAAACATTTGAGATCATGTGTTTGATCATCAGCTTGCTTGCATTCCTCAAAAAGTTGGTCTGCATAATCTTCACATAGATAACCATTTAGTCCTTGATCCCTCCAGATTTATCAGTCAATAATTTATGGCAACCTAAAACTCTTTGTTATAAGGGTGTTGATATGATGCAGCTCTAGTGATCGCATATAAACCAACTCTCATCAAGTTCAAGAAATGTATGCATAATATCTCAATTAGTCCATACTGAATCTTTCATATTTGATAGAAAACTGAAATGGTTCCTACTTTATCAAACCTATAAAGGTTTCAAATATTTCTAGAACCAAAGAATTCTTGATTGCATAGAAACCTACTTTGTTGTGACTACTTTAGAGGTCTCTCTGAGGTGTTTGGGTATCTTTAACGTCGTCCAGAGAATTCTTGAAATGATATACTGAAGCCATTATTGTTTCTTTCCAGTAAGACTTTATTCTTCCATGCTCTGAAATTTTGTAAATCATAGCTAATGTCACAAATTGACTCTAGTATAACAATTTTGGAGGTCAAAGGCGTGCTACTTGATATGGGACAGAGCTTCTTCAGCATACTCCCTAATGATTGAACATCGAAAAAGTTAGTTACTAAACTCGAGCTTAACCATAAAAGCTAAAGTAGAAATATGAGTATTAACTTAGATCAGTTAGTCTGTAGAATGTTTTATTGGTATAGTATCGAGTTATCCACTGATTTGCATATGATTTGAATGTAATATATAAATATTAACAGGTTTCTAGAAATATTATGCTAAAAAAGGTTTTGTAGACACCTCTATTGTTTTTAGTTACATGGGTTAATGAAATGAAGTAAACGCAAAATACTGGTTCAGTTTAAAAATTTCATGAAACTATTTTTACTCAGTGTATATTACAACAAACTCTTAACTTCCGCTTCTCTTTTCTCTTTGTACTTGGACAGTTATGTGTCTTCCATATGAAGTACATAACCTATAACATCAGACAAAAGCATAGTTCCAATTAAGTTGTTGAGAATTTTTTAATTTACACCATCACCAACTTAATGTCGTGAGTGATTTCAAACTTTAATATGCGAGTTTGATTCTTTTTTTATTTGCTGCTTGCGCTATTTCAGCTTTTCTTCATCTTTCTGTTTTTTTTTTCTTTGTTTCTTCATACTTGGCTATGTCTTAAATCTTGATGTTTGATGTCTTCGGTATTGAGCCTGATGATGCTTATGGAGAGAAATTTTCCTCTTATAACAATGATCTCGATGTGTCTTAAGTGTTTCGTTTTTAATAGTACTGATTTTCTCATATGTTCTTTTGTTAAACTTTTTTCGTCTGAGAATTTCTCGATATCTTAGTACTTAGTAGGATGAAAATTCCCTCTTTGTTCATTATCATTAATCATGAGTCATTATGCGATTTTTCTATTATGCAGTCTTCGTTTGTTTCTCTTTTCATTTGCCTTTGCCTTTGCCATGTGTTACGTTTCTTATTGTGAAATTTAAATCAGACACAACGGTATCTTGTTAACATGGTGAGTTGGTCTGTATTGTCTCGATGCCCACTCGCCAACAGGAAGTTAAGGTATGTTTTGTTACATGAAGCATATATTTTCATAGCCTACAAAACATACTTGATTCTATATTAGAAATTGTAAGCATGTATTAACCCACAAATGATGACGTTTATCTCCAATGTTGTACCTGACCCACACTTTAATTTCTTTCAAGAACGAAGACAATTAACTTAGATTCTCAACATTAAGAGAAGGATTAGCATCTAATAAATATTAGTATATTGAAGTATTCAAGGGTCAATGGTGATTAAAAATTTACAAACCTTGCATCATGACAATCATGCCAATTCAGCTACTCATCAGATTCTAGTCACAATCAAACGAAAAAAACAAAAACACATTGTTAGTTGTAGTTTGGAGCACACAATAACCATCTTTAACATAATATAGTTTATAAAGAGATTAAGCATGTTTGACTTTAGATTCTTATAACCTAATCTTACATTTTTGTCTGTCAGAATCATCTCCAATGTATGTCCAGCCTCTGCCGTGTATTGCTTCCAAACATGAAGAAGCTTGACTTGGATTCGTGTATGGACTCGTCCACCTGAAAAAAAAAGGCATCAAGGTATGTTAAACAAAAATAAGCCGCCATTAAAATTGAATCAAATATAGTTTTATGCTCTGCTTCTTTTGTATTTGGTAGGCTCTAGAGGGAGGTCTATTTATACTAAAACGATTAGGTTAAAGATTTGATTTGATGAAAGCTTTAACTTGATAGTTTCCGAAATTTAGGAAAATATAATATAAGAGTATCTAATCAAATCTCTTTGAACATAGGAATTAATGGCACGAATTTTTAAACTGAGTTGAGATTATCCGTGAAACACTCTAAAACTTGAATTTTCCAAGTTTGTTAGTGATATTGTTGATTCTGCATATTCAATGCACAATTAATTAACGATATTTTTGGAATTCTTTTGCAGATTTTTCGTTCATTGATTCCCTAACGAACCCAACCCAAGTCATTAATACCCGGTTATTTGATTCGCCTCCGGTTATTTGGATTTTTGACACCCGAAAATTAAGTGTTTCTCCGGTTTGATTTAAGTTAGACTTGGAAGGATCCGCGAGTTGTTTTTCATAGATGGGTCGGGTTTTTTCATGTGTTAATTCCGGGTTTAGGAGTGTTTGGAAACAGGGATAGGCTCTTTTGAAAGGTTGAATCCTTATTTTGTGCCTCTACTTTAATAGTATAGATATTAATAGTGTAATTCGAGATTTACCGTAATTAGTTATACAAAACTACAAATGAAATATTTTATCAAGTGAATAACACAGCTCAAAATTTAAAGATATAATCAGATACAGTAATAACAGATTTACATAAAAGTGTAAGTTACATCTTTGGCACTAGAAGAAGAGGAAGAAGAAGAAGAAGAAGAAGAAGAAGAAGGCATGAAGGCAAGAACGACGAGTAAGACCATAATCCCAATGGGAATCAAAAGGAGCATAAACGGAGGCGGAGGTAACGGCGGCAAAACTAACGGAAGGATTAACAGAGACGCCGTTAGGCCCACCAGCAGAACCAGAGACTCTATACTGAAATAGCTCGCCGGAATCATCAACCTTTTCTGCGCCGAGAAAGTCCGACGTAATTCTTGCTTGCTGGTGTTTTTCCGACTGTTTCTTCCGACGTCCATGGCTCGGTTGTTTGGATAACGGTCTTGGATGTTCATGATATCCTTTTGCAAGTTTGGGATTTCGCGAATCATCTGGATTTCGATGAGAAATTGTAGGAAAGATCTGATTTTTTTCTTTAACTCAAATGCAAGCAAAACCAATGAGCCCTTTTTTTAAAGTTTGTGGTTAACCAATGCAGCTTGATCGAAGCAATCGGTGACGAATTCGAGACGATGACCCAAGATCCAGAAACCGAGAATGCAGATGAATCCGAGTTCCTCGACGAGTTAACTCAGCGATACAGATTTAAAAGAGGAAGCTTTTTTTTTTCCGGTAGATGCGATCTAAATTGAGCTGCATAAACAAATGGGTGCGATGCTTTGGTTAGGAAAATGGTTATGAAGAAATCATAGAGACAACAGAACCCGAATAAGTAAATACAGAAACTCAAACATTTGTTGTTCCTCTGTTTTTTGGGAAAGAAAGTACCTGTAAGCCGTTATGCGAGAAGAAGACGAGAGAAGATGTGTTTGGTCTGAACTTGAATGTGTATGAAACTACTAGTGGCAAATGAGGAAGACGAGTTATTAATAAGGAGGAGGTGGAGAAGATCAGAGAATATGGGGAGGGTTCAGTGAATTTAGGGATTTCCCAATATGTTGAAAAGAAGAAAAAGAGAAACTTCTCTTTTTATAATGTGAGAGGCAAGTTGCTGATTTTAGAAGATTTGAATTTTGATTTTGTTTTTTTGAGAATTTAGTATACATATATTTCGTGTGGCCTAGTCTTCCTCCACAATCACAAGGTTCTTCTCCCCTGGACTATCTATTTTTTAGCATACACATGACGTAAGCATATTAGCTAGTATCTCCTTGGAGTTAGCCTATTGGCTGACATGGAAGCAATGTTAAAATAATGAGTTCTAGAATCTTTAAGTATGGGTTTGACTAAGAGCGGTTATAGTAAGTATAATACTAGTGTAATCCTTGGAAATAAAAAAAACTATAATGTAAACAGAGAAATCTTTGGATCGTTCATATGTGGAATTTTTACTGTTTCTACCTCTCCTAAAACTTTAAGACATTATTGGAATTTGTGTGATTCTAAGTAAATAAAGATTTTTTTTTGTTTTTCTTACTTCGAATATCAGTATTTGTTTTTGATCACAGAAAGATTGACGCGACTAGGAGATTCGTTTAATTATCATACCTACCAATAATCGTGTCTATGTTTGTGGATCGATCAGGACCCATGGTGTTGCTCTTCTCCAAGGCACTTCATATGGTGAATGTATTTGTTCTAGTGGGAGATGTTGGGCCAAATTTATGCTTTACTTTAAGTCTCGTTTTTTTCTTTAATGTAAAGCGAAGTTATCAAACACTCAAACCAGTTTCGGTTTGGCTCAGTTGAATTCTAGTTAGAAGTTTGTTGGCTTTGGCTTTAGCTAAACTTCAATATAAACTCTTCTTCGTTTCAATGAGAGTTTTTCACTTTTCTCCTTGCTTCCTTATTTGCACAATCTTCTTTCTCTGGGTTTAGAGCTAGTAATTAAACATGTACAATGATAAAGAACAGAGTCGGAAATCATTTTTTTAATGTGTACACATGGTTCAGTGAATTGAGAAACATGCATGGGGAGAGCCTTCAGAGTCAGCGTCAAGTGGTTTCTTTGTTTTCTTTTTCTTGTGGCCTTTGGATTATCAAAGCCGATTATTAGTTCAGGGAATTGATAGATTACCAAAGACCACAACACTTGTTATTCACATTAATTCAATTAAATTGTGCAATGTTACTTTAATTAGGTCATATTAACAAATAACAATACATAAAAGACAAGTTATTAAAAGTATAAAATTCTTTGGCGTGTACCAACAAAGTATTTTTGCATGGATAGCATACCCTAAATTAATACTGAAAAGATCTTCCCTAGTTTCTAGACCTACTCAATAGATATGATGAAGATCATATATTTAGGGATGTGAAAATGAATCTCCTCGTTGACCAAAAAAAGAAGAAGAAATCGATCTCCTCAGCATAAACAAACAAGTAATATTTCTTTTGAGGGACAATGAGTAGATAGTGAAGATGTAGATGTGTTACATGTGTATGTATGGCAAGTATTGGCAACCCATGCATGGTTATTGCCTTGAACACCGCAAACCTTCGGATTGAATGTCCCAGTGGACCTCCAACAATGTTCAAGAAATAAATAAGAGATAATAATTAAAAAAAAGTATATCATTTTATTCCCATTCCCTCTGTCTTTTGGTTTTAATATTTTTATTGTCTAGCTAACATAAGAGAATATTATATTTGTAACCATTTATCTACATAAAACATGTAGTCTTCGACAGTCCATATGCATAGACATATGCCTTGGTCTAATTATCAACAGCAAGGTCCATCTGGTCAGCCTTCACCACGTCCCCGATTTTCTTCAAATCAATAATACTGTTCCATTATGTATTAGAAAAAGTATAGTTTGGTGGAAATATAATCTGGTTGGTTTGCAAGAAGTAAGGCTATGACTCTGTGAGACATTGAGGATCGAACGGCACATGTAACGTCACGTGGCTCTTTCACTTTGATTCAATGCATTATCGCTCGAGCCTCGACCAAACCTACTTGCCTAATTAATATTCATCGTATTTGGTTTCCTACAAAAATATTTGGTTTTCTTGTGGAAATTTAATCCAAGTTATTTTAAAATGAAAGATCGTCTCTCCCCGACAAGCATCTGTAATTTAATAGCTGCGGAACATTTAAGTGGTTGGTCTAATAGAGAGATTGGTCGTTTTCATAAGTGATGTTATCGCGAGAAATAAATTAATTGAAAAGTGTTTAAGGATTTCCGTAATTTGCTATCCAAAGTTAATATGATTAGGTTCAGAGCATCATAGCAAAAAAAGAAGCGTGTGTCTCCCTTATTTCTTTGTGATAAAGACAAGAATGGTATACTTTTATGTGTTTAGCTTTGTATCTGATAAAGCTAAGTTAATTAAGAATCCAAGACTGAAAGGGAAATTAAACGAATCATGAGAAAAAAAAACTGATGTCACTGGGTTCATTGCATTTATCCTAATGAATAGATTACACCAGATTTTCGGTTTAAACTAGCATTTTCTTAACAATAGCTCCAACAATTCAATGTTTATATGTTAGAAAGAGTCTAAAAAGATGTTTAAGTATCTCTCAACTGATATTTGAAGTTGAGAGATGTCACCACCATTTGGCATAATTTTAGTTTATGTTTTGTTTACAAAACTTGCTTGACCATTAGATAAAGACAAATTTCGGTTTTGATAGAGAGAATCCGGTTTTGACGATAAATTAAATTGGAAACTCCGGTTATGGGAAATGTCTAAAACCCTAGACTTCTACCGTTCAACGTTCGCCGGTCGAGTTTAATTCAGACAAACGTTTGAAATTAGACTTCACTCTCGTCGATCGGACCAAGTGGAAGCTTTGAATCGGAAAGTAAATGGCGGCGAATGGGTAACATCTCTCTCTAAACTGGTTCCACTCTCTTTCCGGCATTGCTTTTTGATGAAAATGAGGATCCTTAAGAGAATCTGCTGAAAAAGAAATCATTTTTCTTTGTCTTGTTTGGGATTTTGATCACAGGCTAATGTCGACATCCAATGTGTTTCTTCATCGGCCTCAACATGCCCATTTCTCGTTTTCTTCTACAACGAGTCAAATGCCTGTGATCGGCGTTAAAGGCCGAGTTAGTTTCACGGCCAAAGGGAAACGCTGTTATCCGGTGGTTTTGTCAATGGCGACGGCGGCGGAATCCGGAAAGTCTGTTCCTCCTGGTCACGGCATATCCATCATGGTATCTGATTATTTCCCAATCACTCTTTAAATTGTGAGACTGAGATTGATTGTCATTTCCCGGAAAGTTGTTGTTTTTGTATAGCAACCTTTAGGGCCAAATTTACGTAAAGGAGTAAACTTTGTGAGAGTGTAATTGTGGGATCAAGCTAAGTCGTTGTCTCTGTGTATACTTCAGGTGAATGGATGTAGTGGCAAAATGGGGAAAGCTGTGATCAAAGCGGCAGATTCAGCAGGAGTGAATATAGTTCCTGCATCATTTGGATCTGCTGAAGAAGCTGGCCAGAGAGTTGAGGTCTGTGGGAAGGAGATTCTCGTGCATGGTCCTACTGAAAGAGAAAAGGTCCTGTCTTCGGTGTTTGACAAGTATCCAGAACTAATTGTTGTTGACTACACAATTCCCTCTGCAGTAAATGGTACAATCTATCTACTAGCTCCTATTTTCTGTAATCATGCATAGACTCTGTTCGCTTACAGATAGTTGATTCGTGTGTGTGCAAAAATGCAGATAACGCAGAGCTGTATGGCAAAGTAGGAGTTCCTTTCGTGATGGGGACAACTGGAGGAGACAGGACAAAGTTGTATAAAACTGTTGATGAATCCAAGATTTATGCTGTGATTTCCCCGCAGATGGGTAAACAGGTACTTACTTACTTGTACTACTCAGTGTGTGTTATAAAAGTGTTATCCTTTGTGACATAATATCTTTGGTTTTGTTGGTCGGTCCACTAGGTTGTTGCGTTTCTTGCAGCCATGGAAATCATGTCTGAGCAGTTTCCGGGTGCCTTTGCTGGTTATTCCTTGGAGGTATCTCCTTTTGAATTCTGAGTGTATTCATGTAAAAGGTATTTATCTTATAGCTGATTCTGATTTGGCTCTATATAGGTGATGGAGTCTCATCAAGCAAGTAAACTGGATGCATCTGGTACCGCTAAAGCTGTTATTTCTTGCTTCCAGAAATTGGGCGTCTCTTATGACATGGATCAGGTGTTTTATCGTTCTTTCTAGTAAAATGTGTACTCATGATCCTCAACGAGACCATTCATATTGCATTTTGCTTACTTTTGAAACCAGATACAATTGGTTAGAGATCCTAAGGAGCAGATGGAGATAGTTGGTGTTCCGGAGGAGCATATCTTGGGTCATGCTTTCCATCTTTATCACTTGACATCACCAGATAAGACGTAATGCATTGTTTCTCTTTTACTCTTCCTTACTAGCTGTGAACAGATTTGTCTGTAACATCACTTCTTTTTTCCCCCTTTCTTGCAGTGTATCCTTTGAGTTCCAACACAATGTTTGCGGAAGATCAATATACGCTGAGGGTACTGTTGATGCTGTGCTTTTCCTTGCCAAGAAGGTATGACATCTAACATCTTCTTCTTCAAAACTGTCTCAAAGGAATTAAATATTGTGCATTCATAATCTGTAAATCTGATGAAAAACCACATTTTATAATTTGTTGTAGATCCGGTCTAAAGCAGAGAAGCGGATCTATAACATGATCGATGTTTTGAGAGAGGGTAGCATGCGATGAAACAAATCCCCAAGCTTTGGCCTGCAAAAGCCCCTCAGTGGCATTGACCAAGATGTTGAAGCTAAAAGAGTTACAAGATATACCAAAGCAAATCATCTATCAACTTCATGTTTAGCTAATTGGCTTCCACTTGCTTTTGTTGCTTTCCCTTGGTATACACAAAAGAAAACTCTGCATTGTATGACGATGTTCTAGTTGAAAACCTTTATTGTTATTGTCTTCTGTTCCGATATTCAAAGCCTTACAGATTGAAAATCTGAATTTCTATCTGATTAGACTTGGAATTAGTAAAGATATGCTAGCTTTGGTTACAGCTTATAGGCTTATATTATAGGTTCAAAACCAAAAGCAAATTGTTCATACGGAAAATGGCTATGAGTAAATCAGAGACACAATGACATCAAAGTGATCTACGCTTACTTATAACAGAAAAACAAAACTTTAATTAAAGAAGCAAACAAAACTTATGAGTAAAATTATTCATCTTCTCCCAGCAATTCTCATCAAAGGAGCCATAACACCTTGAATCTCCACAAGAGAGTGTTGAATCTTCATCTCCTGATTCACTTCTCTCTTCAAGTTCCTCAAAAGGCCCTTAAACTCCTCTTTCCCCTTAATATCATCACCTCTCGTCTCCAAAACCTTCTTCGTCAACCCCATCAACAAACCAGAGTACCTCTGCACCGTAGAGTACCTCTGCAAGAAACTCAGCAGCAAACCCAGCTCTCCTCCCTCCATATTCGCCACGCACTTCACCAGCTTCCTCCTCGCCACCAACTCCTCCATCACCGCCACCACACTCGCCGGCTTCTTCTCCCCCAAAACCGACACCAGCGCCTCCTTATGCCTAAACTTCTTCAACAGCTTGTCATGCCTCGTCAGCTTCACTCTCTTCTTCCCCTTCACCAAGAAATCATCCTCCGACGGCTTCTCGGTCTGCCCTCTCTGGAAATACCTGAAATTCGACGGCCTCAACGCCCTCCTCCTCCTCTCATCCACTTCGCTCCTCACACTCCAAACACTCACCAAACTCTTCTCCTTCTCTTCTCTCTTCACCTTCTTCTTCCCAGCAAACAACATTCCATTAGACCCTCCAATCACCCGAGTCGAACCATCCGGAGAGATCCCCACCGACATAAGCGGAGCTGGAAACCTCATGGAGTAAGTCACCTTCGCTCTCCCGTAATCAAACACTTTCATGTAACCGTCCAAAGCAACGCTCACGAGCCGATTCTCAGCTGCTTCCCCCAATCCCATCCTCCCAACGCACAGAGACGTCACAGTCTTGTTATGGCTCTCCATCGAACAAACCAACCTCCCTCCTCCGATCAAGTCCCAAACTTTCACGCTGTTCAATCCCGCCGTCGCAATCATCCCACCGGACGGGAGATACACAACGTCCTCCACCGGATGGCCGTGGTTAATCTCGGCGACCCATTTCGACTTGTCGACTCTCGCATCCCACACCTTCACCGTGTGGTCGTAAGAGCCTGTTATGAACATCGAGTCGTCCACCGGAGAGCAGTCACCGCACCGAACGTAGTCCTTGTGGCCCAACAGATCTGAAATCACGGTTGCTCCGGCGACGTCCCAGTACTTGACTACGGAATCGTCGCCTCCGGATACCAAGTGGAGCTTGTCCTGAAACGGATACTTGACGAATCGGGCTGGGGCCTTGTGAGACCGGAGGCTACGGAGAGCCATTCGCTCCTTGACGTCGAAGACCTGGACGAGGCCGGAGAGGTCGGACGCGGCGAAGAGAGCGCCGTCGGAACGGAAAGAAACGGAGGAGACGACATCTCGGAGCGAGAATCGGCGGATGGCGGAGAGCGTGTGGGAGGAGAAGAGGGAGACGGTGGCGGAGTTAGCGACGACGAAGGAGTGAGGGTGGACCGGGGAGAAGGCGAAGGCGGCGACGGAGGAGACGAGATTGGGTAAAGGGTGAGGCTTGAAGGAGGACCAGTATCGGGAATCGGGAGTCTCCGATCCGGAGAGAGATTTCGCCGTCGATTTTGGTCTGACGGGGAAAATCTTTGTGACCGCATGATCATTGAGACGAACACGAAGCTCCTCCTCCATTGAAAGAGTTGAGATTGAACACCGAGAGAGAGAGGAGAGAGGAGGCTGGTTTAGGGTTTAAGGGATTTAGGCAATGACTTGAAACTTGAAAGTAGCAACCTTTACCGTCTCGCACCTCCGACACTTTTTTTCGTCTTTCGTTAGTGGAAGCCCTCGAAATGTTTTGCGAATTTGCAAAATTGGACTAATTTATTATCTTGTTTACAATAACAACCCCTCACATTTCCGCTCCTTATTGGGCCTTAACGACATCTGATCATGGGCCGATTTGATTTTTTTTTTTTTTTTGGTAAAATGGAGATTTGATTTTATATAGCTCGTTATTTATTCATTTGAGATTGTAATGAGACAACGTGATTGTATCTTAGTTTTACATACATCATCTAATCGTGGGCTGAGCATGTTATAGTTTACAGCATCTATATATATTTGTTGTTGTTGTTCAAGTAGCTACAAGATTGATGATGGGGAGATCAGTCAAAGAGGTTTTGTTGACTCTTTGATAGGGATGGATCAAGATTTGAAATGCTTGACGACAAGTTAGATGTCACATTTGAATATAAGACAGTTTTTTCGTTTTTTTTTGTCTATTCTTGCATTGAATAGGCCATAGTAGTAGTATTTTAAGAACATTTTCAGGCATTGATTAATCGATTCCATGAGAACAAGTTTCGAAATTTTCTTTTACTTCTAGTGGCTTCATATCATCATGCTAGCCAGTAGGAAATCTCTCTCGGAGGGTTTATTCCAAAGCATATGCTAAAGTTAAGAATATCCATAGAATATTCTTGTTTGGATTCGTGTTCTTGTCTGTACTTGCACATTCCCAAACTTGTTTTTATACATCTTTAACTTCAGTGAACATTATAGCGTTTTTTTTCTTCTTCTTTTCCTTTTGCAAACCTTGAATGTGTTTGTTGATTGACATCTATGCATATAGATCATCCTCGTTTGTTGATCGATTCGTTTAGATGACCATCAACAAACGCTTTCGTGGTTTTGCATAGACTCTTGAAATCTATATCGTGTTTTTAGTTAGCATATTTTTTTTTTGGGTAGGATTTTGATATCGCCAAAGCAGCTAAAGAAGTACTTGCATCACCTAACGCATGAGAAGAAATAATTGAAAAGACTCTTAGGGATTTTAATTATAAAATCCAGGTTTGTAACTTCTCTAATCTCTTGAATTATTTTTGTTCTTTTTGCAGTCGTCGCAGGTTATAATTAGCTCGTCTAAAAGAATCTTGTTATTGTAGTTACTGAATCAGAACAAAGCCAAAAAGTTGTTTAATAGGTTTAATTAGTTCCTCGTGGGTATTGTGCAGAGAAAGATTTATGATACAATGATATATCAAATGTAAAGAAAATAGGTAAATCTTGGTGTGTTAAAATAACGATCAGTGGTCACTCTCTTAAGACTAATTGCATTTGGTGGATGGATTGCTGATGATGGTGGAGTTGTAGACCAGAAAGAAAAGTCAACGAAACAAGTCTTAAAGTTTTTCTGTGTGGTTAGTAATTCTTTGATGTGTATATAGTTGTTGAGTTCCATATGATTTATATTTATTGCGGGTCAAGTAGATTCCATTTAAAAAGACTGACTTATAATTTTCCAGTTTATTCAGACGAATTCTTAATCCAGTTGCCGGTTCAGACTATATCAAAGCAAACAGTTATTATACGTGTGCCGTATGGTGTGTTTGTGTATGTACAATACATGTATAGTAGGTCAAAAGAATCTAAAACAACATTTTTCGCTCGAATTAAAAATTTAATTTTTGCATGTTAATTACGTCTCTTAAATACCTACTGTGAACACAAGAAGAGGATCAAAAATTTACAAAATTACATTATTCAATGGAGTTTGAGGTGAATTTTCCAAGTTACATGACTATTTTTTATCAATCGACTTTATGGCGTATTTTGGGCACAACACAACCAGACAGTAAATAGTACCGTAGCAGCCAAGCAGGGTTATTTTAGGAAAGTTTTTTATTCAAGCAGCCAACCAGTAGATTTTTTTAGGACACGTTATTCTTACGCATTTTCAAACTAACACCGTGTTCCGTGTACGATGCAGCGTATAGTCAACTGTATTAGGTCACCAATAGCTTTGGAAAATAGTAAATTGTTTCGTTATTCGCCCACTAAAGTTTTAGTTTTATATATTATTCCCCAATAAGCATAACTTAACAAAACAAACCCCCCCAAAAACTTTACAAGATCCACATCGGAATATCACAAGAAGAACATAATCTGCATTTTTTTTCAGATCTTTGTAACAAAAATTACAAAAATAAGGCAAAACTAAGATGGAATACTAAAAGCTTTTTTGTTTAACGGTTCATTTTAACAAACAATTACAAAACAAGACAAAAATAAGTTGTGATGAAAGCTTTTTGTGTTTAAAGGTTCATTGAGCTGAGATTTTAAACTTTTTGGATAGATAAATCATTCACCTGAGACACAAGAGAACAAACTATGGCTTCTGTTCCTCATAAGCTGTCCTCGCCGCGACGGAGAAAAACCAATATCTCCGCCTTCGCCACCGGATCGTCTTCCTTCCCGAGAAGACATCGAAGAGAAATCTCCAACCGACCATCCACGGCGGTGACGGTTTTTCAGCTCTACATGATCAAAGGTCGAAGACGGTCGAGAGACAATTGAGTTATCTGATTTTGCGGAGAAGGGGAAGAAATCGGAGTCGTCGTAAGATTCTTTCGTAGTGCCGCCGGAGGAAGAGAGACATTCATAACGCCGGCGAGTTCGGTTTTTCTTCATAGCCTTAAACGCCAACGGAATCAAACCATCCATTTGATTATATTCTTATTGTTTATTCTCTTTTCTTTCTTTCTTGCTCTCTGTTTTTTTTTTTAATCTCTCTCTTCTGTGTATGTGTGATTCTTGAAGAAAGAAGAAGAAGAAGAAAACCAAAAGCAAAGAGAAAAAGAAGAAGAGGGCTTTTCTTGTTATGTGTGGGAGGAAGTTGGGAGGTTTATGGGTTTGGTAGTGGTTTGGTGATTACAATACCTTCCATCAATTTCATTTGTCTATCTTTCGTTTCCTTTTATATTTGACAAATGGTATTTATAAACTGAGTGCCAGCTTTTCCTTCTTTCTGTTATCTTTCCATGACACTGATATCATTATACTAGATTAGATTTTATCTATCTAATTTCACTATATGAGATTAGTTTTTTTTAGTGATTTTTTCCCTCTTTTATAAATGTTTTTGGTTTGCAATATTTCATTTTCAGTTAAATAATGTGATTGAGGCCCATTTAGAAGACGTGGCTCAGTCCATAAACTTTCCAATTATCGTGCACACGGAGAGAGAACTCAGGCATCTTGCCTAAGTTTGCGATCAATAAAAATCTAACAAAAGGAAGCTCTCTGTGTAATGTCAAAAGTGTACTGTGTACACATCTTACTTGCAAATTACTCGCAAAGCCACGGATTCATTGTACCATCGAGTATTGATCTAGCGTACAATGTAATATAACCGGTTGAATTTTGTCCTTTTCTATAACTTTAAGTTATCATATCTTGTAAAGTAAATCTATAATTCATACACTAGTTGTGACTCTAAGACTCTAAGTTATCATATCTTTGAAACTTAGAAAGATATCATGAGTAGTGAGACCAAAACTTCTTAGTTATTTTAAAATAATCTATGAACATAGAGCACACTAAGCCATTCGAAATAAGTAGTTCAACATGTTAAATCCAAATTTGTTTTTTTGTGGGTAAAGTAAATTAGATCGATCTATAAAGTAAACTAAAAAGCGACCAACCATCCGGAATCTCTTCCTTTCATCCCTAGACAATCGACACCAATCATGTATACATTTTAGATTGTCGTATTAATTAAAACTAGTAGAGTACCCGCACGTTTGTGCGGTGTGACGTTGTTGTTTTGTGTAGAAAATTTAAACCCTAAATCCGAACCCGACAAAAAACCCTAATCAAAAAATTTAAAAACCCAAACTTTTTTAATAGGTCTAAACATGAAAATCCGAAATCAAAAAAATCCCGAAAACCCTGACTGAACAAAAAAAATCTGGAAACTTTTTCACCCGGAACCCGACCCCAATACCTAATCAAAATTTTAAAATACTCAATTTTTTTAATATATCTAAACCCGAAAACCAGAAATCTAAAAAATCCGGAAAACCCTAAACTGAAAAAAAAAATTGAACCTAACCCGAACAGAAATTTTCAAAGAAACCCGAACAATTTCTATATCTCTATATATATCTCTATAAAATTATGTCTCAGATTTTCACCCAAACCCGAACTTGTCTATAAAAACCCGAAAATCCAAAAAGCATATTCTATTGATTTGGAATTATCGTTAGATTATGTTAAGTTTTTTTTTTGCAGATTTTTAAGAGATGGAAAACGGAAGTTTTCTAAACCATCGGTTTATTTTAAGTTATTATTCTTGTATCCAAACAATTTTTTCCATTTATTCTTCTATCCAAATAGATTTTTCTCTTATTCTTATATCCAAACAACTTTTGTTTCCATTTATTCTTCTATCCAAATAGATGTTTCTCTAATTCTTGTATCCAAACATTAGAATGTACTTCTCAATTAATAATATATAAAGATAGTTTGAATAGTATATTGTATAGTTCTGAAAACATGGAACTAACATAAGTTCAAAATATCATATTACAGATTGTTTTCAAGCACCGTTAAATGGATTGGTCGCTTTAAAAAAAAAAATGACAATAATATCTCTCCAGAATTCTTGGAATGTAATAGAATATTATGACTACTCTAAATCTCTAATTATAGGTCGACCTTTTAGGCGTTTACAATCAATATTATGTTTGAAACTTGAATCAAAGGAGAAACATGAACTCAACATTATAGGACATTCTTCTTCTTATAGTTTGATGAACTTTCCTAATAATACGACAAGAACTTAGCATTATACAGAACATGCTTCTTTGTATGGTTTAATTAACTTTTCTTGATCCTAATTATACGACATGAACTCAACATTATAGGATAACCTTCTTCTTAGTATATGGTTTAATTTCAGCATACTTTAATTAACTTTTCTTGATCCTAATAGTACGGCATGCGGCAATAAATGTGTTGTCTTTTAACAAACATCACATTTTTCTGAATCGTTGCCATGCATGTGATTATCATCCATCAACCTCGAAATCCTTATGCCTTTTCTCAAAAAAAAAAACCTCGAAATCCTTACGATATTATTGGCCAAATTCTTCTCCGGCTTCTCCTCCACTTGTCACGTTTCCCACTCGTGTTTAGCTCCGTATGTCCCGTACATTATTTTCCTGAATTTGTTTTATATTGTAAATAAATATGCATGGATCCGTAAAGTCCTTGCATTGGTTCTGAATAATGATGAGGATCGTGTAACGCTTTATTGATTGTCTATGAGACAATCAAAGCAAAATCGGTTACTACCCAATTGACGTCGTCACATGCATTGATATCATGTTCCTTGCCATCAACATGCCTGCCATTTCCCTGACCGTTCCACTTGCTTTTTCAGTTATATAATTTGAACACAACAGAAGTTTATGTATGAACACTTTAATCGTAAACATCTAGTCGAACAAAATCTACCCGTGAACTTTTACGCGGTGAAATTATATAATTCATGGAAAAATTGTATTTTGGTTTTCTTAAATTGTATTTTGAGTTCAGCTTTTGTTTTCCAATATTTATTCAAAGGTTTGCATAACGACTAATAGTGGCCTAGAGGCTAGAGGGACACAGGATTTAGGAAGATGATCCTCGTATATAAATGATCATTTGCTCACAATAACCGATCTACCAATTTATCTATAAATAAACAATCTATTTTTTTGTTCAGTACACAAAACAGAAAAGAAGTTAAACAACCGACATCGCACAGACTTTTCGAACCTATAACTTGTAATATTCTGAAAAACATGTTCTCAATTGCTTGGCCCTTTTTCACACGTATACAAATTTAAGGTCTGAAAATACTAAAAACATAAAGAAAAACAAAAGATTAAAACCACATAATAATAAGAAATATAAATTCGAATAAATAAAACCCTTTAATTACATACGCAATAGTATAAATACCCTCAACTAAACCGTTTCAAATCCCACACACTCCACCATCATTATTCAACTCCTCCCTCTATCTCTCTCAAAACAATGCCTTCTTCACTTCTCATAGTTCTTCTTTTCCTCATCTCGATCTCATCGTCCTTAGCTCAAACCTACAATATCCTCTCGTACGGAGCCAAGGCCGACGGCAAAACCGACTCGACCAAGGCCTTAACCGCCGTGTGGACCAAAGCATGCGCCTCCGTCAAGCCGGTCACAATTGTGGTCCCTAAGGGACGGTTTTTAGTACGAAGCATTGTTTTTGATGGTTCCAAGTGTAAACGCAAGTCCGTCACGTTCCGTATCCAAGGTACACTTGTGGCTCCATCGGATTATCGGGTCATCGGTAATCAGAACTACTGGATTTTCTTCCAGCATCTCGACGGCCTCTCCGTCTACGGTGGAGTTCTTGACGCTCAAGGAGCTTCTCTTTGGTCTTGCAAAAAGTCCGGCAAGAATTGTCCTAAAGGTGCTACGGTACGAATTCACCATTTTATCCCTTTACAGTTTAATATTAAAGTCTTAAATGAGCCATAGCAATAGCTAAATCTGATCACAAAATGTGTAAAATGGTAATTTTTTTGTTTAAATGGTACAATTACAGTATATTGCTTTTGTTTCAAGCTTTATAGTACTGAACTCTATAACATTTTATTTATTTATATATTTTGAAGTTGAATATCCGCCGTTTTCCGCAAATTCCGCCACCACGATGCAAATGCTTCATTTTCCCTATTTTTCTCTCGCTAACATAAAATTACAAGTTACATCCATACTATGCTTAGTTGACTTCTTAAGTTAATCCCAATTCACATAGACCAATCATTGATTTTTTTTTTAATGGAAATATTAAATAGACTTTATATCCAGTGATAATGTAAATTGACACGTGAGCAACAATTACAAACAGAGCATAGGTTTTCAGAGCTCAAGCAACGTGGTGATCTCCGGGTTGACGTCACTAAACAGTCAGATGTTTCACGTCGCGATTAACGGCTGCCGTAACGTAAATATTCAAGGAGTCAAAGTTTCTGCTGACGGAAACAGTCCAAACACTGACGGCATCCACGTGCAGGCATCCTCCACCGTCTCCATCCTCAATTCTAAAATCTCCACCGGTGATGACTGTATCTCCGTCGGTCCCGGCACTAACGGCCTATGGATCGAAAACATCGCTTGTGGCCCTGGCCATGGTAGTCAAAGTTTCTGCTGACGGAAACAGTCCAAACACTGACGGCATCCACGTGCAGGCATCCTCCACCGTCTCCATCCTCAATTCTAAAATCTCCACCGGTGATGACTGTATCTCCGTCGGTCCCGGCACTAACGGCCTATGGATCGAAAACATCGCTTGTGGCCCTGGCCATGGTATCAGGTACTATTTCTATTTTTTAAATTAATCAAATTACTAGTCACTTATTAAACCGTTACATTTTCGATAATTTTTTGGTTTTAAGAAAGTCTTTGGCTGATTGATGAACTATAGTGTCGAAACTAACTTAGATAGATTTGATGGATTTTTCAGTTTCGTTTTAAGATCTCTTAATAGTTTATTGAACATTCTGTTATGTTGGATTAGTTCAGTTTATAAACTTTTCAAGTTTCTGATAATTGTTTTTTTATTTAATTTGCAAAACAGCATTGGAAGCTTGGGAAGAGAAAGTGTGGAGGCAGGTGTGCAAAACGTAACAGTGAAAACGGCGACGTTTACAGGAACAGAAAATGGGGTGAGAATAAAATCATGGGCCAGGCCCAGTAATGGATTCGCTAGGAACATCCGTTTTCTACATTGCGTTATGAACAACGTACAGAACCCAATCGTCATTGATCAAAACTATTGTCCTGGCAACGAAAATTGCCCTAACCAGGTATGTTCATATTTTTTTCTTGTTTTTCTATTTAAATCGAGTATTGGTAGTTAAAATATTTAACTGGATTATGATCAATAGGTTTCTGGGATAAAGATCAGCGATGTAATGTTTTTTGATATACACGGGACATCAGCAACAGAAGTTGGAGTGAAATTTGACTGTAGCTCTAAAAAGCCGTGTACCGGAATTCGAATCCAAGATGTGAAGCTGATGTACCGGAATAAACCGGCTGTAGCAGATTGTAGCCATGCCGGAGGGACTGAGGCTGGTTTTCAACGACCCAACAGTTGTCTATGACCACACCACCCAATAGTTGTCTATGACCACACCAAAAAATAGATTTGTCTCCTTTTTTTTTTTTTTTGATCGAGTGTTGTTCGTGACATGTAAGTAACATCGTCGTACTAATACCATATCCATATCTGTCGTTTGTAATATGACTAATATTTATTGGTCTAATAGAATTTGGGTCTAGCCTTGATTGTATTACGTTACAAGAAAACTAGAAAAGATTACAGATGCTCTAAAGTCTAAACAATAAAGATGGAATTTGTAGGATAGTAAAGCAAGATGTCAACGTTTGGTAAAAATATAATCATCATGGAAAAATCCACCATCTCCAGGTTGTATCAAAATAAGTTTTTTTTTATAAAGTTTTTGATCGTTGATTCTCTCATGTTGGTTATGGGAGTGCTTATTTAAATCATCTAAATCTGTAAAATATGAATGGGATCCATTAAATAAGTGATTATCCGTGTTTTACTGATCATTTATGCCAACGAAACCTTTTAATCCGTAAACGAAGAAGGACAATAGAAAAACAAAACGCACCACGATCGTCCCTCTTCTTCCAATTTTCAACCTTTCGTTCAATTTTTCTTTTCTTCGTTTCGTCTTCTTCAACCAAAATGATGCAAATGTGGTTTTGATCCTTAATTGATCTTGGGTTCTCGACTCATCGTCAATCATGGAGAACGTAGCCGCGCAATTGAAGCGCGGGATATCGAGACAATTCTCCACGGGATCAATGCGGCGAACACTAAGCCGGCAATTCACACGCCAATCCTCTCTCGACCCTCGCCGCAACAACATGCGGTTCAGCTTCGGCCGCCAATCGTCGCTCGATCCGATCAGACGGAGCCCCGAATCCCTCAGCTGCGAGCCGCAGATGATGACTGTGCCGGAGAATCTCGATTCCACGATGCAGCTTCTCTTCATGGCGAGCAAAGGCGACGTTCACGGCGTCGAGGAGCTGCTCGACGACGGGATTGATGTGAACAGCATCGATCTCGATGGACGTACGGCTCTTCACATTGCCTCCTGTGAAGGTCACTACGACGTCGTTAAGGTCCTTCTTAGCCGGAGAGCCAACATCGACGCTCGTGATCGTTGGGGTAGCACGGTCTGTTCTTCATCTTCTTCTCCCATAATTTCCTGATTCGTTTCGATCGTTCAAATCTGGTTTTTCGTCGGTTTTGTTGGTTTATGAATTTCATTTCGGTTTGATGTAGTATCGATTCTGGGTTTTTAGCAGAATTGAGGTTGAATTGGTTATTTTTTTTCCCGGTTTGGTTCGTTCTGGTTACGGTTTGTTCAGATAATGGAAACAAACCGAATCCGTTAATCTGGTTACGGTTTGGGTTTAGGATCAAATTTCTCCGGAACACATTTTGAGACTGTGATTTCGATTTTTTTTTGCAGGCGGCTGTTGATGCGAAGTATTATGGGAATGTTGAAGTGTACAATCTCTTGAAAGCTCGAGGAGCTAAAGCTCCGGTATGGTATTCAACATAATGATTATCTTTTTTTGTTATTAAGATGATTGGCTTTCATCTTCAACATTTGTTTGTGTGAAACTTTAGAAAACCAGAAAGACTCCAATGACGGTGGGGAATCCGAAAGAAGTTCCTGAGTATGAGCTTAATCCACTCGAGCTTCAAGTCCGAAAAGTTGACGGCATCTCAAAGGTTGTCCATTCTCCTAATTCACAAGAGCAGAGATTTTTCTCCTAGGTCTCTTGTTCTGATCTTTTGTTTTTTGTAAATTTGTAGGGAACGTATCAGGTTGCTAAATGGAATGGCACGCGAGTCTCGGTAAAAATATCCGATAAAGATAGTTATTCAGATCCTGAACGAGTGTATGCAATCTTCTTCTTCTTTAAATCTCTCTGTCTTAAGTTGCTGATAACATGAAAATAATCCTAACACTCTGTTTTTATACGAGCAGAAACGCATTCACACATGAATTAACTTTGCTAGCTAAAGCTCGTCATCCAAATATTGTTCAATTTGTTGGAGCCGTGACTCAAAACCTACCAATGATGATTGTAGTCGAGTACAATCCAAAAGTAAGCCTACTTTTACTTCTAATCATCACAAATGCAGCAAAATCTTGTTTCATTCATTCATTGATCATCCTAATTTTTCAGGGTGATCTAAGTGGCTATCTCCAGAAGAAAGGTCGTCTTTCTCCTTCCAAGGCTCTGAGATTTGCTCTTGATATTGCCAGAGGCATGAACTACCTCCATGAGTGTAAACCAGATCCGATCATCCACTGCGACTTAACGCCAAAGTAAGACAAAGCCGAGAGCCAAAACAGATAACCACGAAAATAACAGTTTGGATAATATTTTGAAAGTTTTTTGTAAGGTGCCAGAAATATTTTGCTGGATAGGGGAGGGCAATTGAAGATCTCTGGATTTGGTTTGATAAAGCTGTCAAAGATTTCTGAAGATAATGCCAAAGCCGCCAACCACGAAGCTCAAATCGATAAATCAAGTAAGAAAAAAGGGCTCATTTCTTAGATTTCATGTATACAACAAGCATGTTTTCTTCTTGAATGATCTTGCTCTAACCTTTTGAAAACTGCAGATTACTATATAGCACCTGAAATTTACAAAGATGAAATCTTTGATAAAAGGGTAGATGTGCATTCGTTTGGTGTCATTTTGTATGAGGTATTAACACACAAAGATTTCGCCTTTTGTATTGTTAATTTTTTTGCCTCAAACTCTATCTTTAACTTTGGTTTTTATGTGAAGATGACTGAGGGAGTTTCCATTTTTCATCCTAAACCGCCTGAAGAGGTTACAGAATCGATATGTGTAGAAGGAAAAAGACCAGTAATCAAGACTAAATCGAAGAGTTATCCCCCGGAATTGAAAGAGTAAGCATTTAAAGATTCTGTTTTAAATCCATTGTCATGTGAAGCTTCATTTTAATGATAGTTTTTAGCATTAAGAACTCATGAATCTTGGTATATATGTAGGTTGATTGAGGAATGTTGGCATCAAGATATTGGTATGAGGCCAACATTCACTGAGATTATTATTCGGCTCGACAAAATAGTTGCAAACTGTTCTAAGCAGGGATGGTGGAAAGACACATTTAAGTTTCCTTGGTAAATTTTGTTTTGAACTTTTTAATCATAACAAGAATCCTCAGAGAAACTTAAGTTGAGACAAAGATTTATGTTCATCAGTTTTGTGTATGCAGGAAATGAATGGGAACTGATGAATTAATCAACCCCTGAAACTGAAACCTCCGGAGATGAAAAGAAACAAAAAAAAAAACAAGATGAGAGTGAGATTTGTAAAAACAGAATATCGCCTATTTGTTTTTTAATACCTTTTTTTTCATGTTTGTTTCAATATCATAAGTTTTTGGGTTATTTTGTAAGTATATTTTATGAATGACATACACGTTACTTGTTCATATTAAATTGGAAGCACAATCTAAATTCTAGATTAGATTAATACATTTCTGCTATAATGAAATAGAATTGGTAAGGGAATAGATAGAAACAAATATAAATAAAAAGCAATTGTGGAAATGTATTTCTCAACTATAAATAACCTATAAAATCCAACAAGTGTCTCTTAATTATATTGGAAAAGGTTTGTGTGTTAAGTGATGAACAAGGTTAGTTTTGTTAACTTTATCTTATAATCATAATGGCTACAATATTTGTTAATTTGTTTGATGAAGAAGTAAAAGGTGTAAAAAAAAAATATGGATAATTGGATACAACCAAAAATATTATTAAAAATGAAAATAAAATAAAATAAAACTACCCCATTTCTTGGCCCTTGGGGTTCAAGGATTACTTTTGATTGTGGATTCGTCCACGTGGTTAAAACCGGAATGGCATGGGACCGAGATATGATCTAACGGCGTAGAGTCACTCATACAGGCGTAACCAAAATATCTTTATTTCTCTTCTCTCCTCAAAAGAGACAAAAATAAACGAAAAGAAAATCTAAAACCCTTTCCTCACGATTTATTTGCCGCATCCCTAAAACCTCCGGTGTGTTTTCTGGTTCACTTTCTCCGGTAAACTGAGCTCCTCCGTCTGCTCTGGAATTCTGGTCGACTGTAAGTGGTACTCTATCTCTTTCCTTTTAATATCATCTTCGTACCCCTCATTGTTCTTAAATCAAGGTTTTTTTTCCTCTTCATTTGATTTTCTTCCGTCGCTTCGTTTTCAACATCCAGTCGATTATCTATCATCACTTACGAATTTTGGGCGTAAAAATTGTGCTTTTTTTTCCTTCCAATGTCGATTAATCGTCTCGGATTTTTTTTCCCGATTCAGATACTTAGTAATGGGTTCGCTGTAAGTTTCTTAGGTTTGATCTAGTAGTTTTTGATTCAGCGAATTTCATCTTTCACAGATTAAGGAGTGATCTCTTCTGGGAGATGCCCAGGTGACTCTTATTTCCATAGCAAGGTATTATGAAAATGGCGTCAAGAGCGATCGTTAGGAGAAGGAGTATCATTTCCGATTACTTGAGTGTCTATGCTCGCTCAGCTCAGAGCTTTCAGTCTATTGGAAACTCCGCTCAGAGTGTTGATTCACATGCTTATCACACCATCAACCGTCCTCCTGTTGAATCCAACAACCGTGTAGCCGAAACCAAGTCCTTCACAGGAAGAGATGGTCTTCTATTGACTTCTAGGAACGGATTTTTCGATCGGAGATACCATGGTTCTCACTTCTCGGCCACTGGATCCGGAAGTTTGGAAATTGTTCCTTCTCTGGGGATGAGATATATGAGCATATCCATTCGCAATGCTACTACAGTTGCAGCTAAGAAACCGGAAGATGAGGAGAAGAAAGAGGACGGGGTTGCTACAAGCAGGAAAGAGGCATCTCCTGAGGAATGCGATCAAGCTGTTGTGAGTCTGAGCAGTCTTAAAGCAAAGGCTAAAGCTAAACGTCTACAAGATTCCAAAAAGGTTGCTCGGTCGATAGCACAGAGGACATGGGCATTTTTTCTGAAGATAGGTCCTGCTTTAAGAGCTGTTGCCTCCATGAGCAGGTTTTAGCTTTCTCCTGACATTGTGTGTGTTCTTTAATCGCCAGGCTTATGCATAGTTATTGTAGTGTACTGAATTTTCTGTTTTCTACAGGGCGGATTGGGCAAATAAGCTCACTCACTGGAAACAAGAGTTTGTATCAACACTGAAACATTACTGGCTGGGGACTAAACTACTCTGGGCAGACACTAGAATCAGTTCGAGATTGCTGCTCAAGTTGGCTGGTGGAAAGAGTCTCTCCAGAAGAGAAAGGCAGCAGCTAACTCGAACAACAGCTGATATCTTTAGATTGGTGCCATTTGCAGTGTTCATCCTCGTGCCGTTTATGGAGTTTCTGCTGCCAGTTTTCTTGAAGCTCTTCCCTAATATGTTACCGTCAACTTTCCAGGACAAGATGAAAGAACAGGTATGTTTCAACGGACTGTAGGCTTTACACGTTCGTTTATTACCTTCTTGCCTTCTGAGTCTCTCTTTTGCTTGTTCCGTTTTTGTTAATGTACAGGAAGCATTGAAAAGGAAATTACTTGCAAGGATGGAATACGCTAAGTTTCTTCAGGAAACAGCCAAAGAGATGGCCAAGGAAGTTAAACATTCAAGAACTGGCGAAGCCAAGAAAACTGCTGAGGACCTGGATGATTTTCTGGACAAGGTAAAAAGTCATGGATTTTTTTGCTGACTTATCCCTTTCTTTCGTTCCCTCGTTCTTAAAATCTTGCCTTGCAGGTTCGAAGAGGTCAATTAGTCCAAAATGATGAAATTTTGGGATTTGCAAAGCTTTTCAACGATGAGCTTACTTTGGATAACATTAGCAGGTTCTGTTGCTCTTTCTTTTCTGAATCTCATAGATGTCTTGTGCTCTTAAAGAGGTACATGTTCTGACAGTATTCTTTGTTTTCAATAATAGGCCTCGCTTGGTTAGCATGTGCAAGTACATGGGGATTAGTCCCTATGGAACAGATTCTTATCTGCGATATATGCTCAGAAAAAGACTGAGGAGGTAAGATGCTTCCACGTCCGAATTGTTATTAGACTGGTTACCTTGCTTTGATGTTTAATTGTTTTATCCTTTTCATTGCAGCATTAAAGAAGATGATAAACTGATTAGAGCCGAGGGTGTGGATTCCCTTTCAGAAGCTGAGCTACGTGAAGATTGCAGGGAACGCGGAATGCTTGGGCTGGTTTCAGTTGAAGAGATGAGGCAACAGGTTCCTTTCCACTCATATAATTCTCGTTTCTTTGTTATGTATTATCAAACTCCTTCGGGAACAGTTGTTAATGTTTTAGTGTCAAAAAAATCTTGCAGCTTCGTGATTGGATGGACTTGTCACTTAATCATTCTGTCCCCTCGTCGTTATTGATCCTATCTAGGTAGGTTCCAGAACTCCTTTTCTCATTTTTTGTTGTTCTTCCATCGGTTTTATTGCGAATAAATTTCTGATAGCAATTTATATTCAGGGCATTCACGGTTTCTGGAAGAGTTAAAGCAGAGGATGCTGTCCGAGCTACTCTTTCTTCACTTCCCGACGAGGTTGTGGATACTGTTGGTATTACTTCTCTGCCATCTGAAGACCCTGTTTCTGAGAGAATAAGGAAATTAGAGTACCTTGCGATGCAAGAAGAACTGATCAAGGTATGATCATAAGCCATTAGATGTATCGTATTATGCTTGCTTGAGGAAGTTAGAGAACTCAAATTTCAATGTTTCACATTTTCCACTTTCTACATTTATGAATATGTAGGAAGAAGAAGAGAAAGAAGAAGAAGAGCTTACAAGGATTAAGGATGTTAAAGGTGCTGAAGAGGATAAGGCACTGCAAGAGATGACCATTCCAACGGCCAGCGAAGCACAAGAACAGGCCAGAGCTAGAGTTCTTGAACAGCAAGATGATCTTTGCGAACTTAGCCGGGCATTGGGCGTCTTAGCTTCCGCTTCTGTAAGAAAAATGATTCTTATGGTTTTCAACAATGAATATGCAGAGCAAATTTATCTGGTACTTATTTAAGAATCTGTTTGTTTTTGTTATAAACAGTCGGTATGCAGAGAGCGAGAAGAATTCTTGGGACTGGTCAAGAAAGAGGTAAAGTGTCCACCAAAGCATAAGCTCGTATCGAAAGTAGTTTGTGTCCTCGATTGATGACATTGCGTTTCTGTTTGTCCAGATGGAGTTCTATAACACAATGGTCGAGAGAGAAGATGTAGATGGTGAAAAAGCTGCAATGAAGGCATACAAAGCAGCTAGAGAAGATAATGAACAATCTGAAGAAGTAGCTGAAGCAGACGAGGTTTCCTCTGCACTAATGGAAAAGGTAAATTTACTTACAATCGTTCTTGAAGAATATCAAAGTCCCATAAGATTTGCATCAGAGCTAACTTTTAAGGCATTCTTGTTAAGGTTGATGGTCTGATTCAAAACCTCGAGAAGGAGATTGATGATGTGGATACCAAAATTGGCAAAGGGTGGCAGCTCCTTGACAGGTAGAGAGACATATTACATCCTCCATTTTGTTTTCGTTTCTGAGACTAAGATTCTAAAGTTGTCACGTTTAAATGCTCATAGGGATCGTGATGGAAAGGTCACACCTGATGAAGTTGCAGCTGCTGCGATGTACCTGAAAGACACACTTGCTAAGGAAGGCCTTCAACAACTAATCAGTAGTCTCTCCAAAGATAAAGGTAAAGAAGAACAATCCTATCCTTCTTTAACCTTTTCATAGCTCTTTGAAGTTAATCTGTAAGTTGATATTTGTTTTGAATCGTGTTTTCAACAGAGGGAAGAATCATGGTGGAAGACATTGTAAGGTTGGGGAGGTTGGGAAGTAAGCCAGAAGAAAATGCCACAGAAGAAGAATCAAATTAGATGAAAGAACACTCTTGAAGAAGACTCTATTACTTTTAGTTGTAATGAAGATAGAGAGAAACTATACTTCGGGTTTTGCTGCTTAGATTATAAGCAGTTACAAGAGGCTAATATTGAGTTAGACCTTTTGGCTTTTGCAATTAGTTATGTGAAGAGAGGTTCAAGATAAACAAAAAGGAAAAGACAAGCACAGTTTACTGTTTAAGAGCTTAATTCAATTGAAAAACTTTTGAGCCAAGTTTCTCTCCACTTCTTTGCATTCTTCTTCGCCATTCTTCTCTTCTCTCTTCACAAACTAATTGATATTGCTGATTCAGACTAAAGTTGTCATGCTCAGCTTTTGCTTGTTTCTGTTCGACTAACCGGTTTAATCGAATCAACCTCTAAACTCCAATTTGTTATTTGTATCAATCAGGTTAGTATTTGCTTCCTAGTTTCTAACTTATAATCTCGGGCCCTCATCGCAAATAAATTGTTATTTGTCTGCGATTACCATGATTATCACAAAAATTCATTGAAGAAAACTAACATTTTTGATACATATCAATCGTCAAGTGCAGGAGGTAATTTAAAATGAGGTCAAAGAAGATATAACATCAATGGCGATGACCATTGATGATGATGATGATGATGGTGCATCAGGAAGGGTCTAGGCTCCGTCAGCCAAAGTTCTCTTCACTGTACTGATGTAAAGAACTGCACCCAAAGAGAACACAGATTCTTTTTATGAGTAAAAGGCAAAGACATACAAAGAAGAAGAAGACTGAAGAATGTTGAAAGGTTTTAGTTACCATTGTTTCCACGGATAAAGGCATCACCATATTTGTTCTTGAGCTGCCCGTTTACATACTCCTCTGTCTGCTCCATAGCAATGTTCATATAACCATCAAGACAAGTAAGAATGCCTGTGTAAAAATAAGAAGCAGTTATTGATCAAGAACATATTCTGGTCGACCAGAACCTAGACTAAACTGATCAAGGCAACAAGAATAACAAGTCCAGATGAATGAAACAAGTAGTTTATCATATGTCAAATTTCACTGTTACATAGCCTTGAGCATTGACCATAAAACCACGAAGCAAAAATCTGAAAATCCAAGCTCAAAAGCTGTCCTAGTCAACTATTGTAGCCTTATTGCAGGTTGTAGATAAAAACACACAAATTAGCCTTGAAATGAATGAAGATTAAGTAACTAGAGTGAGAATAACAAGCAACTCTTTGGTTCGCATTAACATGTGTAAAAGGTGCCAGTCCTGAGTCAAAAGTCTAACCTAAAGTGCAGCTGAGACAAACTGAATCATCAACTACATAAGAACACTTAGAACACATAGAGAGAAAGAGAGACTGACCTCGGTAATCAACACCAGAATTAAGCTTCACAACAACAGGTTTCCCACGGATCGATTTGAGGAAATCTGTAGGTGTCTTTGTCGTTCCAGTAACTTTCTCTCCTGTTCCACTCATTCTTAATTTATTTCTTCTTCTATGCTATATCCCTTTATGTAGCTGCAAAAGCAATTGAGATCTGAAACAATCAGTTGGGTCGCTCTGAGATTTCTTACAAAGTTGAAAACGAGACTCAGATACGACTTCAGTTATCTAAAACAAGCATTCGCCGTCACAAGTAAGCGAAAATCCTTAAACCCTCGAATTCAAACAAAAAGTGAACTCGCAGCTTCTCAGACCTAAACCCATCGGAAGAGTTAACTCGCAGCTTCTCAACAAAAAGATGCCGAACCCTAAAACCCTAGACTTTCGATCGAGTGAAAGCGAATCGATTAAAAATTGAAACTTTTACATGGAACAACTAAGAAATCCATACCTCTGACCTATTCGAGTCGACACCTCTGTTTCGATTTTCACAAAAAAAGAAAAGCGAGAGATGGAGCGAAGTAATTTGAGAAAGGGTTTTATTATTTTCCCGAAAACTTAATAAAATTGAATATTGGTCCTTTTATAAATTTAATTTAAATTAATTTGGGTGAAATTAAATCTCCGGTGCGTTTCGGTTCGGCCTCACAGTTCTCTTCTCTCTCTCTCTTTCTCTCTCGTTTTCGCTTTCTCTCTACAGATCCCTAAATTCTCTCCTTTGGACCGTTAATCCCAAACCCTAGATTTCACAACCAAAATCCTCACAGCTTCTTCATCCTCAATCTCATAGCTCTCTTTCTCCTTTCAATTTCGTTTTTTTTTCCGGAAAGAAAATTTCCGACTTTTTCTTCGGGGTTAATTTTTGAATCAATCAGCTATGGGGAAGAATCAAGCTTACAAGGCTATGCAGAGATCTAGGGTTGGCTCCAGCTCCGCGCAGCCGGAGGAGGTTGAAGACGGAATGGTTTGTACCTTTTCATACTACTTTCTTCATTGCAACTGTTAAGAATTACGTCTCAAAAAAAATCCCAATTTGGCTGATTACTTTATTGATCTTCGTGTCAAGCTGCGTGATTTATCTCTTACGATTCCCAATTTCGTAGAAATTTAATCTGTTTAGGCTCTTAGAGTATTTATTTTCATGTTTGAGGAAATTGAAACTTGAGATGTAACCTCTTCTAGTGTAGCATTGAAGTTTGTGTGCGAGTGATTGAAGAGTCTCGTATTGTTATTGCAATCTGTAAACACAAGAAAGAAAGTATTTGGACAAGTCAAACACTATGATGCTTTGATATGAATGTGGATCATTTGCTCCTTCTTTGCTTTGATATTCAGATGATTGTTTATTGTATCTCTGGTACCGGAACATTTCTGATGAGGATTGTCTCAGGTGGATGGTTCATTTCATACACCAGAGTGGCATGCGGCTCGTTTGGCTAGTCTCAAGACTACCCACACAATTACTTGGGAAGAATATAAGCAGAAGCAAAAGGTAACATCTTCTCAATATTGTATTGAATGTTGGTCCTTGTTATATTGACCATTGATGATTAAGTATTCATAAGCTTGCTATTACTGTCTTCAAATTCAGAAGCTTTAGTCCAACAAAATCATTAAACTCCTGTCACTTATTCATTTGTCTTCTCAGTAGATGGGCAAGCTCATTGTTGACATTTCTTCATCTGCAATATCAGTTTCTTAGTTTGTTGCAGCTTCTCTGCATTGTGGTTATGCAGCATTAGAAAATGCTTTAACATTGTATCTGTTATGTGCGTGACATGTTTTAGGATGAAGAAATGAAAAAGGGGGAGCTTGAAGCTGATACTGATAAACTGATGCGTGAGTATAGAGCTCAGCTGGATGCAGAAAGGGCCTTGAAACTCTCCAAGGGAAGGAACTATTCTAGCGATAAGTCCCGGAAAGGTAATATGATCAACCTAACACTAGACAGAATATCTAAACATTCTTTCTGAGGAAGTTCTTAACTGGTCTCCAATGGCTAAATGACGTTACAGATAAGAAAGACAGAGATTCGAAGAAGAAGAAAAGCAAGAAGAGAAAGGTGCTTATTAAGAATTTAAGCTGAAAACAGAGTGTGTCATGTTTTTATAGCTTCTATTTAACATTAGCCATGTTGTGTGTTTGCAGCATTATTCGTCCTCAGAGTCGTCATCTAGTAGTGATGAAGATGAATCGAGAAGATCAAGATCAAGTTCTAGAAGATCAAAGAAGGAGAAGAAGCACAGGTCCAGCAGAGACAAACACTCTAGCAAAAGTAAAGATGAAACCGATGGCCCTGTACCTCTCTCAAGATTCTTTGACAATCTTAAGGATTGACACAAGCAAATCTGCAAAAGAACCATTACAAAGGAGTAAGTAAGATTGTCTTCAATCAAAAATACTCAAAAGTAGGATATGATTACTTTCTTCCTTGTTGCAATGTTATATTTTTGACGATAGCTCATGTATTGTTATTTGTTGGATTGAAATTTGCAATAATGCCCACATAATCCATCAGTTTTTTTCCATTTTTTTTTGCTTAAAACTTAAGATTGACAACAACGAAAAAAGAAGTTTTTGGGGGCAATCTAGCAGAGAATCTTAGTACATCAACAATGTTCTGAGAGATTCTCAGGCTTTGTGACAGAAAACTCAGGAATTAGAAAATAAATTATCCAAACAATTTGAAAAGAAAAACAGAACAGATCAAGATGGTTCTCTCAAAGCATCTCTCAAAAGATCTCAAGGACAGAAACAACACAATGACTGCTTTGAGAACTGTTGGTGAAGCCAAAGTCAATGTTCCTACTCTTGCTGGAATTCAGGGTTGAAATCTAGGGCTTCACGGTAGATCAACTCCCTAGCCTCCTTCTTTGTGAGTGATTGTTGCCCTATATCGAATTTGAAGGGCGTTGTGCACTCTGGTTCATTAGTAATGTCATGCAGCGACTGGAGATATGGATGAGCAAGCGCTTCTTCAACTGCGGAAAGGCAAGAAAGCAAACAAATGAAAAGCAGTTATTCAAAGAAAAGGGTTTGGAGTGAAGTATTTCACAATCAAGAAGCACAAGAACAACTTACCTGAGATTCTCTGTCTAGGGTCAAACGTGAGGAACTTCTTCATCAGGTCTATGGCTAAAGGAGGCACATTTGGGAATTTCTCAGAGAATGATTGGCGAGGAAACCAAGGAAATTGCCGTATGTATCGCTTAGTGTTTTCATTCAATGATCCAATATATTCTTCTGATGGACTGCCTATGAGCTGCGCAAAACAAAGTCAAAAACTCTTTCTTAAGCTACAAGGTATGTTCTTGGGAGAAACAATATAAAAGGGTTTTACTCTATTACCTCCATAAGCAAACGAAGCTGATGACCAGCATCTTGACCTCGGAAGAACGGTTTGCGGTTAATCAATTCGAAGAAAATGCAGCCAACAGACCAAACATCAACCGCTTTGGTATAACCAGAAGAGTTTAAGAGAAGCTCGGGTGCACGGTACCATCCTGCGCCAACTTGCGCAGACGTTACACCACCCTCGGAAATGGCACGAGCAAGACCGAAATCACAGATCTTTAAGTTCCACTCCACACCTACGAGGAGGTTGCTCGGTTTTAAATCTCTATGTAACACATCAGCCGAATGCATGTACTTTAATCCACGCAGGATTTGGTACAAAAGATACTGCAAGAAAAGAGAGAGGGAAATGGAATGTTTATTATCAAGATCTCTAATCAAAATGTTTCAAGAAACAGTTTGAGAGTCAAACCTGGTGATGAGCTGGGGTTAGTACTTCATTGGATTTTATGACTTTAAGAAGGTCATATTCCATCAGTTCACATCCTATGTAAACCTCTCTAAAAGCATTTCTTTGACGAGGCACTATTACGTCTTTGATCTTAACAATCTATGGAAAATGGTATTTGCATAATTAGCTTTTAATGCGTTTATGACAAGGAAAATATAAGAAGAATTGTGATGAAATCAAACGGACATTGTCGTGATGTTTCAAGTGACGGAGAATCTTGATTTCACGGAGAGCTCTCTTTGCATTGGTTTGGTTAACAAATGCATTTACGATTTTCTTTACAGCGACTCTCTCATTTGTCTCCGAGTTCGTAACCGAACTGTAAAAAATAAAATATATGTGTTAATGATCTTCAACTATAAGAACACAAAGATCATAAATGGTTTATTATTTTTTCCACTAGTTTTTACTATTGAAAACAAAAAAAACCACAAAAATTTGTATGTTTTCACGTCGTTTTTCTAGCGTGACATCGCTATACATGACGCAAGTGTTTTAAGAACTTGGGAAATTTCACATAAACGAAAGTTGTGGCTTTTTCAAGATTGAAACTTTACAGAACCCAATCACAAAATTTACAAACAATAACAGAGAAAAGTAAAAAACATGAGAAAAGGAAATTACCAAACGAAGCCATAACCACCTCTGCCAATAGGGTCGGTCGGTGGCTTATACTTTGCAGTAACTTCGAAGATCTGTCCAAGTACATTGTATCGTTCAAACTTACCATCAGTAGTAACTTCGCCGTGAGTTTCTTCCGGCTCAGCATCATTATCTGGTTTCATGACTGCTGGAGTTGTAAAACTTGGCTGATGATTTTTGGTTTATCTTATCCCTCAGATTATTCAGTTTTAGAGAGAAAATGGTATTTGTTTATATTTTGTTGGGTTGGTAGGAGTCTTTGAGGGAGCATATATATAGTGAGTGACATTGTAAGTATTGATAGTTTTACCTTTTAACATCATTAAAGAATCATAGATATGCTTTTTTGATAAATTTTAACTTTTGGGAATGTTAATGCACTAGGGGATAAGCAAATATTTGTGCACCAATAGTTGATTAGAAGGATATATTAAGGGTGATTTACCACCAATGAGGTGTTAACAATATCTAGTAAAAAGATAATAGGATAAGATTAGACAAATTCCAACCTGTCATTTGTATAACAATATCTTAGAATCCGAATAGAAAAAACGGACGAGAAGGTAATTTTTGGCATACCAATTCAACAACGACACGTAGTATAATTGCACTCATTCCAAAGAGAAAGATAACAATTCCACGTCCGCATAGTTAGATTTGGCCCTCGGCCAAGACTAATGAAGTATGGGCCTGTGGAGGTTCCAACTTTTTGTAGGTTAACAATATTCCGACGATTTTAATTGATTTGTACTAAAAAGTCCATAGAAGTTTAATTTTTGTTTTCTTAGTTTTAGTTTTAGAAATCATTCTAAAGTTCTGGCAGCCATTATTTAAAAAGTCTTACAAGTAAAACTCTTCAATAATCGCAGCCTGAACTTAGTTATTGACATTTAGAGGAAAAAACATGGTAGAATGTTTTGGTAAATTAGTTATTCTCTTACTTTTTACGTTTTACAATGAAAGACCTTTTTATGGGCCTAAAGCCCTAGGCCCACATTTATTTGGGGAGACAAAAGCTGTTAAACTTGACTTTCAACCGATAATGTTCGTCTTTTCTAACTTTCGACCCTTCTAGTTCTAAAATTGCATAACAATCCGTGCAACAAAGAATGTATAAGATACACAGGTTGAAACTTTTCTTTTGCGTCACAATTATGAATGTTAAGTAATTATCGGCAATCACGAGAAACAACAGAATAAAAGTTAAAGCCTTTACGCTTCTGAGACCTTGTCCAAAGCTTCTTCTGTGGATGACGACGATGCATCTTGGAGACCTTCAGAAGTTTCATCAGACGGCTGAGATTCATGCTTAGCAGCAGCCTGTAAAACCCGGCTTCGGACATCTGTGGAAGAAGGTGAAGTCGGGAGGCCAACACCATTTGTCTCAAGTTTTCCTGCAGCCCATGAGAAAGCCTGTGCTCCAAGTTTCACCGGTGCAAACAACAGCCTTGAAGAAGAAGATACAATATTTGTTAGTACAGAACAGAGGTTTTGTTATGAACAGTGATGGCCTTTTATACCTGACGTCTTCCTTGAAGTCTTCGGAGTCATCATATGAAGAAAGTCGCTGGTATATAGTCTGCACAATGTCTGAGACTTGAGAAACAGAACAAAGAAAAGACAATTTGACAGGTAAAACTTAAAAGAAGTACCTGGCCGAGGCCAAAGACAGCTATGAGTTGCAGTGTTTTCTCCCACTCTGCGAGAGATATAAGCAATCATGTTACTGCAAAGTTTATAGCGGCACAAAAGAGATTCTAAAAGGTAAATGAGAAAGAACTAAACGCACCAAACAAAGCATACAATGCTGCGAAAAACCCCTGCATGGATCGCATTGTGTTTGTCAGGATGGGGTTAATATATTGTGATTAAAAAGATATATAGAACTAGAAACATACCACACCAACTCCAACTACTTGCAGTGGAGAGGGATTTATGTCCTCAAGAATTGCCTCAGCTTCCTGAAAATCATTCCAAAATCAGGATGTGCTTAACTTTTTGAAGAAAGTATCTGAGAGTAGTTTCATTTCATCCGAATCCATAGTCCAAAAGATTATCTACATATAGTAAAGCTGATCACAATGAAAGATAACCTCGTTGAGGATGGAAAATGAAAGATAACCTCGTTGAGGATGGAAAGTGTTGTCTCAGGTTTTGGCTCTTTCACACGAAGACCTTCCTTAACCCATGATCTAAACCCACCTTGCACCAAGTATGGCTTCTGTCACATATTAAGCATCCAAAGAAGAGCTTATTTTAGAAATGTTTAACTATAGTAGTACTCAAAGTGAGTTAGAGATCAGAATCACTTGCCTTAATCCCAAGTTTTCTCAAGGCTCTTGCAATGCCCTTAGCGCGAGTTCCATCAGCATCCATAACAATAACCTTGGAACTGTCCTATAAGTAGCAGAGTAAGCAAAGTTTATAAGATGTCAGCATAGCTTTAGAAACTGAAACTCCACCAATAAATTGCACATAACCATAGCGAGTTACGAAAGAGGCATGAAGTTGGCGTACCTTGACTGCTTTTAAGTTCTTGATGATAACTGCTGTCAAGGTATCATCCACTTCATTTCCACCTCTCAGTAGCCGTTTAACAGCACCGTCAACCTTAAACATGAATCAAGAACCATAAAACTGTTTCACTGATTGCTGACACTTTGTTGTGTTCGTGTATTAGATTTGTGGAGTTTCTACAGAGGCTGAAACCAACCTCAGGAAGTGTCACACTAGAATATCGAAAACGAGCTCCTCTCCGCAGATCAGGGATTCCATCTTTCTCTCTCAAGGCCTTCAAAAAGTCATTGATGAACATTATGTGAAAGAAATAGCCAAACTTTGGAGAGTTTTGTAAAGTTAATGAACAATGAACTCGTTGGAAGCTTAAGAGCGTCTTACTTCAGGCCTGACATCAATGAGGACTGGCTTTTCTCTGGATGTTAAAAGCTCAAGAGTTGACTTTGGAGACAAATCTCCAGCATATCCACCATATGTCCAAACCCGATATAGAGTCCTGCAAACATCTGGTGGAAAATATAAATTCTTGTATAATACATTGTTCTTCTCTCGATAAAGGCAAATATGATATCCATTTCAGAGTCCGAAAAAGCCGTGTACCAAAAGGTTCCTGTGGTGCCTACGAAGAGAAAAAGGTGAATGATTGGATCATCTGGATTCAACCCCAAATTTCTCTCCAAACCTCCAACGGCAATATACACCTGTTCATCATGATGCTGTTAGAAACATGTGGTCCATCAAGGGATAAGTTTATTTTCCAGAACAATATAAATGGAAAAGAAAAAGCACCTGCTTCAACACAGCACCCAAGGGCCTCAATACTTTTAGAGCAACATCTTCTGATGAGGTAAGCACAGTTTTAACATCTGGAGGAAGCAGTTCCTTTGCTGAGCCATAAGAGTAGACAACAAAAGAAACTCCATTTGCTAAGGAACTCTCTGCAATACCAACTGATTGCCTCAACAGCTCAATTGCAACAGAAGCTGCTCTGTTTGAAGCGTCCTTCAAGCCAGTGGAAACGCTCGAAAGCTTGTCTCCAGCTATATCTCCTGTCTGGTCTAGCGTAGAAAACGCAGTGTTGAATGCATTATCTACAGCTTGAGAAGCATTCTTTGTAATGGATGTCACGGACGAGGAGAAGGAATCCAAAGTGTTCTTCACAGCGTTTTCTCCTTGGTTTAGTGAAGAGCTTAGCGACTCCTTGACACTAGAAGAAAGGTCATCAAAGCTAGCTTTCGCATCGGGAAGTGGCCCTGGCTTGAGATCTAGAGTATCTGGCAGAGACACAGAAGTATCCGGAGATAGAAGGCTACTGGTGTTTTCAGTTAATGTCTCAGCAGCAAAGTCTTCACTGTCTACATATGTCAGACCCCCACGAAGATCACCGGCTACAAGAGCTTCTCTCATGTCATAAACCATGTAGTTGATTCTGTCCAACTCATTCTCACACAAACTTGTGAAAGTGGATACTTGCTGTTCTGTGTTCTCGATGGTACCGGTGAAGAAACTCCCAGTGGCTTGAGATAAGCAACTCTTCTGAAGTGGTGTTCCATTAGAAATGCCAAAGAAGAAATTATCAACAGAAGTGTATCTGTGAATCGACTCTCTCCTGAAGGAAGAACAACCTCGCCAATTGCCAGGAAATAAAATCTGCATATAAATACAAAAGCTTTGTCTTAAACACATATAACAAAGCATAATCACCACGGCGTAAGCAAAACATATATTTCAGAATTCAAATTTGAATACTTTTAATCCTTTTTCCTCCTATCAATCAAAGAATTTGGTTCCATTATTATTACCTGAGAATGGTAATGGCAGCTTGTGGCCGAGCACAGGGGAAACATGTTGGTCTCGACAAATTTAATCAGTCCAATCTCATATCTTTCACAGGATACCGGAAAAGGTACAAGAACTAGATTTCAGAGGCAAAATGACAAGAAATACAGACAAGACTCCACCAGCAGATTCTTAGTATCGGGTTTCGTCTGAAACCTGCAATAAGAATACCCATTATCCAGTTATTCAATCTGAGCATGTAGGGAACCTTAAGGAGGTCAAAATTCGAAGATAAAATAGAGAAGAAACTGAAAAGAGAGAGAATATAAAATGCCAGTATCTTTAACCTGTCTGGGTCAAGATCGAATATGGAGTTTCATGAGGAGAGTGGAGTGAGCTTGATGAATTATGAAAGGTGTATGGGCGCGTGGATTCGAAAGAGATTGCGTCGCAATATGGATTGGGTGGAGGAAGATAACTGAAGAGATATCGTGTGGCTTGTCAAAGCCGTTAATCCATCTCTATTTTTTTTTTGTCTTTTCTTCTACTCTGTGTGAATGGGTCAATCCATTCCAATCTAAAACTATTGGGGCCAATGTCGAAGTTACCAAAAGTTTTATTATTTTTCGTAAATCAATGACACAATTGTACACGTGTCATTCTATGATCGTTTTAATCCTGTGGGTATAGTAACAGGCGATTTGCTCCTCCTCTTCTTCTGTTCGTCTATGACTTCGTGAAATTTTGCATCTGATCATCTCTGCAACTTCACGCTTCCTTGCAAGGTGAGTTCTTCTCTTAGTGACCCATTTCTTCGTGTGACTTATGATAAAGTTTCGATTTTTATGAAGAATCGATCTCTCTGATTGCCCGGAATCTGAATCTTCGGTTTGCGTCTGTAAATTGCCTTATTGGAACTCTCAGATCTCTAGAACTCCGAATTTATTATTTTTTCTTGATTGAATAGAGGCCACAATCCTGTGAGAAAATTCTGAGCTTTTGGGTCAGTGAGATTGGGGAACATTTTAGGAAGATGATCTCGCACTTTGAATTCTATTTAGCGTTAAGTATAGAACTAACTATGCTGCATTTTGGAATTACATTGCTATTTATGTCTATGGATTTCAAGTGAAATGATTTCCTCATTTTCATTTGTTTTTTTCTTCAGATTTTTGGTTCCATATTCATATCTTGATCAGTGAAGCTGTTAAGAAGGCACCTGATCCGCTTGTTCCTGAGTTCAGATGGATCTGCGTCCACCAGGTGAGTCCTATTTTGTGGCTTTATCTGCTCTTCATTGTGTTTTTTGTTTTCCTCTCGAGGTTTAAGTTCGCTAACTTCTTATCTTTCTTGCAGTGGGTGGTCAGAAGACATCTATAGTTGTTATCACCTTAGACTCTGGTGAAGTCTACGTCATAGCCAGTCTGTTCTCTAGGGCTGACACTCAGGTTATCTATATCGATCCTACAACTGGTATCCTGCGGTACAATGGGAAGCCTGGTCTTGATAGTTTTAAGTCAGAGCGTGAAGCCGTTGATTATATCACGAACGGATCAAGAGGAGTTTGTAGAAGCACGGTTTATGGCAGGGCGATTCTCGGTTATGCTGTGTTGGGGAGCTTTGGGATGCTTCTTGTTGCGACCAAGCTAAATCCAAGTATTCCAGATTTGCCTGGTGGAGGATGTGTGTACACAGTCACTGAGAGTCAGTGGGTCAAAATACCACTTCACAATCCACAACCGCAAGGGAAAGGTGAGATCAAGAACATTCAGGAGTTGACAGAGCTTGACATCGATGGGAAGCACTACTTCTGTGATACTAGGGATATTACCCGCCCCTTCCCGAGCCGTATGCCAGTGCAAACCCCTGATGATGAATTTGTTTGGAATAAATGGTTATCCGTGCCTTTTAAGAATGTTGGTCTGCCTGAGCACTGTGTCATTCTTCTGCAGGTTCGTCCTCCATTAATGAATTAATGATGGTTTATCAATCAACCTATTAGATTTGGTTTTATGTGAAATCTCAAAAGTATTTGAATTCATATCTTAAGACGACGTGACATTGACATCATGTCTTCTTATTTGATGTTTTTTATAGGGGTTTGCAGAATATAGACCTTTTGGGAGCTCGGGTCAGTTGGAAGGGATTGTTGCTCTAATGGCCCGTCGTAGTAGACTGCATCCAGGGACACGTTACTTAGCTAGAGGCATAAATTCATGTGCTGGCACAGGTGAGATGCTCCTGGAACTTCATGCCCGTCTTTTAAATTTCTGTTAGTTTTCAATGTTTTTGGTTGGGCTTTGAGTCTACCAAACTCTGGGTATTTGTATGACGTCTTACTTCCGATGGCACCCTTAAAAGCAATGACTGTCAGGAAGAAAGGCATGCATTTCATGTAAATGTGGCTCTGGATTTGATTAGGGCCTAATTTTAGAAGTATATTTGTGTAGTGCAGGTAACGAAGTTGAGTGTGAGCAGCTTGTATGGATACCTAAAAGGCAAGGTCAGAGTATTGCTTTTAACTCATACATCTGGCGACGTGGCACCATACCAATATGGTGGGGTGCAGAACTGAAGATGACCGCCGCAGAAGCAGAAATTTATGTGGCAGATAGAGATCCGTATAAAGGAAGCACAGAGTATTACCAAAGGCTAAGCAAGCGATATGATACAAGGGATCTAGATGCACCGGTTGGGGAAAGCCAAAAGAAAAAGGCTTTTGTTCCTGTTGTGTGCGTTAACTTGTTAAGAAATGGAGAAGGGAAATCAGAATCTATATTAGTTCAACATTTTGAAGAATCGATGAACTTCATCAAATCCAGTGGAAAGCTTCCTTATACTCGTGTTCACCTAATAAATTATGATTGGCATGCTAGTGTGAAATTAAAGGGGGAACAGCAAACAATTGAAGGATTATGGATGTATCTGAAATCTCCCACTATGGCAATAGGAATCTCTGAAGGTGACTATTTGCCTTCACGACAAAGACTGAAAGATTGCAGAGGTGAGGTAATCTGTATTGATGATGTTGAAGGTGCCTTCTGTTTGAGATCACATCAAAATGGGGTAATACGCTTCAACTGCGCTGATTCTTTGGATCGGACAAATGCGGCTAGTTTCTTTGGTGGACTTCAAGTGTTTGTAGAGCAATGTAGAAGGTTGGGGATATCACTTGATACCGATCTTGGATATGGTTATAACTCTGCTAATAGCTCTGGCGGATATAATGCTCCTCTTCCACCAGGATGGGAAAAAAGAGCTGATGCAGTCACTGGAAAATCGTATTATATAGATCACAATACTAAGACAACAACATGGAGTCATCCATGTCCTGATAAACCTTGGAAGAGACTTGAGATGAAGTTTGAAGAGTTTAAGAGATCAACCATCTTATCTCCTGTGTCTGAGCTCGCTGATCTTTTTCTGCAGCAAGGTGATATCCATGCGACCCTCTATACTGGCTCAAAAGCTATGCACAGCCAAGTTCTTAATATCTTCAGTGAAGAATCTGGAGCGTTTAAGCAGTTTTCTGCAGCACAGAAAAATATGAAAATTACGCTACAGAGAAGATATAAGAATGCAATGGTTGATAGTTCACGGCAAAAGCAACTGGAGATGTTTCTGGGAATGAGGCTTTTCAAGCATCTTCCATCAATTCCTGTCCAGCCTTTACATGTAAGAAAATTGGCACAGTTTCAGTCCCCTTATTTCCATCTTACAGTCAACTTTTTTTCCATGTGTATACTGCTCAAAATAATGAATTACATTTTTGCACGAGGTAGAATTTGCTTCTTGTTGGATAGAAGCTCTTTATTTTCTTATGTGTCGATAACTATATATATGATTATATCTTCGTTGTTAATATGTAGAGTTTACAATTTGCTCCTTTCTGAATTCTCACTGCAACTTTTTTTTTCATGTCAGGTACTCTCTCGACCAACAGGTTTCTTTCTGAAACCTGTACCTAGCATGTCTGAAAGTTCCAGTGATGGGTCCAGTCTACTGAGTATCAAGAGGAAGGACATAACTTGGGTACCTCCACTTCAATATAACATTACTTCTTAGTTCTCATTACTGGAAAACTTGACTAAAAATTTTCCCTACGTTTTATATACTTTGCAGTTATGTCCACAGGCGGCAGATATTGTTGAATTGTTTATCTATCTCAGTGAGCCGTGCCATGTATGTCAACTTCTACTGACCATATCCCATGGTGCGGATGATTTGACATGTCCATCCACTGTGGACGTGAGAACTGGACGCCACATAGAGGACCTTAAATTAGTTGTTGAGGTTGACTCTCTTTTAGGTCTTGTCCCTTCTCTTTTATTGTTTGGAGGAGATTGGTTAGTACAACTTTAGTTCAATTTTACTGATTGCCTGTAATTATGTTTTGTGGACAGAGTGCTTCGATACCGCGCTGTGCAAATGGTACAAATATTCTGATACCCCTACCAGGGCCAATTAGTTCCGAGGATATGGCTGTTACTGGAGCTGGTGCACGTCTTCATGAAAAAGATACGTCAGGTCTTGCACTGCTGTATGATTTTGAAGAGCTAGAAGGACAATTGGATTTCTTGACCCGTGTAGTTGCTGTTACATTTTATCCAGCTGGTTCTGTTAGAATTCCTATGACTCTTGGTCAGGTACTAAATAATTTCCTGACTGTGAATTGATGATTTATCTATTAGCTTCATCATGCTCTGAACTAGTTTGGGTTTATAATTAGACATCATTTAAAGAAAAAAAAACAATATTTCTGCAATGTTTTTGTGCTGCAGATAGAAGTCCTTGGAATTTCTCTTCCATGGAAAAGAATGTTTACTTGCGAACTTACGAAGGGAAGATTAGCTGAAGTTGCAAGGAAAACAGATGATGATGAAATTCCTTTTTCATCTAGTTCTGACTTGAATCCGTTTGCTGCAAAATCTTCACAGACTGAAACTGTGCCCACACCCGTACAACAGAATGATCCTTTTCCCAGTAATCTGCTTGACCTTTTGACAGGAGATGACTCTTCTTCTGACCCGTTGCAACAACCAGTGGTGGAATATGCTGCAAGTGGAGGCAATGACATGCTTGATTTCTTAGATCAAGCAGTTGTTGAATATCAAGGCTCTGAAACTGTTCCTGGCGGGTCTTTCTCACAAGATATAAAGCCTAGAGAAAGTGGTTCTCATCAGTACTTAGATTGTCTGAAGTCCCTTGTGGGTCCAAATATGGTATGCTGCTTCATATTTATTACTTCTTGTCACTAACTATTTCTAATTGTATAATCCTTTTCTTGGTTTAGCTATTCTTCTCAAGTGCTATCTTTCTTTTTAAAGTACAATTTTTAAGGTTAAACTCAGTTCCTGCATGTTTGACATAATACAGGGAAAGAAGCTTGAGTTTGAAGAAGCTATGAAGCTTGAAATTGAACGTCTGCGTCTTAATATTTCTGCAGCAGAAAGAGATAGGGCACTGTTATCAATTGGAATTGATCCTGCTACTATTAATCCTAACTCTTCACTCGACGAGTTATATATTGGAAGATTGTGCAGAATAGCAAATGCACTTGCAGTTCTTGGCCAGGCTTCTCTTGAAGATAAAATTATAGCTTCCATTGGTCTAGAGAATCTGGACAATAGTGTGGTAGATTTCTGGAATATTACGGGAATTGGTGAGGGTTGTGATGGCGGAATGTGTCAAGTCCGAGCTGAGGTCAGTAAAAGTTCAGTTGGGTCTTCTACCAAGAGTTCTGGAGGAGAGTCCGGATCAGTCTTCTTGTGTTTCCAATGTATGAAAAAAGCTTGCAAGTTTTGCTGTGCTGGAAGAGGAGCTCTCCTGCTTTCAAAATCCTACTCCAGGGACTCAGCGAATGGAGGTGGAGATGTCTCTGCTACTTCAATAGGTTCAGATCATTACATGTGTAAAAAATGCTGCAGCACGATTGTGCTTGAAGCCTTGATTGTAGATTATGTTAGGGTCCTGGTCAGCTCGCGAAGAAGTGGACGTATTGATAATGCTGGTCGGGAAGCTCTGAATGAGGTATTTGGATCTAACATTATGAATCATCTTGCTGCTAGAGGTCAACCTTCTCCTAAGCAAGAAGACTCTAGTTTCCTTCGCCAAATTCTGGGTCAAGAGGAATCACTTGCTGAGTTCCCATATGCAAGCTTCTTACATAAGGTAATATATTTCATTCTTACACATGTGTGAGATAAATTTCTGGAATCTCTTCACTTTAAATGGAGAGCTCTGTTGTATATTATTATTACCTAATCCTCCTCTCTCTTTTGGATGTTTGCACAATGCAATGTAGGTCGAAACTGGGAGTGATTCAGCACCATTCTTTTCATTGCTCACCCCTCTGTATCTTGCTTCATGTAACTCCTACTGGAAAGCTCCTCCGTCTTCAAACTCTGTCGAAGCTGTCATCATTCTCAATAACATTTCAGATGTCAGCAGTTTGATTCTGCTCGTTAGTCCCTGTGGTTACTCTGATGCTGATGCTCCTACGGTAAGTTGACTTCTCTATCTTCAGTTGAAACCATGCCATTACGTAAATGATAATGCTATGGCATGATTGTAACCATTCCAACATTTTATGTAAATCCTCTTTGCAGGTCCAAATTTGGGCGAGCAACGACATAAATAGGGAAGAACGGACATTGATGGGCAAGTGGGATGTACAGTCCTTTATTAGATCGTCGCCTGAGCTTTTCGGTCCAGAAAAGCCTGGAAAAGAGGGTAGAGCACCAAGGCATATAAAATTTGCTTTCAAGAATCCTGTTCGTTGCCGCATTATATGGATAACACTTCGTCTTCCTCGGCTTGGATCTAGCTCAGTTAGTTTGGACAAAAACATTAATCTCTTGTCTTTGGATGAGAACCCTTTTGCTCCGATCCCTCGGCGTGCCTCATTTGGAGCAACCATTGAGAGTGAACCATGTCTTCACGCAAAACGCATATTGGTCAGCGGAAGCACCGTGAGGGACAAAACGCTTGCAAGTGTTGAGAGCATGAGCGTAAGAAACTGGCTGGACAGAGCCCCACGTTTCAATAGATTCCTGGTTAGTATCTGCTTGTTTCTTTCACCTTTGTCAATGGCATTTCCATAATTATCACTGATTTTTGTTTTGTCATGCCTTTCAGATACCACTCGAGCCTGAGAGACCAATGAACAACGATCTAGTCTTGGAACTTTATCTCCAACCTGGCTCACCTTTAGCAGCAGGTTTCCGTTTGGATGCTTTTAACGCCATAAAGCCTCGTGTGACCCACGCGCCTTCTTCGGATGTAGTTGACATTTGGGACCCAACGAGTATCATAATGGAAGATAGACACGTCTCTCCAGCCGTCTTGTATATACAAGTATCTGTTCTTCAGGTATCCATCTCTCCTCCTTCTCCTGATTTCCTATTCTCAGAAACCAAAAACTTTGTTTCTAAGCATGTGGATTGGATCCAAATAATGTTTCTGCAGGAACAATACAAAATGGTGACAGTCGCTGAATACAGATTGCCCGAGGCGAGAGTTGGTACGCAGATGTACTTCGACTTCCCTAAACAGATTCAAGCACGCAGAGTTTCGTTCAAGCTGCTTGGAGATGTTGCAGCATTTGTAGATGATCCTGCAGAGACTGATGATTTGAGTGGTCGAGCTTCTCCTTTTGCTGCAGGATTGTCTTTAGCAAACAGGATCAAGCTATATTACTACGCTGATCCTTACGCCTGATTTTTCCACTGGTCGTAGCTTGTGGTTCGATCCACACACTTTTCTTGGTCTCAGAATTTTTGTTTTCTCTTTTCCTTTTCCTCTAAAAGTTAGTCTCTTGTGCTTTGTATGTACTTGTTTGATGATGCATTTACCGTATGATTGTGTTGGATTAAAAATTGTTAGACATGGAGTGATTTTGATGTTCTAGACATTGTGTAAAAACTTGTCGGTTACGTAACCTTTTTCAATCTCTCTCGCGCGTGAATCAATTTTGGGCCTTTATCTATATAATTGGGCCTATTATGAATTTAACCCGACCTTTTCCGAAGAGGAGTCGACAAATAGCTTGGTGTATTACCTTTTTGTTTTTTACTTTTTCTTTTTGGTTAAAAATTGATTTCCTTTTTTAAAAAGGAAGTGGTTTTACTTTTATCCCACCGACTCTGAAAATTAGGGCTTATATATACATAGAGAGACAGAAGCATTCATCATAAACTTCATTACCTTACGATCCAATCAATCTCTCTCTCTTCTCTCTTGAATTCTTTGAGAAACGATGTCGAAGAACATGCTAGTGTTGAAGACCTCCGATGGTGAATCGTTTGAGGTGGAGGAAGCTGTGGCACTCCAATCTCAGACGATAGCTCATATGATTGAAGACGATTGCGCCGACAACGGAATCCCTCTTGCAAACGTCACAAGCAAAATCCTTCCGAAAGTGATCGAGTACTGTAAGAAGCACGCCGATGGTGAATCTTCCACGGAGGAGGAACTCAAGACATGGGACAAGAAGTTCGTGGATATCGACAACTCCACGATCTTCGACCTCATCCTGGCTGCGAATTACCTGAACATCCCAGGTCTGCTTGATCTCACATGCCAAACAATCGCTGATCAGATCGCAGCCTGCAAAGACGCAGACGAGATTCGCGCCAAGTATGGCATCGAGAACGATTTTACACCGGAGGAAGAAGAGACGGTTCGCAATGAGAATCAGTGGGCCTTTGAATGATCGGATCATCCAAACCCTAACCTCTTTTGTTTTTTGTGTTTTTTTTCTTTTTCCTTTTTTTTTTTTTTTCCTGTTGTTCAATTGATTTCAATGTTAGGAACCGGTGTTTTTTGCTCTAGAGACCGTATTTTCGGTGGATATTGATTTTATGCTTAAGCAATTTTAATAGCGACATGTCTCTAAAGCAATTATTCAATATTTGGTTTAATTTAGTAAATCCTTTTTTGTTTGGGGTTTACATAAAGGATGAGATCAAATAAAACTGGATAAAACCTACCTATGTCAATATTCAGATCGAACGCCAGAGAAGTCACGTAACCAATAATCTACAGCAATTATATGGTTTCAATTTTTATATACTTTTTTAATACAAAGTGTTTTTGTTGTCAATGTATGTACTTTTCACTGCTATTTTGCGCACCTTAGCTTTTTGGTACTCGATCGTTCTTTCTCCTTATATTTCCTTTTTGTAACATGGAAAGAAAAAAATCAAGAGTCAGAAATCAGAACCTAACTCTTGAGTTTTTTTCTTTACATGTTACAAAAAGGAAAAGAGCTACATATTTTTGGCCGAACCTAAATAAACGTTGTCAAAGTTTTTAATCTATTTAGAATCCGGTTTAGGGTGGTTTTACACTCAAAGTTAAGTGCTAAAAACCGAATGTTAATCCTTAAGGGAACAATAATCAAATGACACCCAAGCACAACAGTTAAATTGACACGTACTTATTTTCTTTTTGATATTTATAATATATGGAATAGTTTATATTTACAGATAAAGATAGATCATAGAAAATAAAATCAAAAATATTGAAAGATAGTATATGATATTTTGTAGAAATAATAATAGTTTTTTTCTTGCTAGAGGTTGTTTTTCTTTAAACACATTAGAAAATCTCTAAGAGTTTATTATTTGCAATCTCTATAAGAAGAAAAACTTGAAACTTCTTTAGAGATATCAAAAAAACAAAAAAACATATCACCAAGTGTCACTGAAACAATGTAATAGGTCCAACGGCTGGAAACTATTTCCTTGGAGACGAGATCAAGAGATGTCACCCTTGGTTAAGTCTTCAAAGTCATAACTCATATCACATCTTATATAAAAGGGGAATGTAAAGGTAGAAGGAAAACAACATTTTCGTTTCATCCCCATTTCTCAGACAAATTTTACTTCACCAGCAAATACAATACATCATCGGTTAGATTTCATCATTTGTGTTTTTATTTTTATTATTGCTTTTAGGCTGAAATTTAAAAAAAAAAACCCTTCCTTACTCAAAACTGACTCTGGAAAGTCTAACAAACAAACTCATTCTGTCAGATCAAGTCCTTTTGCCTCACCTGTGGAACCGATCGACAAGTATGGAGGCCTTGAAGTTCCTGAAAGATTCCGTTGCGAGGTTTCGTAGCATGGAAATTACTAACGTGGCCTTTACGTTAAGTCTAGACAGGGCGAGTTTGAAGGGGTTCGAAGGAGATGATTCCATTGATCAGGGTGAGATTGGCATGGATGAAACTATTGGAAAGACCAACGAAAATCCCCTTAATCTGTGTCTTGATGCACACATATCATCGGACAAAGGCAGCGACAGATTTTGGGCTTGTGTTGAAGTCCAAGACAAGTTCCTCGAATGTGCCAAGGCTGCTAATGCTATCTCTGATGTGGACCAATTTTCTGCAAATGGAAGCATAAGTGTTAGGTAACGCTTTTATACATGGCAACATTTTCATTCAGTCTTAATCAGCATCATCAGCATGCATAATTATCCCGGCAGAATATTGTTCTGGTCTATTCGTCTTTTTCCGAAATGACCTAAACTTGTGTTATAGACGTGTAATATATGCACTACTAAATACCAATGTTTATGTCGAAAAAAAAAAATACCAATGTTTTTGTTTGTTTGTGCAAGTAGTAATACGTCGACAAGAAAGGATGAGGAATAAGATGGAGGGAAGCTGGCAAAAGTTAAAGATGTTCTACCTTTGAGTCTGTGTGCGTTTAATAGTTTAAGTAAAATAATAATCGATTTTTCTGTGGTGTCATGTTGTCATGTGTATTTGCTACTATCTAGAGTCTCTCTGTTTTCCATAATTCGACGTTGTTGGATGATATTCCATAAATAGCATTATGCTTTTTCTTTTAATATTAACTTTTTCTACATAATGGGGGCCGGCCTACTATATCAATTTAACCACATTACCTCTTCTGAAAAGAATTCGGCAAAATAAGGCTATGCATGTATATATGTATTTCCTTATTAAAAAAAAATAAATTGTTGATCCAAGTAATTTTCTTTTAAAAAATAGGAAATATTGTTAATCCCACCGTCTTTGAAAAATTATATCAATACATAGTTTCGTTACCATATCATTCAATCGCTCTCTTGACGGTAAACCTTTCATATCAGTTCCTCTAGAGATCAAACTCGCCCCACGACAACAAACGAACAATGTCGAAGAGGATGATTGTGTTGAAAAGCTCCGACGGAGAATTGTTTGAAATCGAAAAAGCGGTCGCACTCCAATTGCAGAGGATAGCGCACATGGTTGAGGACGAGGGCGCAGATAACGTAATCCCGCTTGAAAACGTCACAAGCCAAGTCCTTACGAAAGTCATCGAGTACTGCAAGAATCACGTCCACGTCGATTCTTCTTCCGAGTGGGACGCCAAGTTCATGGATGTCGATCTATCCATGATGTTCGAGCTCGTCAAGGCTGCCGATGAATCCATGATGTTCGAGCTCGTCATGGCTGCGCATTACCTAAACATCAAACCTTTGGTTGATCTCACTTGCCAAGCAATCGCTTATCATGTCGTCGCAGCCTGCGAAACCGTAGACGAGATTCGCGCAAAGTTTGGCATCGTGAACGATTTTACACCGGAGGAAGAAGAAGAGCTTCGCAAGGAGAGTAAGTGGGCCTTTGAATGACTGGCTGGACTGGATCAATCAAAAACCCGACCAGTTTTCTTTTCTTTCTTGTTTAGTTTGTTTTGAAATTTCTTGATCATGATGACTTGCTTCTCTCTATTTCCTTATTCTCTTCTTCTTTTGAATTCAAGGATATAAACCAATGTTTGCTCTAGAGAGACCATATTTCATTGGATGTTAGCATGCTTTAGCAATTTTTCGTTTCTGTAATTAATTGGGTTTTATAATCCTAAAAAGTAGTCGCGTCCACTTACATGGTTCTTCATTTTGTGCTGGATAATTAAAGTCAAGATAAAACAGAACACCTGACCGGTTATCTACTTTGTTAATATATATGGCTTCAAAGTTTGTATTTTATGCAAAGTATTTGTGTTGTCAGTGTATGTGTTTTACCTACCTTTCTTAGGTTATTTACTCCATTAAAATAATTACAAGGTCCACAAAAACATTCATCTTTTAAAAGATATCACTTATATGTATGTTTCAAAGAAATTTCCAAAGAAAAATCAATTGAAGATAGATTTGATGTGTTATAGAGAAAGAAATGATACATATACTGATATACATAATAGAAAATTAATTGAATACAAGTTTATTTTTATAATAATATATGGAAGAGTTTAAAAAAAATCATATAGAAATTAAAATCAAAGTTATCTAAAAGATATGATATCTTGTAGAAAGACATGTTTCTTGCTTGTTAAGATAATTTGTAGAAATAAATGTTTCTTGCTAGAGTTTATTTTTCTATGTAAATTACACATTAAAAATTCTGTATAAGTTTATTTAGTTGCAATCTCTAGAAGTAGAAAAAAAACTTAAAACTTCTTTAGAAAGATAAGAAAACAAAAGAAAAGAAATATTTCACCAAGTGTCACTCATGAAGCCAAGTAACATATGTCCAATGGCTGGAACCTATTTCCTTGGAGAAGAGGTCAAAAGATGTCACCCTTAAGTAAGCCTTCAAACTTCAAAGTCACACCATAGCTTATATAAAAGGGAAATACATAGGAGAAGAAAAATAACATTTTCACTTCATCCCCATTTCTCTAGATAGAATCAACGGATTTTGCTTCACCAGCAACTACAATACGTCCTCGGTTAGATCTCACTCTCCTTGTTGTATTTTTAATCAATTTTGTTATGTATTTTTTATTGTTTCTTTAAGTTTCATGTGCGAGTCTTCTTGATTCCTTACTCAAAACTGACTCTGGTCATTCTGTCAGATCCGGTCCTTTGCCTCACCTGTGGAACCGACAAATATGGAGAAAGACTTGAAGAAACTGGTAGATTCCGTTGCGAAGTTCTGTAGCAATATGGAAGGAACTAAAGTGACCTTTGAGTCAAGCAGGACGGGAGGAGATGATTCTATAGGGAAGACCAACGGAAATCCATACAGGATGTGTGTGGAGGGATACATACCATCGGAGAAAGGCAGCGACAGATATCGGGTTTGTGTCGACGTCGGAGAAAAGCTCCTCGAATGTGTCAAGGCTGCTATCTCTGATGGGGGCCAATTTTCAGCAGAAGGAGGCATATATGTTGGGTAACACTTTTATACATAGCAAAAATTTCATTCAGTCTCTCTCTCATGCACTCTGGTTAATTTGCATCAGCATGCATGCATAACTATTCCGACTGAATATTGTTCGGTCTATTTGTCTTTTCTGAAATTACTTAAACTTGTTTTATGTTTGATATATGCATAATGCACTATTAATTTAATGTTTATTCTTTTGTGCAAGTAGTAATAAGAAGACGTCGACAAAAAAGGATGGAGCATAAGAAGAGGAGGGAGCTGGCAAAAATAAAAAATAAAATGTGCTATGTACTTTTTTTTTTTTTGCTAAGAATGTGTTATGTACTTGTGTGTGTTTAATTTGTCCGTTTATGGATGATATTTGTATTCTGGTTTGGCGCCGTTAAAATAAAGGAATTTATCAAAATATCATAATGCTTTTTCTTTTGATATTTTTTTTTCTCTTCTGAAAAGAAATCGACAAAATAACTAAATATATTTCCTTATTAGAAAAGGAATTGTTGATCCAAGTACTTTTTCTTTCTCTTTTTTATTTTAAAGAAAGGAAAATATAATTGATATTAGCGCCTATAAATTAATACACAAGCGCATAGGTTCATATCGTTTCATTACCACTTTCTATTCAATCTTGATTTCTAAACCGTTCATATAGATTTGCGTCCAGAGATATTTGCCAAAGCAACGAAAGATGTCGAAGAAGATGATTGTGTTGAAAAGCTCCGATGGAGAATCGTTTGAAATCGAAGAAGCGGTGGCACTCCAATCGGAGACAATAGCTCATATGGTTGGGGAGGAGGGCGCAGATAACATAATCCCGCTTGCAGACGTCAAAAGCCAGGTCCTCACGAAAGTGATGGAGTACTGCAAGAAGCACGATGGAGGTGACGACTCGTCCTCGGAGGATCTCAGGAAGTGGGAGACGGAGTTCCTGAAGAAAATCGATCGAGCCATGCTCATTGATCTCGTTAGTGCCGCGTGTCAACTAAAAATCGAAAGCCTCAGTGATATCACTTGCCAGGCTGCCGCTGATGTGTTGGAAACCGTAAGTGTAGAGGAGGCTCGAAGATTGCTTGGCGTAGAGAACGATTTTACACCAGAGGAAGAAGAAGCCATCCGCAAGGAGAATCAATGGGCCTTTCAGTGATCGGATAATCAAATCTTCTTTCTTGTTTGGATTGTTTTTGAGTCTTTTGATCCACGTAGATGACTTCCTTATATATTTTTTGTTTTTCTCTCATTCTTGTTTTGAATTCAAGGATGGATATATATAAAATTATAAACCAATGTCTGCTCTATAGATCATCTTTGGATATAATTAGTAACAAGAAAAACTGACGACAAAATAACTAGAAATATTCTTGCGACACTAACACTTGGGAGATATGTAGGGTTGGATGAAGAACACATTCTCCACGTTGACTTCTGGTCAGTGTAGTCACTTGGTTGGTAATGATCAAGACATTTTAATTTCTCTACCTATAAAATCAAATGGGGGTGTATAATTTGATAATTGAAAAATAACTATAAATTTAAAAGATGGAAAAGAAAACTAACGTACAAACGTAAAATATTTCAATACTCTACATAACTTTGTTTTAACAGAATAAAACAGAAAATAATAATAAGTAAATTACGAGAAATAGCCAAAAAATCCAACACACTTGAGCAAGTAAACCATAGCATATACAGCTAATATAACCATAATAATAATATTTCCTATCGTGATCAAATGAAGCTTATAAAGTCCAATGCTAATGGCGATGGACCGTCTATCTGAAAACCCAATCGACGTCGTTTTCCCGAGAAATTAAAAAAGGTACGATCATGGCGATGCTCATGGCTTCAAGATTTAACCGCGGAGCTAATAACCTCGCACCATCTCAAATCCTGTCTTCACTTTTGGGAAACCGAAGCTTCAATACAGTGAGAGCATCATCATCATCATCCATGGCCGCCACGTCTTCCTCTGCTCTCTTCCTTAATCCGTTGACCTCTTCTTCTAGTCTCCGTCATTTCAGATGCTCGCCGGAAATCTCTTCTCTCTCCTTCTCCGCGCGAACCGATTTCTCTCTCGCGGTGAAGAGCCAGAGTCGGAGTTTCGCGGATGTCTCGCAACGAGATCCGTCTCTTGTGTGCGAGGCCGTGAAGCGTGAGACTGGAGCTGACGGACTCAACATCGCTGACAATGTGTCTCAGGTTAGCTGGGCTTTTCTTCGATTTAGATTCGAAATCGATTGAATTTGTAGAGACGAAAGCTGAATTAGTGATCGAATTTACCTTTCCTCTATGATTATCCACTTGAATGCAAAATGTGGAATCTTACATTTTGAAAAACATTGATTTCGCATTCAGTCATGGAAGCTACGGAATTTGATACATTTTACTTAACTTTCCTATAATTTGTTCTGATCTGGTTCCAGCTCATTGGGAAGACTCCGATGGTGTACTTGAATAGTATAGCAAAAGGCTGTGTAGCTAATATTGCTGCCAAACTCGAGATCATGGAGCCATGTTGCAGTGTCAAGGACAGGTGTGTAGTGTGTAGCCTGAGTCTTTTGCAGCTTGTTCTTATGTTTTTACTTCGACCCTTCAAGTCTTGATTTTTTCTTTTGTTTCAGGATTGGGTACAGTATGGTTACTGACGCTGAGCAAAAAGGATTTATAACACCTGGAAAGGTATCGTTTATAGATTGAGCTTTTTGCAGACGTAGGCATTGTACATGTGTCATCTCTCTAACTTTATGTTGTTACTGTTACTGCATTTTATCTAGAGTGTTCTTGTGGAACCTACAAGTGGAAACACTGGTATTGGCCTTGCATTTATTGCTGCTTCGAGAGGGTATAGGCTAATCTTGACAATGCCAGCATCCATGAGTATGGAAAGGAGAGTTCTTTTGAAGGCATTTGGAGCTGAGCTTGTGTTAACAGATCCTGCAAAAGGCATGACTGGAGCTGTTCAGAAGGCTGAACAAATCTTGAAATCTACTCCTGATGCATACATGCTCCAGCAGTTTGATAACCCTGCCAATCCCAAGGTTTGTGGTGTAATTCTTTTCCCTTTACAACTTGTGTAATGAATTGGTTTTGGAAACTGTGATTATCATAACACTGTCATTGAAGTGGTCTACTTATATTGTACTAGCAAAAAAGGGAGTGTGATACTATTTCATACTATAGGTTAAACCTTGTTGCATGAATTTTAATTTGCACGATCTTCTGTGAGATTGCTCTTGTGTCACTTCTATAAACTTAATATGTGTTTTAGTTAAATTTTACATAATATGCAGATCCATTACGAGACTACTGGTCCTGAGATCTGGGAAGATACAAAGGGAAAGGTGGATATATTTGTTGCTGGAATCGGAACTGGTGGAACTATCACCGGTGTTGGCCGGTTCATGAAAGAGAAAAACCCCAAACTACAGGTAACAGCGAAAACACTGTTAATTACGTCATTGCAGCAGTAAGATTCTTGTTAATTTTGATTTTACATGCACTAGGTCATTGGTGTAGAACCAACTGAGAGCGACATACTTTCTGGTGGCAAACCGGGTAAGTAAGGCACAGTAGTTGATTTTCCTTGGTTCCTGAATTTCATTCTACAGTCCTGTTCCTGCATTATATTGACTTGCATTTTAATATAGGACCTCACAAGATTCAAGGAATCGGAGCTGGATTCATACCTAAGAATTTGGACCAGAAAATTATGGATGAAGTCATAGCGGTATGGTTCTTGGAAGTTAATTACTGAGATTCAAACTTCACCAGTTACTCTTAATGGCATGTTAATTACTATTTTCGTTTTGCCTCTTACTAGATTTCAAGCGAGGAAGCTATAGAAACCGCAAAACAGTTAGCTCTTCTAGAAGGCTTGATGGTCAGTCCTTCGTATTATCTCTGATTTCTGAGCGGAATTACATCAATGCTATGGTGGCATGGTGGAAATTAGCAGGATTTAACAGGTGAAGGTAATCATTTTGTCAGGTTGGTATATCATCTGGAGCAGCTGCTGCTGCTGCAATCAGGGTCGCAAAGAGACCTGAGAATGCTGGGAAACTCATAGCTGTAAGTCCTTTTCGTGTCATATAATTGCTTTATAGAAACATCACAAGATAGATTTTAGGATTGTATAAACTCTCTCCAGCGCGTGATCCTATACTAAACCCAAAGAACCAACACTACAGCCTATCAGCTAGTTAGCTTTTTCATCTTCTGTGTTAAAAGATCATCTATGAAGCCAGTTGTTTTGTGTGGTTTAGGAAATGAAATCTTGACATGTGAATGAATCTGTGACTTTCGGTTCCAGGTTGTTTTCCCGAGCTTTGGAGAGCGGTATCTATCAACGCCTCTGTTCCAGTCGATCCGAGAAGAAGTCGAGAAAATGCAGCCTGAGCTATGAACAAATTAACAAAAGCAAGTTAGTCTTACTTCTGCGAATCTCTCGCTTCTACTGTAAGTTTTGCAATAAGCAATTCCTGTTTATCAATAAGCCAAATAGTGCAGGTTGTATGAGTTATTTTGGACATTCATCAATACTCTTGTTTACTGTTCAACATTTTTTATCGGAAATCACCATTGGTATTCATCTATACTTTTTATCAACCAAACAAATTTGTAGAGTCTGATGTATAATGATCTATGCATGACATATTAGTGACATGTATCTTCTTCACTTCGTCCTTTAGACCAGTAGAAAATTTGTCAGAATCTACACTAAAACATGTCAAAAACTTAGTATATTTTATGCTCAAACCTTTAGGTACTGAAACTTGCTTTGTATTTTTTTATGCTTTTCACGCTGTTGTTATTTGTTTAAGCCTTAAAGGGTTTCAAGATCATAGAAAAATTATGTCTTTTTGCAATTTTGACCCACAATTATTCTTATGCCAAGAGACTCAGTGGTTTATCTTAGGATTAAGATACTCTCTACCAATCCCACTATAATTTCTTTTAATCTAAAAATGATTAGAAGATAACTTTTACTTACTTTATGACTTGGTTTAGGCCATGTGTGTGAAATACATATATTTTTATAAATAACGAAGGATAACACAAAGAACGTTCGTTCCCATGATTTCGAACCTACTTTTACAATTTGGCATTCTTTTATGAGATGATTTATAACTAATCACAGTAGGATCAAAACCTTCCATAAGCAAAGAAACAACAAATAAGAACATGTCTATCGAACTCAAAGTCTTGCAAATGATTCTTGTTCTGTTTTTTACTCTGTTTTCACTTGTATACAACTCCAGTAGCAAACTGATCCCGGAGGGATCTGCAGTTTTCGACGACAGCGGTTTCACCGTTTTAACCAACACCACGGAGCATTCCTTCGGCAGAGTGTTCAACAACGAAACCCTATTCATCAAGAACGAGACTTTCAACTTCCACTTCCTCTTCGGAATCGTCCCTGAGCTTGACCAGCAAGGCTCACATGGCATGGCTTTCGTTATCTCTCCTACGATGGGTGTTCCCGGAGCTTCCTCTGATCAGTACCTCGGGTTATTCAACCAGACAAACAACGGTAAAAGCTCGAATCACGTGATTGCTATTGAGTTAGATACACATAAAGACGAAGAGTTTGGAGATATTGATGATAATCACGTTGGGATTAACATTAATGGTATGAAATCTGTTATCTCTGCTTCTGCTGGTTACTATGATGATGAAGATGGAAGGTTTCACAACCTTTCTCTGATCAGCAGAAAGGTCATGCGCCTTTCAATCGTTTATAGCCAATCTGAGAAGCAGCTAAATGTTACGTTATCTCCTGCTGAGTTCTCTGTTCCGCCGGAGAAACCGCTTTTGTCTCTAAACCAAGATCTCTCGCCGTATTTTCTGGAGGAGATGTATTTTGGCTTCACGGCATCAACCGGAACCGTTGGATCACTTCATTATATGTTGGGAGTGTCTATCACTCCAGAAGTCGAGCATCCATTGATGGATCTAACCGTAGTCCCCACGCTTCCTCCATATCCGAAGAAATCTTATGATAAAATAAAGAGGATTTTAGCCGTCTGCTTAACGTTGGCAGTGATCGCTGCACTTGTCGCCTCGTGGATCGGTTCTGTCTTCTATTGGAGGCATAAGAAGGTTAAAGAGGTTCTTGAGGAATGGGAGATTCAGTATGGACCTCATAGGTTTGCTTATAAGGAGCTTTTCAATGCCACAAAAGGGTTTCAAGGAGAAACAGCTTCTTGGAAGAGGTGGTTTTGGTCAAGTCTACAGAGGAACGCTTCCGGGTTCTGATGCAGAGATCGCTGTGAAACGGACTTCTCATGATTCAAGACAAGGTATGAGCGAGTTTCTAGCTGAGATATCAACCATTGGTCGTCTCAGACATCCGAATCTGGTCAGGCTTTTGGGTATTGTAGGCATAAAGAAGATCTCTACTTGGTTTATGACTTTATGCCTAATGGAAGCCTTGACAAGTATATACCGTAACAACACGAATGAGAATCAAGAAGGGCTTACTTGGGAGCAACGTTTCAAGATCATCAAGAACGTTGCATCTGCTCTGCTATACTTGCATCAAGAATGGGTACAAGTCATCATTCATCGAGATATCAAACCGGCTAATGTTTTGATAGATCACGAAATGAATGCGAGGCTCGGGGATTTCGGATTGGCGAAGCTGTATGATCAGGGGTTTGATCCTCAGACATCTAAAGTAGCGGGAACGTTCGGGTATATTGCACCAGAGTTCTAAGAACAGGAAGAGCAACCACAAGCACTGATGTTTACGCATTTGGGTTGGTTATGCTTGAAGTAGTTTGTGGTAGGAGGCTGATTGAGCGACGTGAAGCCAAGAATGAAGAAATTCTTGTGGATTGGATCTTAGAGCTTTGGGAAAAGGAGAAAATTTTCGATGCGGCTGAGGAAAGTATACGTCAAGAACAAAACAGGGGACAACTTGAGCTAGTTTTGAAGCTTGGTTTGTTGTGTTCGCAGCAAGCTGAATCGATTAGACCGGATATGAGTGCGGTAATGCGGATCTTGAATGGCGTTTTGCAGCTTCCGGATAATCTTCTTGAAGTGGTAAGGGCTGAGAAGCTGAGAGGACAGCCTGAGATATCAATGGAAGTACTACTACTTGATATGAATTCAGTGAATACATTAACGTTTACAAATTCTTTCCTCTCCCACGGACGCTGAAACCTGAACAGAAAGTTACTTTTTAATGAACATTTTATATTCAGTCTACCTAGACATTCAATAGCTTTGCTGCTTGTGGATAAATTTAATTATTGATCTTTATGCTTTTACACCGTAGTTAATTCTTATAGCCAAAGGTTTAAGATCAAAGAAAAAAGGCACATCTACAGAAAAATGTCAATCGGACTGCGCGATAAAGATATTCAAGTGATGAAGTGAATTAGATTAGTGACTAGTCTACGTACAAAACTCTACTACTATGTATGTCTCTGATATCTACTATGATCTCCTCTTTTTTTTGCTAGAGAAGGAAAGTATAATGGTACGTCGAAACTTTCCTGGAAGTTTTTAAGAGAGAGACTGGTTAGATAGATAAGATTCGCTGATTTTTTAGAATGCGTGGTAGAAGTAATAATGTGATGTCAGACAATTCCTCGCAACAATTCTTCACACGCTCTCTTGAAACAAAGAAAGGTCTTTTTTGTTTTCTTCCTCTAGTTTTGACTTTTGTTAGAGGAGAAATTAGCACATTTCACTGCCTGTCATTATTAGTAAAGTCACAAAACCCAATCCAACTTTAGACCTAACTTTCTCAATAAAACTTGAGAAGGAAGGCACAATCCATGGAGAAATGTAAATAAATCTTCATGCCAACTTAAAAATGGAAGGAGATCAAGAACAAGAGGAAGTTTTCCATATCGCAAAAGAGGAAGTTTTCCATCTCGCCCGAATGAGAATATTCATCGTTCGACCGAGTTATCAACACTATATATTGAAGATCCCCCATTGGGGAAAAGGATCCAGAATCATCTAGAATCACTAGGCCTTTACACCCACTTTTACTTTATCCTCTTGTTCATCACTATAATCTCGCTAGGCTTGTTAGCGAGATTACTTTCTTGTAACTTTCTTGATAATCTAAGAGTCGAATTAAGCATTCCAGTTTCCTAAACTCACATCTTTAATAGCACGAGTGCGATTTCGGATCTAACAACTTTTATTTATTTATATTTTGTATCATGAGGGAATTGTATTGATTTGTTTTTCTGTTCATATTGTAAACAATGATAATCCAATTTTCTCATTTCGGATAAATGCGTGGAGAAATTAAGAATGGGCATACAATTCCTAACTCGCTCTCTCCCTTGAAACAAAGAAAGGTCTTTCTTTTCTCTGGGTTTGACTTTTATTTATTTTGTATCATAGTGAACTGTGACTTGTTTAATTGCTTTACGACTTGATTAAGACCATGTGACAAAATACAAATGTCTTCTTACAGAATTACGAGGAAAAACAGAAGAACATTCGTACCATTATGTCGACCTTCCTTTTACAGATTTAACTCTTATTATGAGATGCTATATATATAACCGATTAAAATATTCCAATTAGCACAAAGAAAAAAAAGAAAGACAAAATCGTAACATGTCTCGTGAATTTAAAGTCTTGCAAACAATTTTCGTTCTGTTCTTTATTCTGTCTTCATCTACCTACAACTCCAATGGCAAATTTATCCCGGAGGGAGCCGCAGTTTTCGACGCCAGCGGTTTCATCGTTTTAACGAACACCTCGAAGCATTCATATGGTCAACTTTTCTACAACCAGTCTATTCCCATCAAGGAGTACTCGTCTTTCTCAATCAACTTCTTCTTCGCAATCGTCCCTGAGCATAACCATCGTGGCTCACACGGCATGGCTTTCGTCATCTCTCCCACAAGAGGCCTTCCCGGAGCTTCCTCCGATCAATACCTCGGCATCTTCAACGCAACAAACAACGGTGAAAACTCGAACAACGTGATAGCTATCGAGTTAGATATACACAAAGACGAAGAGTTTGAAGATATTGATGATAATCATGTTGGGATTAACATTAATGGTATGAGATCTGTTGTCTCTGCTTCTGCTGGTTACTATGATGACAAAGATGGAAAGTTTCACAATCTTTCTTTGATCAGCAGAAAGCTAATGCGGCTTTGGATCGTTTATAGTCAATCCGATAAACAACTCAATGTCACTTTATTCCCTGCTGAGATCTCTATTCCGCCTAGAAAACCGCTTTTGTCTTGGAACCAAGATCTCTCTCCGTATTTTATGGAGGAGATGTATTTTAGTATCAGAGCATCAACCGGATCCATTAGAGCACTCCATTATTTGACTAGTGTGTTAATTGCTCCAGGAGTCGAGGATCCATCATCATTGGAGCTTATTGCACTCCCCATCCTTCCTCCTTATCCGAAGAAATCATCTAATAAAACAAGGACGATTTTAGTGGTCTGCCTAACGCTATCCATGATTGCTGCACTTGTCGCCTCATGGATAGGTTCCGTCTTCTATTGGAGGCATAAGAAGGTTAAAGAGGTTCTTGAGGAATGGGAGATTCAGTATGGACCTCATAGGTTTGCTTTTAAGGAGCTTTTCAATGCCACAAAGGGTTTCAAGGAGAAACAGCTTCTTGGAAGAGGTGGTTTTGGCCAAGTCTTTAAAGGAACACTTCCGGGTTCTGATGCAGACATCGCTGTGAAACGGACTTCTCATGACTCAAGACAAGGGATGAACGAGTTTCTAGCCGAGATATCAACCATTGGTCGTCTCAGACATCCTAATCTAGTCAGGCTTTTGGGTTATTGTAGGCATAAAGAAGATCTCTACTTGGTTTACGACTTTATGCCTAATGGAAGCCTTGACAAGTATCTTTACCGTAGCAACAAGAATGAGACCCAAGAAGGGCTTACTTGGGAGCAACGTTTCAAGATCATCAAAGATGTTGCATCTGCTCTTCTATACTTGCATCAAGAATGGGTACAAGTCATCATTCATCGAGATATCAAACCGGCTAATGTTCTGATCGACCATGAAATGAACGCGAGGCTCGGGGATTTCGGATTGGCGAAGCTGCATGATCAGGGGTTTGATCCTCAGACTTCTAGAGTAGCGGGAACGCTTGGGTATATTGCTCCAGAGTTCATAAGAACCGGAAGAGCAACCACAAGCACCGATGTTTACGCCTTTGGGTTGCTTATGCTTGAAGTAGTTTGTGGTAGGAGGCTGATTGAGCGACGTGAAGCAGAAAATGAAGAAGTTCTTGTGGATTGGATCTTAGAGCTTTGGGAAATTGGGAAAATTTTCGAAGCGAGTGAGGAAAGTATACGTCAAGAACAAAACAGGGCACAACTGGAGCTAGTTTTGAAGCTAGGTGTGTTGTGCTCGCATCAAGCTGCGTCAGTTAGACCAGCTATGAGTTCGGTTATGCGGATCTTGACTGGCGATTCTCAGCTTCCGGATAATCTTCTTGAAGTGATAACGGCTGAGAAATTGAGAGGACAACCTGAGATATCAATGGAAGTGCTACTTGATATGAATTCAATGAGTGCATTGACGATTACAAATTCTTTCATCTCCCACGGACGCTGAAACCTAAGGTAGTACTTTTTTATGAACATTTTATATTCATGTATTGTGATGAACATTTTGTATTCGATATATGTATTTTGGTAGTATTTTCACTATTTTGATGAACATTTTATATTTAAATAATCTATCCACAATAGAGAGATTCAATAGCTTTGCTTGTGGAGCCACAGTCTCCTTCAAAGTTGATTTTATAAATCTGACCTTTTTCTTATAAACAATCCATGACCATGCAACGTCTCATTGAGTAACGCCCAAGAAAACATCTTTAATCCGGTTTTGCTTCGGTTTATGAAGGCCCAATTTGAATCTTTATTGGGCATTTGGCCCATAAAACGAAAATGCGCTTCAGTGTAACATCTATTTTGATAAGTCGAGAAATAAGGGCTCCTTCAGTCTCTGCATCAACTTCCGATTATTTTCTCCGATATGAATCAGTAAAGCCTTCGACCATTTCGGATTCATCTTCAAATCATGGTTTCTTCGAAATTTTAGGACTTTACTTTAGGCTTTGTTGATTCGATTTGTTAATTAAAAGAAATTCCAATCGCGGGCAAAGGAAGAGTGATTGAGTTTGTAGCAATGGCGCTGAGAGGAGTGTGGCAGCTACAGAAGCTGGTAGTGAGCTACTGTAACTGGGGAGGTAGCAGTCGAGGCATCAGGTACCATTTATTTTGACTATTTCAATCTACATTCATCCGATTCTCTATCAGTTCTCCTGTATCGAATTGTTTGGAAAATTTGGACCTTTGAGGTTTAGCTGTGGTGTCAGTAATGAGTCGCTACTTACCATTTCATAGCTAGGCACTGAGCATTTTCCTCTGATCATTCTGTTGTTGTGATACAGATTATGGAATCAGAATTGCCCGCACTGAGGGAGAAGAATCCGCAGCTGGAAGTGATTACGGAGCTTTCACGAGGACAACATCCTTATTTGAAGGGCATTTACAGTATGAAGCAATCTTTCTCCTCTGTCTTACTTGTTAACATTACAGGCCTATAATGAATGGTTCTCTCGATATCTAGTGATTTTGCATACAACTGTTGTGTAGGAAACAGAAATGAAAGGGTGGTGTGTGTGAAGAACATGGATCCTGAAGAAGTGCTTCTGAATGCGACAAGGCTTAGGAACTCTCTTGGAAGGAAAGTTGTGAAACTCAGGACTCGACATGTCACCAAACACCCCAGTGTTCAAGGCTCCTGGACTACCGCCCTCAAATTCTGACACTTTCCTCCTCCAAGTAACTCGTCGTTATCAATATTTGCAAATCCCAAGTTGATTGTACTGTGACTTGGACAAAGATTCAAGGCTTCGAATGTTTTGCAGTTTATGCCATGTTTGAATTTTTTTCTGTCATTCATTGTCCATATGGTGAGGTCTAGAACATAACCCATTTTGCTAATTAACAGTAGTACACACTGCTCATTGTTTTCCAAGGAAAATTGCGAAATTAAAGTTGTTGGTAAAAAAAGCATTGCTTGATTGCTGTTTGAATATGCTAACCACACTTTTGTTATTGTTAATTTAATCCACAAAGGTTTTAGATAACATAGAAAATTTCTGTCTTTTTGCAATTTTTCACATGCCAAGAGATTAGGTCAGTGGTTTATGTTAGGATTAGGACTCACTCTACCCACAATAATTGCTTTTCATCTCATAAGTATGATTTATTAAATTGCTTTACGACTTGATATAAGCCATGTGTGTAAATTACAAACATTTGTTTATATGAATCTCACTAGAACGTTCGTTCCCACTATTTCAAGTTCAACTCTACTTTTACAGTTTATCATTCTTTAATGTCCTTACTTTAACTCAGTTTATGTTCTTACTTAAACTCATGAGTCATGATCATATAAATTTCACACTAAGATCAACATTCCGTAAATGAATAAATAAAGACAGAATCATAACATGTCTCGTGAATTTGAAGACTTGCAAAGAATTCTTGTTCTGTTTTTTACTCTGTTTTCACTTATCTACAACTCCAATGGCAAATTTATCCCTGAGGGATCTGCAGCTTTCAGCTCAAGCGGTTTCACCGTTTTAACGAACACCTCGAAGCATTCCTATGGTCAAGCTTTCAACAACCCATCCGTTTCCATCAAGAACTCGTCTTTCAACATCAACTTCTTCTTTGGAATCGTCCCTGAGCATAACCACCAAGGCTCAAACGGCATGGCTTTCGTGTTCTCTCCTACAAGAGGCCTTCCCGGAGCTTCCTCCGATCAATACCTCGGAATCTTCAACGAAACAAACAACGGTAAAACCTCTAACCACGTTATAGCCATCGAGTTAGATATACACAAAGACGAAGAGTTTGGAGACATTGATGATAATCATGTTGGGATTAACATTAATGGTATGAGATCTGTTGCCTCTGCTTCTGCTGGTTACTATGATGATGAAGATGGAAAGTTTCACAATCTTTCTTTGATCAGCAGAAAGGTCATGCGACTTTCGATCGTTTATAGTCAACCAGATAAACAGCTCAATGTTACTCTATCCCCTGCTGAGTTCTCTGTTCCGCCTAGAAAATCACTTTTGTCTCTAAACCAAGATCTGTCTATTTTTGGCTTCACGGCATCAACCGGATCCATTGGAGCACTTCATTATATGTTGAATATGCTAATTGCTCCAGGAGTCGACTATCCATCATTGGAGCTTATTGCAGTCCCCATCCTTCCTCCTTATCCGAAGAAACTGCATGATACAACAAGGAAGATTTTATGGGTCTGCTTAACACTGGCGGTGATCGCTGCGTTTGTCGCCTCGTGGATTGGTTTCGTCTTTTATTGGAGGCATAAGAAGGTTAAAGAGGTTATTGAGGAATGGGAGATTCAGTATGGACCTCATAGGTTTGCTTATAAGGAGCTTTTCAATGCCACAAAGGGTTTCAAGGAGAAACAACTTCTTGGAAGAGGTGGTTTTGGTCAAGTCTATAGAGGAACGCTTCCGGGTTCTGATGCAGAGATCGCTGTGAAACGAACTTCTCATGATTCAAGACAAGGTATGAGCGAGTTTCTAGCCGAGATATCAACAATTGGTCGTCTCAGACATCCGAATCTAGTCAGGCTTTTGGGGTATTGTAGGCATAAAGAACATCTCTACTTGGTTTATGACTTTATGCCTAATGGAAGCCTTGACAGGTACCTATACCGTTGCAACACGGATGAGAGTCAAGAAGGGCTTACTTGGGAGCAACGTTTCAAGATCATCAAAGATGTTGCATCTGCTCTGCTATACTTGCATCAAGAATGGGTACAGATCATCATTCATCGAGATATAAAGCCGGCTAATGTTCTACTCGATCATGAAATGAATGCGAGGCTCGGGGATTTCGGATTGGCGAAGCTGTATGATCAAGGGTTTGATCCGCAGACAACTAGAATAGCGGGAACGTTCGGGTATATCGCACCAGAGTTTCTAAGAATAGGAAGAGCAACAACAAGCACTGATGTTTACGCCTTTGGGTTGCTTATGCTTGAAGTAGTTTGTGGCAGAAGGCTGATTGAGAGACGTGTACCGGAAAAAGAACAAGTTCTTGTGGATTGGATCCTAGAGCTTTGGGAAGAAGGAGGTGACCTTCTTGATGCGGTAGAACAAAGTATACGTCAAGAACAAAACAGGGGACAACTTGAGCTTGTTTTGAAGCTTGGTTTGTTGTGTTCGCATCATGCTGAAATGGTTAGACCGGCTATGAGTTCGGTTATGCGGATCTTGAATGGCGATTCGCAGCTTCCGGATAATCTTCTTGAGGTTGTAAGAGATGAGAAATTGAGAGGATGGCCTGAGATATCAACTGAAGTACTAGTTGATGTGGATTCGTTGGTGGTACTTTGACGTTCACTGGTGAGTTTATATGTTAACCTATCTAGAGATTCAATAGCTTTGCTTTGTAGTTTGTTTAGGAACACAATCCCCTCATTGTAGTATTGTCCAAGTTCCTTCATGAAAGAGACCACAGTCTCGTCAGAGCTAACTCACTTGATTCAGAGAGCTTTCATCAATTCTTACGTTGTCGTTTACTTTTCTTTCTCTTCTTCAGACATTTACCACAATTCAGACTTCTTCAGTGGGTTGAGTTCTACTGTATTAATCTTTCATAAAAAGGAATTATTATTGTTGTAAATGGTCGCATGTTTCTCCCTCGCTCAAAATGCAAGACACATACAAAAAGAAAATTTGATGTGTAAAATGCCATGGAAACATAATTTGAAACTTCGAATAATGAGAGCAACGTTTTATATTTTTTTTTTCAAATAATTGGACGAAAATCGTTATTATAATTACAGACAAATACAGTAGACGTGCTTATACATGTTCCAATAATTAGGCCATCAAAAGTGGCGGCAAAGTTGACAACATATTATATTTGTTAAACTAAAACCTTTATGATTTAGTAAAGCCAATGATAAAGCAAGCACATGGTGACATGGCTATATCTCACTAATTCTCTGTATCGATTCAGAACTCAAGAGCTCTGACTTTTGGGCTAATTCAATTTATTTGAAAACTAGCCAATCAAGTAATAATAATTTTTCAAACTAATTGTTCACAAATTTTTATACTACTAATTTGAGTGTCTAAACTGAAAAGTAGGATTCTTTTGTTGAAGCACGGCAAGCACTAAACACTAAACTAAAGACTCGTAGTCAGTTTTCCACTCCTCTAGAACATTACAATTATATACACATATCAATCAACTCCTCGAGAAAATTATATTCGTTTTGATCGTACCCACATTGAACAAAACTTATAGGCACGAAACATGTTTTAACTGAAAATTATTGAACACCAGAAAAAGTTATATTAAAAAAAACTTTAATAGGTCGAAGATGTTCCCTAAATGTAAAACACATTTGTATAAGAGAGTGAATTCAGTATTGTGAGATAAAATGGTAAAAAAATTGTTCATGATTCCTTGATAACATACGAAGCAATACAATTAATTGCTACCTAATACATTAATAGCAAACTTTTCTGTTAAGACTTCTTGACAAAAACCTCTTAACCTTTTGAGTTAGCATTGTATATTCACTTCGCCAAAACTTCTTGCATCACACACGACCGATGATCTCAGATAAACTTACAAAAATCATTTTTTGGCCATCTAAAACGTTTAAAAGGGACATGTAAACTAATAGTCAAATATTCAAAACCTATAAGGTGTGGACACTTAATACCTATGGACTTTACAGTTACATATTCTAAAATTTTACACTGTTCGGCATTGTATGCACGAGTTCTTGCCTTGTTGGATATTTTATTATAACACATATTTTATTCTTGTTAATTTCTGACACCGTCACACACAAAACACAACCATAAATGTTATGTAAGTATAATATCAAAACGCATGTGTTCAGATCCAAGTCTATTATTAATTATATAAACCGTCATCTTGTGATTATATAAATCATATATACAAACCATATATACAATCCCCTCATCAAGTCGTCGTTAGCATCAAGATCATTTAACCCTTTAGCTTTCAAAAAGCTAATAAAAATATATGGATCATCTAATTTCTCCTCTTTCTCCAACACCACCTTCAAACAGGTTCTTGGCTATCTCTAAGTTTTTATTTTTTTGGTATATATATGTAATAATTCTTCCAATAAAATTTACTTTAACTTAATTTTGATTATTAATGTGATCACTGAAGGTGGTGGTCAGAAAAAACAACGGCGGTTGTGACCGGAGCAAACAAAGGTATAGGTTTTGCGGTTGTCAAGAGGTTATTGGAGCTTGGACTAACCGTCGTCTTAACCGCCCGAAACGAGGAAAATGGAAGCCACGCCGTCGATTGTCTCCGCCGCATTGGTTTTCGAAACGTTCGTTTCTTTTGTCTCGACGTCTCCGATCCTCCATCCATTGCCACCTTCGTCTCCTGGTTCCGTCTCAACTTTGGAGTACTCGACATTCTGGTATTTTTAGACTTTTATGGTGATGATCATCCGCAATAACATTTTAGGTTTAGGAACTAACACGGCGTCGTTTCCGTCAGGTGAACAACGCCGCCGTTTCGTTTAACGAGGTCGGCGATAATTCAATCAAAAAGCCAGAGACCACAATCAAGACCAACTACTACGGTGCTAAGCTTTTAACGGAGGCGCTCTTGCCGTTATTTAGCCGTTCGGTCTCCGTTAGCCGCATTCTTAACATTAGTTCAAGGCTTGGTGCATTAAACGTAAGAAAAATCCTTTCTTACTACAATACGTGTATATAGTTGTATAAATTTATAGCTTTTGTATATACAGTACCAAGAGAGGTTAGTATAAAAAAATGATACTCAAATTTGATCCACTCACTAACTTTTTTATCATGTTACATGCATTGACTTTTAGGTGTGGTTTTAGATATTCAAAGTTTGTATTATAAATTCACGTATACATATAAATTTGAAATTCATAGTCGAATTCACCGTCAATAATAATACTACTATTTATTTTTGCTCATGATTTCGACATGTTTCTTGCATACAGAAACTAAGAAACCCTAGTATACGACAAACCCTAGAAGATGAAAGCCTCACCTACGAACAAATCGACGCGACGGTGAATCTATTTCTAGATGAGGTAAAGAGTGGAAACTGGGAGAAGCAAGGATGGCCGGAGAATTGGGCGGACTACGCGGTCTCTAAAATGGCCTTGAACGCTTACTCTAGAGTTTTGGCTCGACATAACGACGGCAAGAAACTAAGTGTGAATTGCTTCTGCCCTGGTTTCACTCGCACGTCTATGACCGGTGGTCAGGGGACTCACACGGCGGACGAAGCTGCTGCAACCGTCGCCAAGTTGGTGTTGCTTCCTCCGGAGAATCTGACCTCCGGCAAGTTTTATATATGCTCACATCAGAAGAAAATTATTTCCAAGTTGTGATTTTGGTATAGTTTTTAATTTTTTATACACCTATACGCATATATAGACCATTATCATTGTTATTATTTACTCCGTAGTTGTTAGTTGTTACTAGAGCAAAATAAAAGTCGCACAGTTGGTACAAAATAATATATTAAATTGTGTTTACATTTGTTTATATCGTGATATGTAACATACTAACATGCATGTTTGATTAGGGTGTGATTTATTTTGGTTTAATATAGAGTTAGGTTCCGTTTGGTTCAATCAGTCGAATCAATTCATGAATTTAGAAATCCTATTAACTTTAGTTTAACTTAAACGTAAATGTTTATGTACCGTCAAACATCTCAATATTTTTTATCAAGATCAGCATGTTTCGAGCATTTCCATAATATAAGAGCATCTCCATCCCTAAAACCATGTTTTGGGTTCTAAATCATTTTTTATAAATATTTTTCACACGATTCAATGCTAACAAACTTTGTGTGGGTTTTAAACTTTTTTCTTCCTTCATCCCTAAAACTTTTAATTTGGTTCTTAAAAAAAAAAATCAAATATAATAAAAACATAAAATATAGTACATTTAATAATTTTTAAAACATACAAAGACATACAACATATTTAATTAAAATTTTAGAAATCAAACATAAAACAGAATAAACTAGTTAGCATTCGGGTGATGTTTATGCCATACATGCTCAATCAAATCCGCTTTCAATTGTTCGTGTTTTATTAAATCACGAATTTGATTTCGATTGGCCATCATACTGTCGACATCTAGAGTTGTATCCATATCCGTAAAGATCGGATTATCCACTTGTGAAGTGCTTCCTCCTCCTTGCTCGAATTCAGATACATTGATAAGAGTGTATCCATCCGTTCGTCTTCAACTATCATATTATGCAGTATGATACATGCTCTCATAATTTTTCCAACCTTTTCCTTATCCCAAAAAAGAGCCGGGTTCTTCACGATGGCAAATCGAGCTTGCAAGACTCCAAAAGCTCGTTCAACATCTTTCCGATAATGTTCTTGAAACGCAGCATATAACGATGATTTGGGATCAGGTGGATCTTTAATTGTTGGCATAAAAGTTGCCCATTTAGGATAAATACCATCTGTGAGATAGTAAGCCAACTTATATTTTCGTCCATTGACATAGTAACTCACTGGTGGAGCTCGCCCTTGTAAAATATCATCAAAAACGGGTGAACGATCAAGAACATTGATGTCGTTTAAGGTACCTGGGCATCCAAAAAACGCATGCCAAATCCAAAGATCATGTGAAGCTACGGCCTCTAAAACAATTGTTGGTTTTGCAGAGCCACGCGTATATTGTCCTGCCCAAGGAGCTGGGCAATTCTTCCACTCCCAATGCATACAGTCGATGCTCCCTATCATTCCGGGAAATCCACGTGCCTCTCCAACGTCAAGTAGCCGTTTAAGATCATTTTTGTGGGTCTTCTTAGATACTTTCCCGTACAAAGATATGATTTCATCCACAAAATTTTCTACACATAAGAGTGTAGTAGTTTGAGCGATCCGAAGGTATTCGTCATTCTTGTCAGCCGCACAACCATAAGCCAACATACGGATAGCTGCTGTGCACTTTTGTAGTCCTGTTAAACTACTCCTTCCCAAACCATCCGGTCGTGTTGAAAAGAATGTAGTTTGAGTGGAGAGTCGATCAACTATTTTCAGGAACAAGGATTTGTTCATTCTGAAACGGCGACGGAACATATGCGCCGGGTATGTGGCATCTTCGGCGAAATAATCATTGAATAAGCGTTCCTGGCCTTCCTCACGGTTTCTTTCTATATATTGCTTCTTTTTCTTCTCTTTTCTAGGCCGACCATACTCACGGGTAGCTTGCTCAAAGACTTGATCCCATGCTTGGTCAGATTCTTGGTCATACGGATCATGGTGATCATGAATAGAGAAGTGATGATTTGAAGAAGAACCCATAATCTTGGTGTTTACTAGAGACTTGGGGTTTTTTTAAAGTAGTTTGGATTTGGGAAGGGAAACTTGAAGGGGTTTGTTAATTTGGTTTTGCATGAACAAGGAACAAGAGAAGATAAGTTTATTTTTGTTGTTCTCGGAACAAGAAACAATAGAAATTTGAACAAGGAACTAAGAAACAATAGAAATCTGAACATGGAACAAGAACAAGAAAAGAGAAATGTTATGTTATTCTCGTTGGTTTTCAATGAACAACGAACACTTCAATATATAGCAAATTTGGAAAGCAAGAACACAAAAACAACAACAGAAGAAAGCTCATGTGAGCAAACAGAGTAAAGAAGAAAACAAAGCACGTGAAGCTTTGTCCTTGACCTTTGTCTCCTCCTTCAGCCTTCCCGTGAGTACAAGCTTTGTCTGATGCGTTTGACTCCTTTCTTCACGTGAGTAAGTTTTGTCTCTTGCACTCACGTTCCATCACCCATATAGATTAACCACAAAGCTAATTTATTCCTTTCTTCAGCAATCTAATGACCAATGAAGATTTTAAAAGTGTTAGATAATGACCAATGAATTGCATATCACCTAAACATTGATTCTGGAAAAGAAGAACAAGCAACAAAATCAAGAACAAGCAACAGAACCAATCCAAAGAAAAAACCAGAGATAAGTTAACAACAAACCTGAGAGACAAAACCATATCAAATCCATCTTTATGTGTATCTTCTTGAACATGTGTATCTCGTTGAACATGAAACAAGTATGATGTTAATCACTTGCAAAATCAAAACCAAGCAATGAAACAAACCCATGAGAATCAGAAAACACTTATTATCCGAGGATAAATATGTTTGTTTATGTTAAAAGCAGAATAAATATGTTTATATCATTAGCTGGTACCAAACACATGAAAATCAGAAAATACTTATTATCCGAGGAAAGGAAAGACAAATTACAAAGGGTAAATGATTCTCTAATCTGAAAACTAACTTAAGACATGGAAAACCAAACTTAAGTTAAGAGAACATGGAAAACATAGAAGCCGAACTTAATTCAAACATATTTAGATCCTAGAAAACACATATAAGCTAATCTAACAGCATGAAATCGAGTAGCTTGTCCTTCAGAGCAATCTCTTTCTCAGTAAGTGGTTCCTTTTTAGCTAGCAGACTATCTAGAACTGCCTGCTTCGACAGCCTTTCCCTCACGGCTAAGTCATGCTTCCTATCTGCGGACATGCTCTCGTATTTCTCAGCGGAAATGGGTTCACTTTCCCTTGTGCCCTTCTTAGCTTTTGCTTTTGCTGCTTTGACTCCCATAGGCCGAGCCCTAGCTTCATCTGCATCTCCTTCTTCACGTGCAGCCTCACCCCTGCTTCTCTTTGAGCTTCCACCAGTTTCGGTTATAAACATAGACAACCATTTCTGGTCATGTCGAAGCTTCGTCCATGCATACTCAAGGTTGAAGTTGAACTTGTAATCGTTGTAGAAGATCTGGTGAGCCATGAACAAAGTGTCGTTGTCGTTTTGACCACTGGATGTCTGCTTCATTGCCGCATCATAAGCCCCGACAAACTTGCAAACAAGATTGTTCATCTTCTGCCACCTCTGCTTACAATGAGTAGGAGCTCGCGGTTGAAGGCCATCAAGCGTAGGGCTTGAGTTAAAGAATTCAGTGATACGTTTCCAAAAAGTTCCAGCCTTCTGCTGATTTGCCCTTAAAGGATCTTTGCTGGTGTGTAGCCAGGCGCTAATTAAAACAACGTCTTCTGGCTGAGTCCACTTTCTCCTTACTTTGCGCTCAACAGGTGACTCTTCTTCTGTGAGTGGATCATCAGGCGGTTGAAAGAAAGGTGGGATGGCGGATGATCCTACTGGGTGGAAACTCTCTTGCTGACTTTGTAAAAGCTCAAGATAGCTGCGGCTGTTACCAAGTGTATATGAATCCATTTCCAAATGAAGGAGAAGGAAAAGGAAAAGTAAAAGGAAACGAAAACAACTGGAAACTGATATGGAAAGAAAACAAGCTTAGGGCTAGAGATGGTAAATGGTGTGTTTTCGAAAAGATCAAGCCTCTTGATTATATAGAAAATATGAACGTTGGTTTGTGTTTTAAGCATTCAATGTTTTTAAGCTTCTACACCTACTTAAAACGTAACTCAAGGCGCACACACCATTACCCAACATCTAATCTCTAATAGTTACACCACTCATCAATGACATACAACTAACACTTATCTAATCGCATTAAAGGTAGAGCAATAAGAATGCTTTATCAAAAAGAAACTAATCTACAGAGAATGTATGTTTCAAGTGGAATTAAACGGTACATAGCAATATCACAGAGAAACTAATCTAAAGATCTAGTTAGCAACCAAAAGAAAACTAAACATTTTTTTTCAGACATAGAGAACTCTAACCAAGCAATGAAACCAAAAAGGAATCAAAATGTAAACACACAACAACATTCAATTACAAGGGACGTTGCAGAAGATAGAGACAATGAGAGAGAAGTACCTGAATGTAAAAGGAGTTAATACTTTGATCTAGTCCCAACACCCGCCATCACATCCTCAGCCGAATACGTTGCTCTAGTTGATGTCACAATTCCATGATTCACCTTGAAAAGAAAAACATCAAGAAACTTTTAAAATTATGACTAGATACGATTTCAGAGATTGATAATTAAAGCAAATAGCCAATGAAATCAAAAGCAATATCACATCATTAAATAACATATCCATAAGCTAGATTTTCAACACACATCAATATGCTCTCAACTAACACCACCATAAATGACATACAACTAACACACATCTTATCACCATAATATAGAGAGAACAATTAAGATATGAGAGAACACTACCAGCCGAACCAAACAGCAAGTTACAAATTATTTTAGATGTGAACCAAATATCTAATTTCGGACACATAAAAAAAATGAACAATTGAAACCATGAAAAAAAAACCTATACTTATTAGATCAAACGAATAACTTAAAATTGAGCACAAGCAAGAGAACAATTGAAACTTTCAGAAACAATTACAGAAACACGATGAATGAAATGAATCATATGAAAATTTGGTGACCTCAAGGGTACAAATAAACAATCAATTGCATATTCATAAATTGGAATCACAAATAAATAAGCTTCTCAGTCTCTGCATATTCACAAATCGAAATAACATACACCCAAGAACAATCTCAACCAAACACAATGAAATCAAAACACAAATCATTTTTCAGGGGATTTTGCAGAAGTTCTATATTCAAAGTGTAAAGGGCTTCAAAAACACAATCAATTGCATGGATTTTCAATTCAAAGTCTCAAGAAACCAAATCACAAACATGAAAAAACGAAATCACAAACATGCAAAAACCATTTATAAGAGAAGAGACAAGACATATACTTTCCTTTTCCGACCGGCCTTGAGAGGGATGCCAAACATACAGGAAGCCACCGTCTTTCTCAGTCCGTCGACGGCATGGAATCAGAAGAGGTGTGAATCGGAAGAGGTGTGAATCTGAAGAGATGTGAATCGGAAGAGGTGTGAACTGAAGAGATGTGAATCGGAAGACGTAGATACTCGAACGGAGAAAGAGACACCTTCCCGAGAATAGATCGGACCAAATCCGATCAACGGATCGCGGATTCGAATGTCGAATTTGTCACGCCGGTGGAGAGTCGAGAGAGAGAGAGGAAGAGAGAGAGAGAGAAAGCAAGAAATGTCTGATTTTTTATTTTATTTTTTTCCCTGAAATCATCTTTTAACTTAAGGTTGACGCGTGTCTGGTTCTAAAATAAGCAAACGAGGCTTACAGTAGACTCGGATTTAGTTTATTTGTAGATTAAATATTTATTTTAATATCTATTTCCTTTAAAACCGTGTTTAGATCCCCGGATGGACATGCCCTTAGACCATATATTATAACACTTTCGAATCATAAAAATCGAAACTTTATTGAAAAAGATGCTATTTTTCAGTTTACAGTTAAGGATCTAGCAATTAGCTTTGGGTTTGGGACAAGAGAACTCACAGACACATCCTTATGCATTGTTCTAAGCACAGAAGTAACCTGTTCCACTTGATCCTCACTAGAACAAGCCGAAAGAAGAACCTTAGCTGTTCCTCCATCTGGTGCACAACCCGAATCAATCATCTCCTCAAAAATCTCAAGACATTTCACATACAGTTTCTTCCTCGAGTAACCACCGATCCTCGAGGTCCACGTCACAACGTCCGGTCTGAAATTCTTCTCCTTGAGCTCAACGAAAAGCTCTTCAACTCTCTCCAAGAACCCGGCTTTACCATAGACGTTGATCAAGATGTTGTAAGTGCTTATATCCATTGTGGTGCAAGAACCCTTCTCCATCTCTGCAAGAATCTTTTCCATCTTTGTGAACTGTCCTAACCGTCCGTACAAGTTGATCATGCTGTTTAGGACAAACGTGTCCGGTTCTACTCCGTTCTCGCTCATCTCTCTCACAATACCTTCACATTTTGTTACGTCTCTGGCTCTAGAGTAAGCTGATAGAAGCAGCATGTGTGATTTCATCGTTGGTACTATCCCAAGCGTCTTCATTTGTTCAAACACAGCTTCTGCATCTGGTTTTCAAACATATATAAATGTACTGCTGTCTCGCAATTGAGGTTAAACCAGAAGTGTCTGTGTGTTACCTGAGTGAAGACCTGCTCTGCCATAAGCATCGACCATGATATTGTAGGAAGCTCTGTCTGGTTCACATCCCATATGTTGCATCAGAGAGAAAATCTCAGCAGCACCATAAGGATAACCTGCACGGCTGTCTCCATAAGGATTTTGAGGACGTTAATAAGTTATTTATGATTTTCTTGGCAACATATGTCTAATAAATAATCACCTATATGACTCCATGAGAGCGTTATAGACGTAGACATCAGGTTCAAGACCATCTTCTTGAAGCTGTTCAAATATTTCCTCAGCTTTCTCGCAAAGACCTTCTCTAGCAAATGCATTCACGAGCGTTGTGTATGTGCAGATGTTCGGTTTACATTGGTGACTTCTCATTTCACAAAACAGTTTCCATGACATGTATGACTTACTTGCCTGCAATGACATGAACATCACATCTTCCCAAAAGGCCACATTTGCAGAAACTATATATAATCTCATAACAAACGAAGTTGGAGTAAACCTTTCCATATAAGTTTATCATCAAGTTGTATGTTTCAGTTGTTGGTTTGCACCGTTCACGCTTCATCCTCTGAAAAACATTGATTGCTTCTTCATTGTTTCCTTTCCTCTTCGTTAACGCCTCAATATATGCATTGTATACAGTAGCGCCTATATATATAAACACAAGATTAGATAGAAGACTAGAATATCTTTAAATGTAGTCTTGACCGAAACATACTTGGAGTAACATGATGGTTTTGCATCTCGATTAAAACGGCTTCAGCTTTCTCTATGAGCCCTGCTAAACAGTATGCCTTTACAAGAAGAGCGTATGTGTCTTCCGTAGGCACGCAGCGAGTTTCAAGAAGCTGCACATAGAGTGATTCAGCCTCCTTGTACCGGAGCTTCTGTCCATAAGCATCTATAAGCAGATTGAAGCAGATTACATCAGGCTGAAAAGAGCTCCTCCTTAAAATCCACTCACACACCTAAAGACAAAAGATTGTAGCTTCAGCTAATTAAGAACTTCAGGAGACATAATGTAACAATTAATGATAAGTTGTTGAGTTAGTCTAGCGCCAAGATTGAAGCTTTAGTTCGATCCTATCCCAACAAATGTTGGTTTCAACTTCCAAGTATACACTATGAGGAGATGAAGAACAAACTGAAAGTGTTTCAAGAAAGCTAACCAGGATAATGGAATCCCAATTCTTGTTCAAACGAAGCTGCACAGAAACATTGATAAGATCATCCCATGAGGCGTGTGTAGAAGGAAGAGTTAAGAGGACATCTGCTACTTTCTCAGGATCAGTTTCTTTCTGAATAAAGCTCAGAATCTTCTGAGCAATCGGACTCAGAACAGGGAAAATCCCATCCACAAAACCGGATCCGTATTTCCATCCTCGTCCTCTCAAAGAGCCACCTTTATGGGAAAAACAACCAAAACATTTCAAAAACAGAGTCTTGATCTCCAAATCTTAACAGAAACTTCATAAGAAAGTGTCATATTTACATCGTTTCCTAGAGAGTTTCTTCCTGCTAAATCTTGTTAATTTCCCGCGTTCGTCTATGACAAAGCCTTCCTTTTTACAGCTTTTAACAGTCCCACAAGTGAAATGTGTCACTCCAAAACCCAAATATCTATGGAAGCCACTGGGTTCAATGAATAAGCAACTCAAAGCGTTTCCAGCTACCAACCTGTCAAACAATTAAACAAAAAAAAACAAATTTTCTGGAAAAAGTTTAGAGCTTTCAGTTTCTTTAGAACCCAAATTCTCAAAATGTTTTAGAGAAACCATAACAACACCCAGCAGAAAACCGACACACGTAATCGATTAGATACAACAAGGCAATGGTATGTTCAAACCATTTGACTCACAAAAATCTATCAAGAGTTGGAGAAATTCTGCGGATACTCATTTTCCAAACCGGGAAACCAAAAACCAGAGTGAGAGAGTTGGTTCTTACATGACCGGAGATGGGTTTATCGATGGAATAGTGTCGTGTATAGCGATGATATTTTTTTCCCACTCTTCACCTTCTTCTTTGAGTTTGTTTCAGATAAACTGTGTTAATGGAGGATAACAAGTCGCAAGAAGACTATCCGTTAAAGACTGGACTTGGAGGAAATGGTAAATTTCTTGCGTTAAAAAACAGGGAAAGGTAAAATACTTTTTTTGGTGAGCCCAGAAAATGTGACGCGGTTCCGGTGCTGCACACGTTTGTCATTATACGTTTGGTAAAAACTAAAAAGGTACGTTTATGTGTGACAGTAAAAATATAGTAAATCGCACTTAAATAATCCAAAATGGAGATTTTTTTTAAATACTGTGGTGTGATTTTTTTTGTTTGCCATGTTTTTCTTGTATTTGAATCATCACATCCATATACAGTATAGAACGATTTATATATGTTATTATCAGACTGAAAGTTTCTTTTTTTTCCCCGTATTTTAGGACTTTAATGTGGTGAGATATATTTCAATTTCAGTGTTCTTTTTCTGGAAACTTCCGGATATGTAATTAATTTTGAACGAAATAAACCAAAACGGCGTGCAGTTTTTATTTTGGGCCAACACGCATCCGAAATATTTATATAGCCGAAAGAGAGAGAGAGAGACCCATAAAACCCACTCTCTCGATATTCGCGTTTGTTTTCTGCAAAATATCATCTTCGCTCGCTTCTCGATTTTCGCCTCTCCGTTTCCTTCTCGTCTTTTCCGGTACTCACTGCAAAAAAGTATAAAACCCTAATCACGATTCTCATTCGATTTTGATTTTCAATCGATTATTTCGTGCTCGTTTACGTGTGTTTCGCATGTTTGTTTGCTCTCTGTTCGATTTGAAACCAGGAACCCCGAAGCTGTGATTTTTCCTCCAGGTCTTAATCTTTACCACCGTTGGTAACATATTGCTTCTGCATTCCTTTTCTCAATCTCTCCTTTGAAAAATTTCACGGTGTTATCGCTCTTAACGCCTGATTGATTGTTCGATTATCCCTGAATTTGCTTGAAAGTGAGTTACGTCAGCGTTTTCTGATTTGTATGCGAATGTTCACTAGTGTTAGTTTATTCGCTAAGTTGTTGACTTTTCGTGCGACTGTGCAATTTGCCTTCCCGACCTCTGTTTATTAGTCAAGTTGCTTGTGTTCTTTGGCCATGAATTTCCAAATCGATTTTTCAAAAAGTGATTTTGGTTAATGTATCTGCTAAAACTAGGCTTTAGTGTCCATCCTGAAACAATTTCGAGTGGATTCATCTTTGTAATGCTGCTATATAATGCACTGTTTTTGTGTTAATCAATCTTCTGTTTTTGGCTCCACAAGTCTCCTGATTTCTAGTAGCTTCTCAGTTTGATGAATGGAGGAAAATTAGCCCTGTTGTTATTTTAGTTTTCTGCAACAGCAATGTCGAAATATCGGAGGATGAAGCTTATGGAGGAATCTAATGGTGCTTCTGGAGAAGAACCAGAGTATGGTGCAATCTTCATGTCCAATAACTCCACAAGAAAGGAATGCTTAAGGCGAGAGCTTTTCGGTTTGCCAAATTGGCAAGCCGGATTTGTAAAACAGGTCAAAGCTGGAATGTTGTTGTTTTTGTTTGAGTTTGAGAGTAGGGAGCTGCATGGCGTCTTTCAGGCATGCTCTGATGGTGCGATAAACATTGAGCCTGATGCATTCTGCTCTTCTGGGAAACAGTTTCCTGCTCAGGTACTTGCATTTACTTTCACACTGTTCCTCATTGAGAGTTTTTTTTTGCTTTTGCTAAGTTTGTTTCTTGATCCCATTTGCTTAGGTCAAGTTTACTGAGATGTGGCATTGTAGGCCACTTCGTGAAACGGAGTTTCGTCATGCTATTAGTGATAATTACTTTACGGCAACAAAGTTCAATTTTGGACTGTCAAAAGCACAGGTGTGTGGTTAGTTTTATTCAGAAAATCTAAACATTGTTCAAGTATTTTCCATGTTTGGCCTATATTATGCGGTTTGCTTTACTTTCCTTTGTGTTCTGACACTTTCTATTTGGAAATGTTATTTATAGGTTCAAAGGCTACTGAAGTTGTTTAGCTTGAAGAAGGTAGAGAGATCATCACATCCGAGGAAAACTGCAGTTGCAAAGCACACAAGAACATCTGCAAGTGGTTTGGGAAATACAGCTGGTGATCGCGACTTTGGCAACCGTGGTGCAGAAGACACTGATGGAGATGTCGACCGTGAGTTTCCCTTCAGAGTTACATCTGCAAGAGATCGTCTTGGTCGTAGCTTAAAAGAAAGCTATGGTTTTGGGGATGAATCTGATATTGGCGTAGACACTAGAAGAAATGAGTACTCAGGAGACACATCTGGGGTTCATAGGAGACTCGTTGACCCCATAGTGCATGGATCAAAGGATAGAGTAGGATATGATTCTAGCATGAATAATAGTTTTGGGACAGAGGCTTTAACTAATCAGTCTACTTATAATGATCGAAGAGTCCCTAAGAACTTGAGACACACTGCAAGTGGCTGGTCAGAAAAGGAGTGCCATGAAAAAGATGGTATCACACTGGCGAGTATGTGGTCTAACCACGAGGAATGCCTTAATTTTGGGGCAGATCCAGCGGCTCCTGCTCAAAGCTCAGTACTTCGAGGATTACGATATGGAACAAACACAGAATACTATGACCCTTGTGATCCCGGGATCCCAGGACATGCAACCATGAATAGCTCTAGGCAGGGATTTGGTGCACCTAATGTTGATTCACTGGGCTCAGCTTTCTATACAAGCAACTCAAGTCATGTTTTGAGAGAAGAAGTTATAGCTGGTGGTGGTTATGTCAGTGACACCTTGCTTTCTGAGAGAGTCCAACCATATTCTGATGACCACAATGGTACAAGCATGAACAACACTACTCTGGGCGTGGATTACTATATTCCAATGCCTACTGAACATCCTGAATACCAAACCAACTCTGGCATGAATGGAGTTGCTGGTTCTGAATCTCAATATGAGTATGGAAATGGTCATTTGCGTCATTCTCAGTTTCCTGAGACCGCTGAGAACACGAGGGACTTTGAGAGGTCGTCTTACTCCAACCGCAGCATCATCCCTTCCTTTGCTTATCCTTTACCATCAAGGGATTTATCTCCTAAACACGGAGTCAACAATGAAATTTCAGCATATCAAAGCCAGGAAAATTGTGGAGGTCATCTTTCTTATCCATACGAGAGGACGGTTCGTGATTCTAGAATTTACCCTTCTTTTACTTATCCTTCAACATCAGGGGATGGAGCTGATTTGTATTCAGAGAAGAGAAGTCAGAACCAAGTTCAAGCGTACCAACAACATGAAGAATTTGGTGGTGATGCTCTTGACTCTAACAAGAGGGTGATACGAATGAAAGAACGTGTTAGTCCTGCTGCACTCGAAAGAAACAGAACCAGAAAGAGCGTCTTCAGCAGGCTTGCTATGCCTTCAGAAGAACGTGTTGCTGAAAAGGATACTTCTCCGATATCTGATTCTGAATCAGTCGATGAGGTCATGGCCTTTTTAAACGACTGTAATGAGCACTGGGCTGTACAGAAAAAACCAAATCGGAGCAATCCTGAGGTTCTCGGAAAACCAAAGAAGAAAAAGGAAACGATTCGTACAGCAGAGGTACTTGACAATGATCCGATGCTTCCTTTTACTGAAACTACTCCTGATGATCTGTCGGACTGTGAAGAAAATATGGAACACAGTGCTCAAAAGCGACCGTTTATTGATTTCAAGCGGCGTAGCAAAGCTCAACAGAGCCCTGGTGATCCAAGTCAAGGGTGTGAAGACAATTCTAAACATTCAGCTCCTCAGGACAAGAAAAGAAAGCTGCTGAGGCCAAAACTCATTGAAGATGACTCGGAAAAAGAAAGAGGAAACAATGGCAATCCTATCGAAAATGACTTGGCTCCTCAGGACAGGAAAAGGAAGCTGCTGAGGCCAAAACTCACTGAAGATGGCTCGGAAAAGGATAGAGGAAACCATGGCAGTCGTATTGAAAATGACGTGGCTTCTCAGGACAAGAAAAGGAAGCTGCTGAGGCCAAAAGTCACTGAAGAAGAGTCAGTAAAGGATGGAGGAAACAATGACTTGGCCTCAAAGTCAGCTAGCGAAGTCCCCGACCCAGTCAATGATCTCCTTGGACGTGGTGATCAGTAACCACCCGTAAGGAGTTAGAGACACTAAAGGACACAACATGGCCTCTTCGAGAATATGTTCTACAACAAAAGGCGCAGGTTGTTCCTTGGCTGTTGTGTCTTTTAGCTTTTTTCCCCAAGATGAAGGCAGTAGTTTTTTGGCGGTGTAAGTATCTGTCTTCTTAAAACGTTTTGGCAGCACAGAAGCTTGAGACAGATGAGGGAGTTTTATGCTGATGATGTCAAAGCATGAGTTTGTTTCACAAGTGAAACTAGACAGCTATAAATCACTAGATTTTGTTGTCGTAAATTGGCAATAACCAGATAAACCATTTACAGGTTTCCTCAAGCATTTATGCTTAAGGCTTTTGTGTAAAAGAGGTAACAAACATTTATCGTCTCTAATTCATAGCGTTAGGTCCAAAGCATCTGTTCCTAGTAAGGTCCCAAACCCATTGAATCAGATACTTTCTTCCTCTAACTCCATTCACGTTATACACATTCCTCCACCGATCCTTGTACACACTCCCCATATACCCTCCTCCTCCTCCTGACCCATACACTCCCAAACATAAGTCAGCTATCTCCGTCGGTGCCGTCGCATCCTCTCCTCCGTACCATCCGTTCAACATCGGGTTGCTCGACACTTCAGCCAGCTCATGTGCTATCACACTGATCATCCCATCGATTCCGGCATCTCCGTTTGGCGGTTTCATCTTCTCTCTGGCCATAAACCCACTTCCCGGAAACGGCTTAGGCTGCGCAAAAGGGTAAGCGCACATTTCTGGACACTGTTTCTTACTGTTCCCGATCCAAACGTAGGGTACGGTTGCGCCAACGATGCTTGGGAAAGTGAAGTAGTGAAAGCCGCAAATTGCTCTGCAGAACTCTTGCATCTCTACATCATCTGAGGTTAAGACTAAGTACAAGCCGTTGAGACCGTTTAGCGGTAACTTGGAGGTCACGGCAGTTCTGATCACAGACTGAACAGAGAAGCGAGTGAGGTGAGATCCGTGGGAGTACGTCCGGTCGTGGAACTCTCCGGACAAGACAAGAGTTCCTGTGATGTTGGAGCCTGTCTGGTCTCTGTATAGCATCACCGTCTTCCACCAGTCGGATACTGACGGGTGCTTAGCCGGTGTCGGTGAAGAAACGGAGTAGAGGAAGTCACGGATTGTGGATTGTTGGGTTGGGTTCCATCGGCCGTACCATATGATGTAGAGACTTGTTGCCGGCGAGGATATGACCGGACCCATATGGTATTGAAGGTCGACGAGATCGGAGGAGCCTTCGTAGTTCTTGCTCTCGTCAAAGAATTGTCCATTGGATGTGAGAGAGAGTAAGAGGAAGAAAAAGAAAGAGATGATCATCTCTTGTTTTTTTTTTTTATTCTATGATTTGATTAGTGGGAACGTTGGAGATCTTATTACAGGGAGTTGTGTTCTTAATACATTTTTGTAAAGTAATTTCAATTGGTAATTTCCTAGTTTAAGTTTTATCAAACAGCACCATTTGCATGATTGCATCATAAGTGAATAGAAATGACATAAAGAAATGTAAGATCAGATTATAAATGTCATTTTTTTTATCTAATAAGGTAATTTTGATTTATACGTATACGAGGGTCTATGCAAATCGAAGAGGCTGTCGGTTACGTACAACTTTTGAGCTTGATTGGTGGCACTGTTAGAGTTAGAATAAGAGCCCACATGGACAAAAGCATGATTACGTCTAATGATTTTCTGTCAAAACATATTCGTGAAAGCTAATGAAAAGTAGTAAACCCATTATTGCATAAAATATTATAAGATCCAATTTTCGAAAAGTGAAAAGCTTCGCATGTTTACCATAGAAACCAAAGTAAAGTATTAATGTAGTTGGGAAATCCATCTGATAAGTTATAAAGTCAAGAAAATGTTTATTAAAACTATGCAGACAAAAAAAAAGCTAAGCTATTCACAAGTTATAGTAACTTTAACATTAAAACCAAAAAAAAGTTATAATAACTTAACCTATGATGATTTACCATCAACTATTTCAATAACTATTAGAGTTTGACCCGCGCCTTGCACGGGAGTGATATTTTCTCAATTTGATTTTATTAAAAGATGTCTATTTACATACAATTTTAGGAACATAGAGTGTTAGACAATTAAAAAAATGTCAATTTACATTAGACGAAATTTTGAGTGATGCATATTTTTTTAGCCTGGTTTGATTTTTGTCATCGTTTACAGTGTGGTAATCTAACATTTGCTTTAACAACAGTTTCTCCCTTTCCGAACCCACATATATATTAAATTTTAATACATTTAAAATAATTTTATATTTTGATAAATATAAAATGGCATATATATTTTATGTTTTTATCAATTTTAAATAACTAAAATAATTTAACTTATATGATAAGTTATTAGAATTTATTACGTTTAAAATTTTGATCAAACCAAAATATTAAAAAATACGATTTAATTATTTAATTCAATTAAAGAATCAAATTAAATCGAATAAAAGAAATTTTAAAGATTTCCAAACATGGTAAATTTTTCTTTCCTATTTGTGATTATGGTTGATCATTATTTGGATCCTATTTTATAATAGGTTTTTGAACTATTATCCCAAAATATAATCATGTGGGACATTTAACATTTTTAGAGATTTGCTTCATTTTTAAAAATTCAAACCATAGCATATGTAGAAAAAAACTAATTTTCTTTTTTAAAATATTTTGATGTGATGATATAATTTATTCTTGAAAGTAAAGCTAAACAAAAATGATAGATGAATAAATTAATTTTTAAACAATTAATATAATACAATTGAATAAAACTTTCCATATTTTACTGATTGATTGACTAATAAATAAATTTTCGTCATTACCAAATAAGGAAACTGAAAGAAAATAATTTTCATTAATAATTATTTTTCTGACTAAATTAATCATATATATTTCATTCTCTAACCAAATATGAATGGCATAACATGTAATTAGTCTAGTAATGTTTGTCTTAATTAAAACTAACCTTGAAAGTGAACCTGGTGTTGACACATCAGCATGGCATTTCTGTTAATCTAATACTAATAAATCAGCAGTCAGCTAATGGCTTCTCCATCTGACACGTGTTTTTTTAAGTTTTCCATTTTTTTCTTCTTTTTTTTTCGTGGGTTTATTCCTTATCTGATTTATTTATTTATTTATTTTATTATTTTTATTTTTTTTTCAGATTGTGATTTTCTTCTTCCTAAACCACGATCTCCTTTATTGGCTGTTCAACTTCCATTTTCATCCCACGATCTCCTTCACTTTTTGATTTCTGAAACCACCGTCATCTTCTCTTTTAATTTTCAACTTCAGTTTCTGAAACTGCATCTCCTTCCGAAATCCTTTCATTTCCTTCATAAACCCTAATTTTCTTATCCTTAATCCACTATCTCCAAAACTTAAATTCCTTCTTTCACATATTATGTTCTCTGCCATGTAATTATAGAGATTTTTCAAATAGATAACGAAATCTCTTCTTCAGCAATCAGGTATCTCTATCTTTCTCATCAAAATTTCAGATTTATCACTTTTTCTCAAGTTGATCTGGAGATGCTTTGTTGGTTGATTTGGAGTTGATTTGCTGGAATAGTTGCATGTTCTGAATCAGAAATTTCTTCGTATAAGCTTAGCTTGAGCTTTTCCATCTTTCTCACTTTTTTCAATTTCCAAAATCGAAAAACCCATATGTTTTTTATTTCTGGGTTTTTTGTTTTCTTCTCTGTTCATTGATAAACTTGATTCTTTTTGATAAATTTGCTTCAATCTCTGATGATATTTCGTAATTGCTTTTAATTTTAATACTTAGAATGCTTCCTGCTGTGTTTGTAATCAAAAATTTGTTTCATTTGAACACCTCAAATCGTTGCTCAATCCATATAGTGTTATGTTATTTTCTATTTTTATGTTTTCTTTCATCATTATGGCTTAATTACAACCTTAATTACATCCATTTGTGTTATGTTATATTGGGGAAAAAGATTGTTACCAAAATCTTCATTATAACTTTCTGTTTTCTGAACTGAATTTCAGGTTTTCTGAACAAGATGAAGCTTCCTCTCACACCAATTGCTGACATAAAATCAGATCCAGAAAACGAAGTTTACAAGGATGATAAGATACATAAACCTATCTTAGTTCATCATGTTAATCTGTTTTATTAAAGTGTTTTACACCAGATATACAAAATTTGATAGTATATTTTGGTTTTATGACAGATAGATTGTATACTTAGAGGAGGAAACAAGATATCTAAGTACACAGAAATTACAAGACATCTAAGTGCACGTAAACTACAATCAGAAGAGAGGCCTGATATTCTTATAAGAGTATTCAAGATGAAGTTGGATAATTTTAATTTCCACATAAAAAACAAGAACCTCTTTGGCCCATTTTAGCAGGTAAAATCAGTTTACATGTTCCTCATCTTAATTGTTTGTGTCCTTTATATTGTTTTAATAGTATTTTCTCATAATAAACAGTGATATATGCACTTGATATCCAAGACAGAGGACTTCCTTAAACATACATTTTGCTGGTTTTGAAGCGGTGATTAAATTTGGAATCACCAAATGAAGCACATCACATCTCAACTAGAATAGATTTTATATTAACCCAGATTTAATCTATATGTATATATGGATCTTTATATATCTTTATAACTTCGTACAATTGTCTTTTACCTATGAATTTGCTTTCTTTGGAGTTAATTAAGTTGTCCATGTTCAGTTTATGCATTTTTCATTTAAAGAGTTTATCTATCTTGCATTCTATTTGTTTCAGTTTACAATTTCTAGAAACAAAAACAAATCACATGATAAATTACAAAATCAAATGAGATGATTAACGTAATAAAGAAAATTACCAAAATAAAATTTGGGGAAATAAGATTTGGGGATTTAGTTAAATATCCAGATGTCATCGATTCAAGCTGCACTTTATCAAATTTGCTCTCAACTTTTGCTATTCCTAAATCAAATTATTTTTTTTGTTTGTTTTAGTGATTCATATCAATTCTGGGTTTAAGAAGATGAAAATAAAGGTCCATGTCCATGCATAGCATGGGCCAAATACTAGTAACACATGAGACAAAGGTTTATTTTATAGTGTTTTCTCTTTTAATATATTAGGGATATTGTCGTCGGTAATCATCTCTAGTTGGTCTAATAGTAAACCAATGAAAGTCGTGACACCTTATGCTTTTTCTATTTAGGTTCCGGTTCAAGTAAAAATAGGTAGAACAAAAAAAAGTTTGGACCTTTCGGTTAGTTATTTTTGAAAAGATTTCGTTTAAGTGAAGATTATATTAAAATTGGGATGGACCAAAGTCATCTTCCCATCGAAAAAGACATACCTTTCCTCCTTATGGATGGATCATGGATCAGTGGGTCCTTTTGCTTGTAACCTTTAACCAACACTCTTTCTCCAGATTTGAGTTTCATAAAACTTAAAGCTTATGGAGTAATGCTAAAGTCCCAAACCATATTCGAATTTTATTTACTTTTGCAAAGAATAATAATACTATGCACAACCACGACATAATATGTTTTTGGCTTTTTGCAGATTTTTAATCGTCATCAAGCCAAACTAAACCGGGAACTGATAAACGGAGTCAACTTCCGGTTTACTCATCGAGTGTAATAATATTCCTCGTTGCTCTCCTTTTTCTCCTTAAGCTTCAGCTAGAAAAAAACTTTGGTTTCTTTAGTTTGGGCTCACCTAGATGCAACGATACGTTAACCTCTTCTTCGAAACTGTTCTTTAAAGCGACAAGATCATTAAAATCAGGTTTCACTTGCCCTTTAATAGCAGAAGAAGCAGAAGTAGACTCGTTAACCGATGAAGAAGCAATGAACAAATGTTCCTCTACTCCAAGTGTTGGTTTGATAGCTTCTTCTATATGAAACTCAGGCGGTATAAATGGCTCAAAGCTCTCATCTTGTCTGTCTCCTGATGGAACCAGGTCTGGTGGAGACGATTGGCTAAGTGTTGAATCAAACGCCGTAACCGACGTGTTCCTCTGTTCTCTCGCAGCTGCTGCAAAGTATACAGAACCAAAACGGCATGAGAAGTTTGGTGACGGTTCTAATGAAGAAAAGAGTTGTAAGAAAACCTTCAAGCTCATGGTTCGACGTGATGAGATCGAGCTCCAAGAGATCCAAAAGACGACCAAGATCGACTCCGCTTGTCCAGTTCTCCGGCTCTTGCCCGCCTATAAGTTTCAGCCTTCCTCGGTTAGCTGTACCACCCCAAATGATCCCAACTGGTCGTGGCTTCTGACCATTTGGACTCGTCAAGAGTATAAGGCTTCCACTGTCACCTTCAAGGTCAAAAGTCTGTTGGTTCTCACCAATCACAAGAAAGTCCGTGAGGAAACAAATCCCTTTCTCGTCGTTGTACTCCAAAGTGTAAGCCATTATGGTTCCAGTTGTATATCCAGAGCTTCTCCCAACTTTGACAACTTGTCTCCCAATAAGACTATCGATTGAAGACTGCAAGTCTATAACGTGAACATTTCCTATCTCACCAATGCCCTTTATCACCGTAGTTACGTTGCTCGTGTTGAAATCTTCTGCAAAAGGAATAAATGCACCATCCGCTCTCACAAATGTTTCTGCATTGTGTGTAGATATCAAAGAAGTCAGTATGAAATAACAGAGAGAGTTGCAATGAAGTTGAAGCTCTGAAGTACCTGGATTGGTGCCAGCAAAGATGCCGTACCACTGGTCATCAATGATAAACGAGGTTGCTTTCTCAACAACACCGAGGTAGACGCCAGGTCCAAGGCTTGGAGGCAAAGGATGAAACATTTTCTGGCTCGGATAATCCAAATCAACAGCGACGTGTCGGTTCGTAAGGAAACCGACCTGATGGTTACTTGTTCTGCTTTTCACTATAGCTCCCAAGGTTCCATAAGTTTCTTGGCTTGCAACCTTCACACACAACACAGAACAAACAACTGAGAATTTACGGTAACGGTTTGCAGAAGAGGTAGAAAGAAAGAAAGAAGAAGCTATACCTGAGAACCAGAGCCAATGCAGGGATATCTTCCTCTCAAGCCATCTACAAGCTCATTATAAACCTGTTCCTTTGGCGTTGCAGCAGGAGAACCATAATATTGAAACTCCACAACGTCTACATCGCACCATATCCCTCCAGGACCCTGTTAATGAAACGTATACATATATATGCTCTGATCAAATTCCTGAAAGTAAGGCTATGTGTGGAATGGAATGAAATGGATACAAGATAACACAACCTCGAGAGCGGAAGGGAGGCACTGCATTGGATTAAGCCACTGCCTATGGACTTTCCTAGCAACAAAGACAAGTATCGCCGGAACATTCGTCAGAGCGCCACGGCTGATTTGGAACCCAACTGCAGTACCGAGGCTGAAGCGGCGCAGGATTTTACTGTGGAACGCTCTGATGGTCATGAGCTCAAGCAAGGTGGTGGCTTGTTGTCCTGAAGGAAGCCTCCCAACATTTTCAGGTAAAACCCCTTTCTGGAGATTCCCGAAATAGTTTGCTCTGTCGTTAAGCCGGCTGAGAGTGGGCCACGAGAAGTATGGGGCATTGCTCTCTGCGTGCTGGATGCTGAGTGAGAATGGCTGAGGAAGAGATGGACTTGAAGACGATGGAAGACTCATCAAGTGGTGATGGTTTCTCTCCAAATCCAAAGCTGAATCATCGGATTCAGAAGAAGCTGCTTGCATGAGTCTCTGTCCCCATCCGCCCAAATTCATTGCTTCAACAATCTCCTGATATGGCTTGGAGGTCCTATGTTCGTAAAAGGAAAAAGCAGAAAGAGGCGGTGACTTCTACAAGTGCAGAGTCAATTAGCTAAATTTCCTTTAATTGCTTAAGCTAAGTTTCCTTTATTCTTTGAGTTTTACTTATTAATGTAAGGGTCTATAACTATAAAAAGATCTGTTTGGGTCTTTCTTTAGGATTATCGGAATTTTGGGATTTGGCTTGTGTCTCTGTTTAGAGAACAAGAGGGTTTTAGTCTTCAAGCATACTCGCTTGGACTTGTGTTCTGAGTTTCCTATCTATATAATACGCAGTTTCTTATCAAATTGGTGCCGGTGAACGTTTTGGAGCGCACAATCGTGACAATCAGACTTTCACGATGACAAAGGATCCACCAAAGCCAACAACGAAGACGACATAGACAACGATTACTTTAGACTCGCTGGCGCACATCGTGATGAATCACAAAACCGAACAGATGGAGAGTGAAAAGGCTACACGATCGATGATCCAAGAGTTGACGACGGCGATGGATTCACGGTTCTCCGAATTGTACGACCTACTTCAGAAAAGTTCTGCAAGTTCACCACAGGTCATGGAGTTCTCAAATCCGAACTACAAGAAGCTTACCCCAAAGGTATGCCCTTCGGACTTGGAACCATGCCTTACTTACAAAGCGGATGATTCTCGATTTCGAAATTCAATTGTGGGTACTCGAGAGAATATGTTGAAACGCGTGGAATTACCGGTTTTCTCCGGAGAAGATGCTTATGGTTGGATTGCTCTGGCTGAACGGTTTTTCAGAATTGGAGGTTATAGTGAGGAAGATAAACTAGAAGTGGTTTCGATCAGTTTATGTGGTGATGGTGATGTCTTAAGCTGGTTCAACAGTGAAATGCATCGGAAACCTTTTCTTAGTTGGCAGGACTTCACCGATCGTCTGATTGCACGTTTCAGTCGTGAGAAGTTACGAGATCCAAGTCAACGGTTCTTCAATGTTACACAAACTGGTTCAGTTTCTGAATATATTCACATGTTTGAAGATCTCTCTACTCAAGCTTCGGGATTGTCGGATAAGCAAATGGAAGGTATTTTTATGAATGGGTTGACTCCTGACATGAGAGAAGTAGTTAACATGTGTAAGCCAGTGGACTTAGCAGAGATGATTTCTTGTGCTTATCAAATGGAGACAAGCTCTTTATACCGTGTTGTTCAAAGGGAGAGGCAGCAGAATAGCAAATCTTCAGTTCACCATCCTGCTTCCAAGTCTTACTCCAGTCAGACAGTGCCTCCTTGGAAGATGAAACAACTACAGCAAAGTCCTGCTCTTGCGCAATCTAGACCGCAAATCAAATTAACGGAAGCTGAAATTGCAGAGAAGAAGAGATTGGGTCTGTGCTTCAAGTGTCCTGAAAAGTGGTCTAGAACACATCTCTGCCCAAACAAATCTCTCCAGGTTCTCACGGTGGTTAATGGTTTTGACATGAAGATTCTTGATCAAAACTTAATTGACGTGACAGAGGACTATCATGTGGAAGAACCAGCACTGCTCATGGAATTATCCTTAAACTCTTTCTTAGGGATAGATTCTCCTATTACAACAAAAATGACAGGTTTGGTTAAGAAGAATCAAGTAGTAGTTATGTTAGACAGTGGTGCTACACACAATTTCATCACCCCAGAGATGATTAAGCGAGCACAATTGAAGACAATGGTGAATCCAAATTTGGAGATTATGTTAGGAACAAGCGTTTCAGTTCATGGGACAGGCATTTGTCAAAATGTGCAATTGTTGTTGCAGGGATTGACATTTACTGCATACTTTATAGTCTTAGATCTGGGAAGTGCTTATATTATCTTGGGAGTTCAATGGTTACGGACTTTGGGCAAACGTCAGATTGATTGGGATAAACATGAATACTCTTTCATGTATCAAGGGAAGCAAGTGACATTGAAAGGAGACCCATCATTACACACGCCAAAACTCTCATTCAAGTATTTACAACCTGAGTTTGTAGAGAAGAAACAAAGAGCAGCTTTGTCATTAAGCAACACACAAATCTCTCCACAGCAAGAACCTGTTCTGGCTCCTCCAATCGCTGCAGTTGTTGAAAAATATGCCCATGTCTTTCAACCCCCTTCAAGCTTACCACCTATTCGAGGCAGAGAACATGCTATTAACTTACATTCAGGGATGGGACCCATCAGTGTCAGGACTTACCGGTACCCTCACGCTCACAAAGAAGCTATGGAGAAGTTAGTGCAAGAAATGTTACGTGATGGTTTGATTAGACCAAGCCATAGTCCATACTCCAGCCCTGTCTTACTAGTGACGAAGAAGGACAATTCTTGGCGTTTTTGTGTTGAATATCGAGCTCTCAATCGGGCCACTGTACCTGATAAATACCCAATTCCGATGATTGATCAATTACTTGATGAGCTGCATGGAGCAAAGTTGTTTTCAAAACTGGATTTGAGATCAGGCTATCACCAAATTCGTATGGAGGAAAGAGATATCGAGAAAACTGCTTTTAGGACTCATGATAGTCACTACGAGTTCTTAGTTATGCCATTTGGGCTAACTAACGCTCCGGCAACCTTTCAGGCGTTAATGAATGAAGTGTTCAAGGCGTTTTTAAGGAAGTTTGTTCTGATTTTTTTTGATGATATTCTGATATACAGTTCCAATATCACAGATCATGTCAGACATCTAGAGATGGTTTTGGAGGTCTTTGTGGAACAGAAACTTTTTGCTAACAAGAAGAAGTGCACTTTTGGTCAAAAGAGAGTGGAATATCTGGGTCACATAATTTCACCTAAAGGAGTTTCTACAAACCCGCAGAAGATCAAGGCAGTGGAGAATTGGCCAACTCCTAGAACGTTTAAGGAGCTCAGAGGTTTTCTTGGTTTAACTGGATACTATCGGCGTTTTGTACAACATTATGGGCTATTGGCTAAACCCTTGACTGAGTTACTGAAGAAAGAGCAGTTTGAATGGTGTACAAAAGCACAAGTGGCTTTTGATGAGCTTAAACAGGGTATGACTTCCGCACCTGTTCTGGCTTTACCTGATTTTACACAACTGTTCGTCGTTGAGTCTGATGCCTCTGGTTATGGTCTTGGTGCTGTGTTGATGCAAGGAAAACACCCAATTGCTTACTTTAGTCGTGGGTTAACTGGTAAAGAGCAACTCAAACCCATATATGAGCACGAGTTAATGGCCATAGTCTTAGCTATTCAAAAATGGAGACACTATCTGCTAGGTCGAAGGTTTGTGGTGCGAACGGATCAGCAGAGTTTGAAATATTTATTGGAGCAGCGTGAAGTGACTTTGGACTATCAACGTTGGTTGACTCGAATCATGGGTTATGACTTTGATATTGAGTACAAGGTTGGCAGCGAGAACAAGGTGGCAGATGGTCTTTCTCGTATTGTGCATCCTACTACCACACTACTTATGTCTTTGACGATTCCAACATCTCTTCAAATACATGATTTGTTCAAGGAAGTGGATGAGAGTGAAGAGATACAGAAAATAATTCGAAAACTTGCTGCAGGAGAAACAGTTAAACCGGGTTATGGGGTGGTAGATGGGAGACTCTTTTACAATAGGCGCCTAGTCCTTCCTCAGAATTCAGCATATATTCAACTCATTCTTCAAGAATATCATGATAGTTTATTGGGTGGTCACTCTGGTATCCTGAAAACTATGAAACGGATTCAAGCTAATTTCTATTGGCGAAAGATGCGCAAGTGTGTACAAAGGTACGTCTCTGAGTGTCCTGTTTGTCAAACTCATAAATATTCGACACTCTCTCCAGCTGGGTTGTTGCAACCAATAGAGATACCTGTACGAATTTGGGAGGATATCTCTATGGATTTTATTGAAGGGCTTCCTAAATCTCAGGGCTTTGATGTTATTTTTGTGGTGGTGGATAGATTGAGCAAATACAGTCATTTCATTGGTTTGAAACACCCTTTTACAGCCCTTGCTGTAGCTCAGAAGTTTGTTCAAGAGGTCATTCGCTTTCATGGTTACCCGAGATCCATTATTTCTGACCGTGACAAAATTTTCTTAAGCAACTTTTGGAAAGAATGTTTCAAGGCTTCTGGTACAAGGTTACGGTTTAGTACCGCATTTCATCCTCAATCAGATGGACAGACAGAAGTTTTAAATCGATGTTTGGAGACATTTCTTAGATGTTTTGCTTCTCAACATCCTAAGGCGTGGGCTAAATATCTCTCATGGGCTGAGTTATGGTATAATTCATCTTTCCACACTTCTATTCAATGTACTCCATTTAAGATGGTATATGGTCGAGACCCACCAGCGTTGTTGTCATATGAACTTGGCTCTTCTTCTAATTTTGAGTTGGAAACTATGCTAAAAGAACGAGATGCAATGTTGGCTGAAGTAAAACATCATTTGATTAAGGCTCAGAGTATTATGAAGAATAATGCAGATAAACATCACAGAGACTTGGAGTTTGAGGTGGGAACAATGGTGTATTTGAAGCTCAGACCATATCGCCAACACTCAGTTAGCCGGCGGTTTTGTCAAAAGCTAGCAGCTCGTTATTATGGCCCTTTTGAACTATTAGCTCGCATTGGGAAGGTAGCTTATCGCTTGCGTCTTCCACCAGATTCTCGGATCCATCCTGTCTTTCATGTTTCACAGTTGAAGCCGGTACTTGGTCAAGGACAAGTAGTTAATCCTCTTCCACCTTCTGTTGCAACACTTGATGAGTTAGTTGTTGAACCGGAGGAGTTGTTAGACACACGATATGATTCAGAAGGACATTTGGAGGTTTTGGTTCAATGGACAGGCCTTCCTGCTCATGAAAATTCTTGGTTGCGAATTCAAGATCTTAAACATCAGTTTCCAGAGTTTGCGCTTGAGGACAAGCTTGTGCTCAAGAAGGGGGTATTGATATGGCTTGGAGGTCCTATGTTTGTAAAAGGAAAAAGCAGAAAGAGGCAGTGACTTCTACAAGTGCAGAGTCAATTAGCTAAATTTCCTTTAATTGCTTAAGCTAAGTTTCCTTTATTCTTTGAGTTTTACTTATTAATGTAAAGGTCTATAACTATAAAAGGATCTGTTTGGGTCTTTCTTTAGGATTATCGGAATTTTGGGATTTGGCTTGTGTCTCTCTTTAGAGAACAAGAGGGTTTTAGTCTTCAAGCATACTGGCTTGGACTTGTGTTCTGAGTTTCCTATCTATATAATACGCAGTTTCTTATCATCTCCCTTTTACAATGCCTTTTCAGCTCTGTCACAGCGAAAAAAGAGAGTATACGACAGACGTCAGCTTTCTAAATGCTTACGACTCGTAATACAATCAAAATGCCATTTTTATGCAGATTAAAGGCAAATCTTAAATGGTAGAAACAATAAGAGATTATCGTCCAAAGGAATAAACCCCAAAATTGTGTTTATGATTGAAACCTAGAAGTTGAGAGTCGCCTGAAGAATCATCTTAAAATTTCCAAAATTACAATCCGAGCGAGCTTAAACGCAAAGGATAAGAAGAATTTCTAAACGAACCCAGAATCTACATGATGCAAAAGCGAAGAAGGAAAAGGGTAAATAATTCAAATTATACATAGAACTCGATCCAGCGAAGGCGCGAAACTCACCGACAGGATAAGTCGCCGGAGTAGCCGCCAGAATTTCATGGCAAAATGGGAGCTAAGAGACGAAGAATTAGCTGCATTTGGAGAGCAGAGAGAGGGAAAATATGGATTGCAGAGAAGAATTGAAGAAGACGATGGAAAGGGAGCAAATTTCAGCGGCATAATAATAATCTCTTGTTACTGTTGATGGTGGTTGTGTATACAGTACAGCGAGAATTATCTTCCTTTTTCATTTTGTCGACGCATGAATATAATTCTTAATTTATTGTGTAAGTGTGTAACCAACAAATACCTTCTTTTTTCTTAATCTTTTTGGTCAACACCAATAAAATCTAGGGAAATTGGCAAAAATGAGAATGACAACCAAAAATTTAATAATTCACCATCTTGTATTTTCTGTATAAATGGCAAAAAACCCTCCCCACCAACGAAACCAACAACTAAAATATAGAGCTTCTATTTTCATATATTCCAATTTTTGTTACATAGAAAATTTATATTCCAAACATAATTATTTTATATAGATTTTATTCAGTTAAGTTTGTTATATATAGAATTTCTGAATAATATTGTAAAATATTGTGAAATACATGTGTCTACCCTATCTATATGACATATAAATAATTAAAATTTTATGTTTGGGTTTAATTTTCCTTGATTAGGATTTAGTTTTTTGGATTTAGGGTTTAAGTTTTGAGTTTAGGGTTTATATTCTTGGGTTTAGGGTTAAGACTTTGGGTTTGGATTTAGGATATATTTTCGGGTTTAGGGTTTAGGGTTGAGACTATACATTTTTATGTCGAAATATTCAGTCTATTTTGGAAATATATGAAAATAGAATTTAAATATTATAATTGAACGATAATTGCGGTAATGGAAGCAATTTTGTTCTTGGTTGAGGGCAAATACGTCCTACTGTGTTGCTGATGGTTCTACTCTTTATTATACAAATAGCATGACTATTTTCTTCATTTTGAGATCCAATATGGTCATCCTGCAAATTAACCCTAAAATCTACTCTGAATGTTTGTTTTTGTGTGGGATGAAGATAATCATTCTCGGTGCTATATGATAATGATTATTGAAAATCCGGTTTTGTTTCTGCAGCAATGGAGGTCAACTCCTAGCTCAAACATTAAGACAAACAGTTCAATCTCATATCTGAAAAGTCAAGAGTTTGATAAGAATAGTTGGGGATGGAGTTGATTAGAGCGTTGGATGGCTGCTAGGCCATGGGAGCCAAGACTTATGGACATTGTAGCCGCTGCTGCGACGCAAGAAAACAAGAACAAGCCAAGTTACATGAGCTTGACTGAATCAACAAAGGCTAAGCGAAGAACCAACCGTGTTCTTAGGCAGTCTGTGGATGAGTTTCAGTTTATGAAGAACTCTGGATTTAGTTTCAGTTTCAGTTTATGACTTGAAGAGCAGTCCTGCTTCAGATCCTTCCTATTTTAGTTTATCGAAACCACTCGGTGTTCCTACTCGATTCAAGAAGCAGAGAGGGTAAAGTGACATTGTGAGATTCATGTCAATTTGCTGGACGAGTTTCAATAGCTTGTTGTTGTCTTTGTGTTTGTGAGATATATGTGTATCAGTATGTTTAAGTTTTATTTTTGTCCTCTGAAACTACATTGGAGTTTTGATTTACCATTGAATTTAAATATGAAAACTTTGCAGTCTTACTTTTATTTCATCATTGAAACTCTCAGTTGTTTCAAGCATCAAAATCTTTTGATGGCTCTAAGCTTAACACCATTCTTAAAGCTGAGAATTACACCATAATAAAGCTCCAGGGGTTTCTCCATTTCCGGGGAATGTTTGAAAATGTAATTACGGTGGAGATGAAGCAAGGTGAGTTTGATTTCTTGCAAGGCAAATTTCTGTCCAACACAGGCTCGTGGACCTATGCCGAATCGGATGACCATGATGTATGCGTGTTCCTTAGGTGTTGTGTCTCTTAGTTTTTCTTCCCAAGATGAAGGCAGTAGTTTTTTGGCGGTGTAAGTATCTCTTGTCTTCTTAAATCATTTTGGCAGTACAGAAGCTTGAGATAGATGAGGGAGTTTTATGCTGTTGTCAAAGCATGAGTTTGTTTCACAAACTTGGTCAAGTGAAACTAGACAGCTATAAATAACTAGATTTTGTTGTCGTAAACTGGCAATAACTAGATAAACCATTTACAGGGTTTCCTCAAGCATTCATGATTTAGACTCTTTGTGTAAAAGAGGTAACAAACATAATCGTCTCTAATTCAAAGCATTAGGTCCAAAGCATATGTTCCTAGTAAGGTCCCAAACCCATTGAATCATATACTTTCTTCCTCCAACTCCATTCACGTTATACACATTTTTTTTTCACGTTATACACATTCCTCCACCGATCCTTGTACACACTCCTCATATACCCTCGTCCTCCTCCTGACCCATACACTCCCAAACACAAATCAGCTATCTCCGTCGGTGCCGTCGCATCCTCTCCTCCGTACCATCCGTTCAACATCGGGTTGCTCGACACTTCAGCCAGCTCATGAGCTACCACGCTGATCATCCCATCGATTCCCGTATCTCCTTTCGGCGGTTTCATCTTCTCTCTGGCCACAAACCCACTTCCCGGAAACAGCTTAGGCTGCGCAAAAGGGTACGCGCACATTTCTGGACACTATTGACCTGAACCAAATAAAAAAAATTCTAATTTTTTAACCTTAAATCCTAATCCGACCTAAAAACCCTAATCAAAATTTTAAAATACCTAAACTTTTTTAAATATGTCTAAATTCGAAAACCCGAAATCCAAAATTCTGGAAAACTCTAAACTGAACCCAGAAAAACTCGAACTCAAACCGGACATATATTTTCAAAAAAGCCCACCGAACTGAAATTTTCAAAAAAATCCGAACAGTTTCTGTATTTCTATATATCTATAAAACTAGGTATGAGATTTTCACCCAAACCCGAACTTGTTTAGAAAAACCCAAACCAAACCTGATTCAAAAATTTAAAAAACTTGAACGACTTTTATATCACTAAACCCAAAAACAAAACAAAAAAACTTTAAAAGAAACCTGAACTGAACCCAAATTAAAATTAAAAAAAAAATTAAACCCGAAAATCCAAAATCATATTCTATTGATTTGTTATTATCGTTAGATTACATTAAGTTTTCTTTTTTGCACATTTTTAAGAGCTGGAAAATGGAAGTTTTCTAAACCATAGGTTTGTTTTAAATTATTATTCTTGTATCCAAACAATTTTTTCCATTTATTCTTCTATCCAAATAGCTTTTTCTCTTATTCTTGTATCCAAACATTACAATGTACTAAATTGACCCTCACTAACTCTGTTGCCAAACATTTTATCTTCATAATTTAATTGGTTTTTTGGTCATAATTTTTTCATGTACTTCTCAATTAATAATATAAAGATACACAATTACGAGACAAAATTTTGGACATTTAATTGGCATCAAGCCAACTTAAACCGGGAACTGGTAAAGGGGATCAATTTCCGGTTTACTCGTTGCTCCTCTTTCTCCTTGAGCTTCAGCTAAAAAAACTTTGGTCTCTCACCTAGATGCAATGATGCGCGCGGCTGATTTGCCACAATTTGGCGAAAGTTAATCTCTGTGCCAAAGATGATCTAATGCCACAATGACATGTGCAATTACTCTTTTCTCCTCCTTCTCTCTTTTCACCTTTTACTTTTCCATTTACTTTCACATTTCTGATTTAACTAAAACAATAAAATAAAAAAATGAAATAAAAAAAAAAAAAAAGAAATAAAAATGCAATTGATGGATTTCGGAAATCGGAAATCGCGTGGTCGGAATTCTTCACACTCGAGCTCGCTTCTCTCACTCAAAATCTTCACTGAACTCGAAATCTTCTTCGACCTGAGCTCATCTACACCTATTCCGACTCCTCTTTCACCTCCGTAGACAGGATGTTCCCTGTTTCGTTTGTTTGACCATTGCTGAAGCTTCAAGTCCATTGAAAGTGAGTTTCTAAGCTTTTTTTTTGTTTGGTTCATTGGGTGTTCATTGGTATAGGCATTGGGTATACATGCATTGATAGAATAGGCGGTAGATTAAGCTTTTTGAGTAATGTAGCTTGTGAATCGCAGCGAGTGAACTGTATTTGAACTAGATCGGAACCTGCAGAGATGGTACAACTGGTACGAGTGGTACAAATGGGACTTAGTTGATTAAGTGGTTCAACTGGTTCATATAGGTACAACTGCATTTTAAAAAGTAATGGTAGTAAAAGTTCAACTGGTACACGTAGTACAACTGTGAGATGTTTTGTAATTGGGAATTGATTATTTTCATTATATTTGCAGGGTAACAATGAGCATGATCATCACAAACATATTTTTCGACCACGGAGGTCATTATGCAGAAGAGGAACTGAAATGGGTTTCAAAGAATCCCACTTGCGCTATAACATTCAAGATCTCATCTTTGGAGGAGATTACGTACTCGGCGGTTGTGGATAAGATATGCAGGAAGATTGCAAGAGATGGAGCTAAGCCGCTGCTGAAATTGAGTTACATTCCAATGTCAAATAATCCTGCGAGAGAGATGTACATTTTTGATGATGAAGACCTATTTGCTTATCTAACGACAATTGATAATCTGGGATTTAGGAGGATTTTGCATGTGGAGGTAACCAAGAACACGAACAGAGCAAATCATAGGAGCGACCACCTGTCTAGAACGGATGCAGAAAGTTCATTTGGTTTGAATTACGAGGAGGAGTCGGTTCCAAATGACAGAGGTGATGGTGTCGTTACCATATTCAGAGAGCCACATGTTGAGGAGCCAGAGCCACATATTGAAGAGCCACATATCGAAGAGGTTGAGTCTGATGGTAAAGAAGAGGATGGCAACGAGAAGCGTCCAGAACCAGATAGTAAGGAAGATGGGTTAAACTTCTTTGATGAGGATTTTGAGCTTTCACGTCCTGTAGAAGAAATTAAGTTGGCTGAAGAATGGGAAGATGGTATTGGTCTTGAAATAAAACAAGAATTTCCATCAAAGGAGGCATTGCAAGATTTGGTTGACAGAGCTTCACACAAGCATTGTTTTGGTGTCCGCACTTACAAGTCTGACACTGGCCGACTTATCCTAAGGTGCACTCAGAAGAGCGGAGGCTGTAATTGGTATATATATGCTGCGAGGAAAGGTGGATCAGATTTTTTCAGTGTCCGAAAATACTGGAACAAGCACAACTGCTCACGGGCTGTTGAAAGTAGTAACAGCTCTCGAAGGAGAGGCAACCCACGATTAGTGGCATCGGTTTTGCATGAAGACTATCCAGGTCAGTTTGACACACCAGTTCCAAAAACAATTGTCGATGTTGTTCACCGTAGACTTGGTGTGAATGTGTCATACTCAACGGCTTGAGAGGAAAAAAACTACACGTTAGTGATGTTCGAGGCACTCCTGAAGAAGGCTACAAGATGTTATTTTCTTATCTGTACATGCTGGAGCAGGAAAATCCTGGAAGCAAAACGAATGTGCAACTAGATGCTTTGCACAGGTTTGAGTATCTGTTTGTTGCTTTGGGAGCGAGCATTGAAGGGTTTCAATGGATGAGAAAGTGATAGTTGTGGATGCAACGTTTCTGAAGACTGTATATGGTGGACAGCTTGTGTTTGCCACTGCTCAAGATCCTAATCATCACCATTACCCTATTGCCTTTGGGATAATTGATAGCGAAAATCATAGTAGTTGGCCATGGTTCCTGGAAAACCTGAAAGCTGTTGTACCAGATGATCCTGAACTCGTTTTTGTTAGTGACAGACATAAAAGCATCATATATGGAGTCTCGAAGGTCTATCCATTGGCTCGCCATGTACACTGTATTTGGCATCTGGCTCAGAACGTAAAAGGGCATGCTCAGCAAGGTGTTAAGAAAGACGATGTTGTTGATAAGTTCATCAAATGCGCTCATGCTTATACTGGGTCTGAGTTTAAAAAGGAGTTTGATGAGTTCAGGAAGCTGTATCCTGCGTGTGCTAAGTTTTTGGTTGACAAGATAGATGTGGAAAGGTGGGCAAGGTGCATTTTTGAAGGAGAAAAGTATAACTTAGACACCAGCAATTCTTGCGAATCTATGAATAGTGTGTTTAGGAAAGACAGAAAGTTGTCTCTCTTACCAATGCTTGATAAGATAATAGAGAAATTCGCTTTTTGGTCCAACAAGTATAGGAACGAATGCGCTTCAATGCCAAGTACAAAGGTCGTTGTGCCTTTTGTGGAGAATGTTCTTCACGAAAGATGTCCAATAGCTAAGCGTTTAACGGTCAGGGAGGTAAATGGTCAGGAATTTCTGTTCGACGTATTTGGTTCAGATGGTGTGGTATATCTTGTGGATTTGGCGAGCAAAACTTGCGTGTGTAGAATGTTTGACATTGACAAGTACCCGTGTGTCCATGCAATTGCCGCACTCATGGCAAAGATAAAGAAGGATGGAAGAATGTCGACTCTTTCTGTATATGATTTGTGCTCCAGATACTATTTGGTTGAGACATGGGCACGAGCATATGTGAAAACGATCTATACAGTGCCCCATATCTCAACTTGGGCAATCCCGGAGGATGTTCTGAAATTGTTCGCTTATCCTCCTGATTACACAGCAAAAAGAGGAAGAAACCAAGAAGAACGACATCCATCAGAAGGAGAAAGTCGTAAAAAGAAGAAGAAGAAAACGAGTAACAAGTGTAAGCCTCATCAGGATTTGGGTGTTTTTTTTAAACCTCCAAACGAGTAACAATTGCAATTCTGTTGTTTGGATTTGGTATTTATGTTGTTTGGATTTGAATTGGCTTGCTTTAACCGCTTGAATTTGTTTTTAATTATGTTGTATGAAGTTTGTGTGAACAATGTTGCAGTCATGTTGTCTGCAGTGTGTTACTTGAAGTTGTACTGATGGGTTCTAACAGGTTCAAGTATGTACTAATATTCAGTGTTTTTATTATCAAAATTTCGGAACAAGGTTCTACAAGGTTCAAGTAGGTTCAAGTATGTAAATAATGTGGGTTTGTATTCTAATATGGTAAAGGTTATGGTTACTGAATTAGTGTAAAAGTTATGGAATTAGCTGATAAACGACTTGTTCAGAACTAGGTTCTGATATGGTTCTGCCAGGTTCCCGCGTGTATAGAGAATGTTCATTGCGTCTAGACGTCTGAATGTGGACGTGTTTTGGTTTCAAGTACATTTGGTACAACTAGCTCCCATAGGTTCGACTATTCGGCTCGAATTATATACGAACGGCAAATGTTTAGTGAATATATTTATGATATGCAATATAGAGGAGTTAATTAAGAAAAAAACATATTTATGTCTACTTATTTGATAGAAAGAACAAAAATTGATAAAAAAAAAAATTATCCTACTGGATAAGCATGTTAGTCATCAAGCACCCTATACAATATATGGAATATGTAGGTAATGTGTCAATGATGTGATTCAAATTAAGAAGAAAACGAGTTTTGTCTAAAATTTTGACATGATATGTTTGTAATGATAAAATAAGATGAACTATCATTGGTTCAACTTGACCATTACACATTGAAATGTGGTTCTACTACAAAAACCCAAAACTCGCAGATGTTCAACTATGTCTAATTTTGGTTCGACGAATGGCATGAGTACAACTATGACCATTTTTCCCCGAATTTTGCAAATTTTTAACTTTTCCGCCGGCGGGAAAAGTAAGCGGGAATCTTATTATTTTTTTAAATTGTTTTATTTTATATTTCCGCCGCAATTTTCATTATTTGGTAATACTTTAAAAGAAGGAGAAAAAGTGAAACTGAATCAGATTTTCCCCAAATTGATTTCTAGGGTTCTTATTCTCGATCTCACTCTCTCTCCTCTCTCTCTCTCGCTTAGGTTTTTTTCTCTCTTCAATTCCTCTCTTCGATTCCTCTCTCTCTCTCTCATTTTCTGAGATGGGACCTCACAGTTGGGTTGCAACCTCATCTTCATCTTCATACTCACTCGACGAAAATACCATCAGAGATGGTGAGTACGGTATGCCGAGCTACTGTTACTGCGGTGGAAGGGTCATTAGGGAAACGTCTCGCACCGAACAAGACCCTGGAAAATATACTTCTCCTGCGAATTCCGAGCGGTTAGTTGATAATCATGTCTCCGAATTCTTTTTGTTTTGGGTTCTTTTAATGTATTCTTTCTAGGGTTTAGGGTTAATGTTAGATTCATGGTGAACTTTGTTATTTTTGATTGTAGAAACCCGGTTATCATATTCGGAAGTGGTGGGATCGTGTGATTGAAGAGGAGTTAGAAATACTTCACTCTGAATCAAGCGGGTTTCTGGGGAATTGAGAGTCTTCAAACTCACCACCGTGCCGGAATGGAGGAGTTAATCTCGGAGCTGAAGGACGGCGAGCTAACATTCATCATCATGGACATGCGTATTGCGGAGAAACGTATTTCCGACCTGAAGGAAGAACATGAACAGAGCAAAGCGGAGATTACAAGGTTGGAGTTGGTGATTGGTGATTTCAACAAGAAGTACAAAGCTGTGGAGAGCACGTTTGCGATTGCTGCTTTTACTTCTCCTTGCTTGGTTCTTAGTTTGGTTCAAGTAACAACAACCTTCTTTTCAATTTAGTTGCTGCGGATGAAGACCTCTGTTTTTCAAACTACTTAAGAGGTCTTCTTAAGTTGTGTTTAAGATTTGTGTAAACTTTGTTTGCAAACTATGTCTTTTAATTATGTTTTAATTATGTCTTTTAGTTTTTAACTATGTGTTTTTAATTATGTCCTTTCATTATGTCTTTGCAACTCATGTCAACAAAAAACAAACATTACAAGTCAAACAAGTCAAAAAAACTTATGTCTTTTACCATCACACGTAGTTGTACCTATGCAAACACACTTGAACCATCCAAAAACACAGTCGAACCTATGCAAACACAGTTGTACCAAACCAAATTGTTCCATAATATTACCAAACACACAGTTGTACCTATGCAAACATAGTTGTGCAAACTCAAAAACAGAAATAGTACACAATCCAAAGTCATAAAACATAGAGATAGTACACAATACATAACTTCCTAAACACAGAGACGTCAGCCTTGTTTCCTACGTGTGTTGTACGGTCTCTTTGCACCTCCTTTCCCTTTTCCACTTGTCTTGCCTTTTCTTTTTCTATTTGCCTGACCAGCCACATATGGAGATGAGAGAATAGCTGAAGGTTGATTGTCTCTCTCTTCTCTTTCTTCTTTGGCGGTTCTCTACTTGCTCCTCCTCCTCCTCCTCCTTCTCCTCCTCCTCCTCCTTGCTCCTCCTCCTCCTCCTCCGCCTCCTCCTCCGCCTCCTCCTCTTCTTCACTTATATCCCCTGCTACAACCTTCTCGGCCGGAGTCCGAAAAGCAGAACCTAGAGGAAAACTACTTGCTCCGCTTCTATCATGAGCCTTCTTGGTTCGTTGCTCATTGACATAACATTCAACCATATCAAGTCTCTCATCTAAGTCCCCAACCATTGCCTTAATCTCTGAGGTAACATCATCCATCTTATCCTCCAACTTCTTTGTTGCTTCCTCGATCAAAGCTTTCATCGTTTCCATCATTCCCTGAACTGATCCACCGTTGTCAGGTGCCTGCATTGGTACTTCATTTGCAAACTCGGTGATACCTCTGCCGGCCAAGTCAATCTTGTACAGAGACTCCCACCATATCTTCTTCTTTCTGGACGATTAGATAGTCTCTCCAAAGGTCGACTAAATGATCCACGTAGCCAATCCCATCATCACAACTAGGGTCTACGATTAGAGATGTCAATATGGTCCGTGGCCCGCGGGTTAGGCCTGTTTAGGCTTGCTACGGGGCGGGTTCGGGCCGGCATTTTCAAACCCGAAAATTAGCGGGCCGCGCGGTCTAACCCGATTTCGGCTTGCGGTTTAGGCGGATATATCCGCGGCGGGTGGGCGGGTTTTCGGGTCACCGCAAAAAAAAAAAGCTTTCTTCGCAAAAAAAAAAAAAAAAAATCAAAAATAAAAAAAGCCTTCTTCTCCAAATCTCAATCTTCCAGATCGACGATTTTTACTCCACTGAAGCCATTCTTGTTTGACTGAAATTGAGCTTTCCATGCAAGTGGTTGTAGTGAGGGAAATCGACACCTTGAATCCAAAGCTCAATCTCACTCAAATAATCTCGATTTGCGAGGCGGTTCCTAACTTCCGAGCTCCTCATGTTTGCTCCGCACTCCGGCGATTTCCTCATTGTTCCTTTTTCAGGTGAGCTATTGATGTGAGCTCCAATGAAATTGGGTTTTCAAGTGCTAGTGGTAGTCAATTTCATTGTTGCTTTAGTTGATGTGTGAATGATTAGTGCATTTCGTTTTTCAGTTTGAGATGCCAAATGTTTTGCCTCTTTGTTGGCAGAACTGGAAAAAATGACAAGGCTTTTACGAGAGAGATGATTAGGCTGGAATTACCGTTTAACTATCTAAGTTTCTAGGTGAATAGAGTTTGAGATGGTTTCACTTCACCTTTGCAATTAGACATTGACGAGATTTCTAAAAAGGTTTATATGTTTGTTTGAGAAAATCAATAGGCTTAATCCAGCAATTTTGGATTTTTTTAGTTAAGGTACTACCTAATGGGTTAATCTCTAGTTCCAATGCTCGTGTTTTTTGTATGTTTGCATGTGGGCTCAACGGCATCAGCTATCAACATACCAAGTATCACAAACGTAAGCTCAACTTTTAAACCTGGAGAAGTTATAGCTACCTTCTGTTGGTAAGTAGTTTCTACATTATGCATAGCCATGGATACTTGTAGGTGCAAACTCTTACACCGCTTAATTATTATGGCTGCATCCATATGTCTTTCCCTTTGATATAGAACCTGCTACTCCACTTGTATTGTGGTTGCTTATTGATATCACCATATTTTACATGATTTTACTATATATTTACTATGTTTTCAAACGGTTTTTGCAAGATTCTTTGCCTTTAGAGGTAGTTTTCTTGTATTTGTGGGATTTGAAGTCTTTGTAGGTGAAATAATCAAAAAGGATGCAAAAAGGAGTAAAAGAGCCCTAAATCAAGATCCATGCAAGTTTCCAAGTCAAGAAGATCATTTTATCTCCAAGTGTTAGTTCTCGCTGCGCGCAGAACGAAGCTTCGGAAGTTTGGCCGCGCGCGGAGGAGTTCCCGACGTCCAAAAGTTACGATCTTGATATGGAAAGATAGATACTTGAGTCATGCATCACGTCGAAGTGGAATGAAGCCATTTGGATCAACTATGAGGCCTAGACTTATTTTCTACCGAGACATGTCCGGTAAGCGAGTAAACGAAGCCCATGGAGGATTTGGAGTGTCTAATGGCCCGAGCAGCAGCGCCAAAGGCCTTGATCGAATAGAGAAGAGGCCTGGCTAATGTTTGGAGCTTTCCTTGGTACAATGTCGGCCCATACACGACGTGGAGAAGAAGGCTCGGCGCATGGAAACTTTCCTTTTCCGGCATGAAGAAAACCCTACGCGACTTCGCCCATATATACATGTTTTTAGCCGCTGAAGAAGAGAGAATCGATCGAGTCCAGTCCAAAAATACCAAAGAGTTCACGTGTGAGAGAGAGAGAAGAGAGAGAAGCCCTAGGAGATCGTCCAAGAAGAAGGAGGCGCCGCTCAACTCTTGTTCTTTCTTTTTCATTGTTTCCATTTCTATAAACTTGATCTTAAGAGTTTTCAAGGGAGAATCCGACTTTGTTCATCAATAGAGAAGCTTTCTTCATCCCTTTATCTCTTTTAATACTTGCATAATGTTTACAATCATGCTTTGCTTGCTTGTTTGCATCATGGCCGAGTAGATCTCTTAGTTAGGCCGAGGAGATCTATGGTGGCCGTGATGATTTGATTGTGTTGCAACTTATTGGGATTTATCTTATGGATCTTCACCTTTACTTGAGCTTAATGCATGATTACTCTACCGTACATCTAGTAATCTGATCTTAGAGAAATAGAACCACGACAGTGCTGAATCTAGATCTCAAAACTAGTATTTGGTGAGCAATAGATCATAGCCAACGAAAGCTGAGTTATGGTTTATTGTGAACAATTGAATCTTGAACCTTGTAATGCATGTTTGCAATTCTAATAGCCAACGAAAGCTGAGTATATTAGGTTGTTTTAAACATAGTGGTTGGAGCCACGACAGTGGAAAGACCATACACTAGTGATTCATGTTCAAGACGGCTCTACACACATCCCATGCAACTATCTTTTCATCATTGCTCCATATGATTGTCCTTTGCCTAACTCTTGTTTTAAATTGTTTACAAACTCACTCACATTTCTTTTGTTTTGTTTTCTCATTCTAGGTCCAAAACCACCTCATATTGCGAGCTAGCTACAAACCAATCTCACAAGGTGTTAAGCGAGAACACTTCCTCCTCGTGTTCGACCCCGACTACAACACGGCTGTGCACTTGCAGCTCATTAGTTGGGTTTATAAATTGTGAAAATTTGAGGCAATCTAAACCCGCCATCACTTATATGATCTTATTATTCCTGTTTTGCTCATTATATAGTGCAAAGCCAAATACTCTTTAAGATTGAGTACCGAACATTGCTAGTTTTTGTGGAAATCCTTCTCTGTTGTTTTCTTTCCTGTAATTTCACAGTCTCTCTGACCTGAGATATGGATTTCCAGGTTTTTGACAAACTCTTACCTTCGTGAGGAAGCTCCAAATAGTCATGTGGTGGAACAACGCGTTGAATGGCAAGTGTATGTTCTGATTTTACCTTTCTCACCTCTTTTTTGTTGTTGTTCGTTGAATAGGCTTAATAGCTAGAAACTTAAATAGCTAACTGATAATGTGCTCCGATAGTTTCTATTCAGCTAGAAACTTGAATTGCTAAACGATAATGCGATCCGATAGTTTCTATTCAACAACGGCATTGTTGTCTTGTTGATTTGGTTTGGTTTCATCATTGCTTGCAATATCCCTTGGTTTTTAAATATACATGTCAATGTTTTCTGTTTCAGTTTGGACTTATGCTGGAAGAGCAAATGATAGTTGGGGAAGAGACATGTTTGGTGTTCGATTTGGTTTCAGTTTAGAGTTTAGTTTGAATAAGATTTCATATTACTTTTGTTGCTTCTCAGAATAAGTTTACGTTTTCTTTACTTTGCTATCGGATATCTCTTTTTTCTTTCATGGTTGGTTTGATTGTTTTACACAATGAAAATTTCAGGTTTTGATTATTATGTCATGAGTTAATGTTTTGATTACAAGTTTTTTCAACACTTATTTGGCTCTGTTTTTATACAACAAGAGAAGCAATTGCAAAGTCTCAATTTCTATTGACCCGCGGGCTGACCCGCATAACCGCCAATACTAAGCGGGGCGGGTTAGGGTTGAGTATCTTGGAACCGCAGCCCACGGCGGGTCGACCCGCGTGATCTGCCGGAGAAGTGAAACCGCGGCGGTTCAGCCCGTTTCCGCGCGGGTTGGCCCGTTTGACATCTCTATCTATGATGCGCTCCATAAGGGTTTCCTCCTCTGAGGTTGGTTCCAAGATGCTTATGATATCCTGCGATTATGAACACATTAAATACACTCATGATAAGCTTGCTCAATTAAGATAAAATAAAGTACACTATATGATGACAAATACTCACCCTATTGCTCCCAATTGCTTCGTTTATCTCGGACAGTGGATAACCTTTCATGTAAGTCGCTTTGAAATTGTGCTTGCACAACCTTGGACAGTCGCTCTCTGCATGAACAGGTTCTCGAAAGGTTCGAGCAAGCGCAGGAATGCACTCATACGCAAAAGCCTGTACATAGAGAGTACTACAATATCACGACCCTATCCACGTAAATTTAAGGAAAATAATTAAAAGAATTACCTCAATAGGAAGAATGTATCCAGAAAAGGTCCATGAATCCTTCTCGTTGACGACGCCTCCCTTGAACTTCTTCGCTACTTTCTTAACTTCATCTACCAAATCATCAAAGGTCAAACGGCCCCAAGGGAATTTTTCGCACAAGTCCAAATCATCCACGACTTTGAGAAAGAATGGCTCTATGTTTCCTTTATATTTGGACTTCGCTTTCAAGACATTGGTTAAGAAATATAGCGCAGCCATCTTCTTCTTGTTAACAGCGCTCTTCACTTTCGTAGCTTCTTCTTCACATCTGCTATGGTAATATTGGTCCTTCTCTTGAACCACTTTTCAACAAACTTGAAATCGCCGGCATCCTTGTCCTTCAGCTCCCCATAGTTGCTAGGGTAGTCATGACAATCCAATCCACTCAGCAGCGCATGCTCCTTAATGGAGTACCTTAGGTACTCCATTAACCACAAACCATAATTCTCTGTCACTATCAGTACAAGCTAGGTGCAGAAGAAGCATCCAAAATCCTTTTGATTTACGGTTTTCCACCAGAGGCATATGAAAGATATGCTTAAACTGAGGATGACTAGAAAACCATTCCAACGCCTGAGGAATTTCTTGATGTCCTTGACCGTATCATTCACATAACACCTCGATGATATCCTACAACTCTTTCTATACTGATCTGGACGAAAGTAAAACTTCTCTGGTGGCAGTGGTATATATTCATCATCAACCTGCCGCCAAGTCAAACAATGTAGTGTTACTAATTATACTTTTACCCGAACCTACTCGAACTTACTCGAACTTGCATTGAAAATTGCGGAAAATTCTCAAAATCTACATTACCATGACCGGTGCAAAAGAAGAGACATGTGCATCTGAAGGCATTGCTTCAGCGTCTTCTGTTTGTTCCGGTTGAAGTGGTTCTTCCGGTGGGGTTTGATCCGGTTGAGGAATTTCTTCCTGCTGTTGTGGAGATTGTCGATTTTCCTCGCCATCATTGTCATCATTATACTCCTCATCCTGCTGGTTCAAAAAAATTTAAAACAAACCGATGTGATAATACTGCAGGGCGGACGCAGAAATATATTTAACATGGGGCACATAAATAAAAAGAAAAATCTCAAAATAATACTGAAAACTACAAAAGTCTGTAAATGATAAAAAAAAAAAAAAAAAAAAAAAAAAAAAAAAAAAACACCAAAAACTCCTACAAAACTACTCTAAGATCTTCCATGTTTTGGAACCTCTTAGACTATGAATGGGGAGGCGTTAATATGGTGGGCGGACTGCCTAAAGCGGAGGGATCACTTTAATTTTCCCATTCAACATATAAACTAATTATATTACTGTGCATAATAAAAAAAAGCATGAACCGCAACTTTACTCTTGTAATAATAGATCCACTAGTAACAGTATTCCAGCTGCAAATTTGCAGTGATACAGCAGTTGGCACACAACTCAACATGAGAGATAACTGTTTTTATTATTATATTTTGTCTTAAAATACATAATTTTTTTTTGAGCCCATATCTCAATTGCCCTATATAAAGAATTTCATGTTCTTCACTTAAAATCACACACACATTCAAAACCAATTCGTACTTGTTTCTCTTGCTACTGAAACCTTTTAAGAGTCTTACATTGCAAACCTTTCAAAAATCAATACTCAAGGTACGTAAAGTTTATAAACAAAATACACGTATGATTACTATGTATAAAAGTATACCTATAATATTTATATTTTATATTACAATCAAATGTATATGAAATTTTTCTTTTAGTTACAAGTAGACTTATACAGAATTTTAATTACTAAACATATATATATATTCTCAAATTCAACATTTATATCTAAAATAATCTAAAGATGTATATAATTTTTTTTAGCTGATATTTTAACCAAAACCTGTATATTTTATTTTTCTTTCACATTAAATCATAGATTTTATAATTTTATATTAATGTTATTTTTTCAGTAATTCTAAGATGTTATAATCATTTACTAACTGCCTGATTTTTGTAATGACATGCATGCTAGATTATAATTTATATGTGAAATCATTATAATTATAAATATTTATTTGTAAATCGTTATAGAGTTTTAAGAACAAATGAAAAATGATGTTTGTCACATTTGGATATATATAATAATCAAAATTATAATTATAAAAATAATTAAAAAACGTAAGAAGATGTGAGTAGTTTTAATTTACATTTAAAAGAAAATAGTTCTGTTAAAAAAATAAAATATATAATATTTATAAATCACATGTTTACATACTTTTTTTATCATGCATATATAGTTATGTCAGTTTTCAAAAATGAAAACAATTATATTAATATTTTTTTTAAATTGTAGATATGGCATCTAATCGTCAACGAAACTCAAGTTCCTCTGTGCAACCAAATACAAATGTTCCCACCGAAACATCAGCACGGGTAAATAATTCTAATTTTAGTTTTACTTTATTCGGTGTAATTATAGTTTGTATGAAAAAATATTTATTTATTTTTATCAAATTTGTAGAACGGAGCTAATTTTAAATGGACCCCTAGTCGAGAAAGAATACTGCTTGAGTTGTACGATCAAGCAGTTGCTATGAATAATTACCGTATAAAAGATCCTCTTCCTTTGGGTAAACAATTTATGGTTGAAAAGTTTAACGAGAGGTTCGATCTTGATATAACTTATAAGTTTTTCAAAGAAAAACTTGATATAAAAAATATACGCATCTTATGGAATCAACTGGCATCTCCGTTGATCCTCTTACCTCTGTAATTGAAGCATCAGAATCATGGTGGACAGATCGTGAAGTAAGTATACATAATCTTAGTTAAATTAACTAGAATTATTATTGTTTATTAATATTTTAATCTCCTAATAATAGGTGGATAAAATTGTACATGCATTTAAACGACAACCACCAGCACACTGGGATATAATGCAACGCTGTTTCGTATTATATAATGTTCATTCTCAGCCTCAATACTCTGTCAACCAAAGAAGAGAAGAGATGTTGAATGAAAATGTTACTAATGAAGATGATTTGTTCCCAGACCCCTTTGATAGTGAGATGCCACACAATCAAGTTCCGGAGACTGAAGGTACTGAAGAAGTGTATCGGGTCAACATTGATGAGGAAACCCACCTTCGAACGAGTTTACTTACGAACATATCCGGCGTAGTTCTTCAACCGTTGATCCAATCCAAATTCCAACTTCCAGAGTTCAAAACCGAAGTAGAGGAAGACGAGGGAGTACTTTACAAAGATCTGCAGGATCTCACGAGTCTCTCAAGGGAGTGGTCCACGAGGAAGTCGGAAAAAACAATCATTTGAGGCAACATTGACAGATACAATGGCTGGCTTTAGGGAGTTTCAGCGCCAAAGTATTCAACAATTACGCCCAAATGCATTTGACCAAGATGATTATAACGAGTTTGATGTGGCTGTGAAGATTTTCGAATCGATGGAGCTGCCCAATGACACAGACTTTTACTGGGCATGCATTCGAGTATTTAGAGAAGATGCATTCTGGCGTAAGTATTTCATTGATAGAGCTGATAAGCCTTTCGAAGAAAAGATACAATTTTTACAAGCTGTAACTGGACTTACACGCAATGATGAACGTGTGGAGAAGCGTTTAAGCTCGGGTAAACATTTTGGGAGTCAAAGTTCCGGTGGTTGTCATTCAGGTAGTCCATCTTCTGGTGGTAATAATTCATGGGGTCAGACTTCAAGTAGTCAATGGGGTCCTGGATTTCAACAATGGGGCACACCACCAAATGCTCAACAATGGGGTACACCACCAAATGCTCAACAATGGGGCACACCACCAAATGCTCAACAATGGGGCAACACCAAATACTTCACAATGGGGAGCACAACAAAATACAACAATGGAGTTCACCGCCAATAGCTCCACGATGGGGAACACCTCCAAATAGTCAACAATGGAATTCGCCACCGATTGCTCCACAATGGGGATCATCATCACATCCTCAACAATGGGGTTCGTCGCCAAATTCTTCACAATGGACCCCTCAAATGAATATTCAACATGGATTCCCAAAGGAAACTCGACATGAAACAACAAGAACTTCACCTGAAAGAGTTTCTGCAGAAGTTTCGATGCCTAATCCAACAAATATGGCAAGAGGAGTATCACCAGAATTTGGTTTACAAATTATGCTTCAACCGAACAAATATCACGACCACGCAAAGTAGGAGGATTATTCAACATATGGGGAACCAAACGAGGACCTAATTTGAATGAAAGCCATCAAAGCGATTCAAACAATGAAGATTAGATTATTAGCATGTGTGTTTTATTAATAATGATTGTTTCTTGTTTTCTATTTTTAAAATGTATTCATGTTGTTCAAAAAAAAAGTATTCTATGTATTATGTGTTATTGATTTCTGTTATCAATTCGATTCTAATCTTCTTCTTTTTTTTTATCAAAATATAGGCTTTTCGTATCTGTCAGCTGCGAGCACAAGGAATTCAATTTCTGAATTATGAAGAGAGAGTTGAGTTGTGGAATTTGGAAAACGAGCAATTTGAAGAGTTAATAATTCAACCAGCATTGAGTTATTACAATCGGTATTTTGCAAGGGGACCAGTTCAGACAGATAATGGTTTGGGTGGAGAAATATTTGGCGTCGATTACAAGAAGATCATGCTGCTTGTCTTCAGTTACTACGAATGTCGTTGAACTGTTTTAGAACATTGTGTGATAAACTGGAAACAAATTATGGATTACAGCCAACCTTAAATGTAAGCATTGAAGAGAGTGTGGCTATGTTTCTACGGATATGTGGACATAATGAAGTTCAAAGGGATGTTGGATTGCGTTTCGGACGAACTCAAGAAACAGTGAAGAGAAAATTCTTTGAAGTTCTTAACGCGACTGAGTTGCTTGCTTGTGATTATATCAACACTCCAACAAGTGAAGAACTTCTTAGGATTCCTGAACGGCTTATAATGGATCGAAAATATTGGCCATATTTTAGTGGATTTGTTGGAGCAATGGATGGAGTTCATGTATGTGTTAAAGTCAAGCCAGAATTGCAAGGAATGTATTGGAATCGACATGACAGAACTTCATTCAACATCATGGCAATATGCGATTTGAATATGTTATTCACATATGTTTGGAATGGAGCGCCAGGATCATGTCACGATACCGCAGTGCTCAACACGGCACAAGAAAAGGATTCTGAATTTCCTTTGCCTCCGGGAGATAAGTATTACGTGGTTGATTCCGGTTATCCAAATAAACAGGGTTTTCTTGCTCCTTATAGATCTTCAAGAAACACGGTTTTTCGCTATCATTTGTCTCAATTCGAGAATGGTCCCCCTCCACGGAATATGCAAGAACTCTTTAACCGTTGGCATGCATCTCTACGTTCAGTTATTGAGAGGACATTTGGAGTTTGGAAGAAGAAATGGAGGATTCTCTGTGAATTTCCTAGATATAATATGAAGGTACAAAAACAAGTGGTAATGGCTACAATGGGATTACACAATTTTATACGGATTTCAAATTTTACAGATGATGATTTCGGTGAACAAATGGGACACGCAGAAATGGAGAATATAAATTTTGAGGGTGATTTAGGTGACACAGAAACTACAGAAATAGCTGAGGGAGATCTTATGGCGAACATCAGAGATAATATTGCAAAATCGTTATGGGCAAATCGAAATAATCTGTATTAAAAATGTTAAGAATGTGTTGTATTATAATTTTTTTCTACTGTTTGATTTTTTTGTATTTGAAATTATATTTAAAGTTATATTTTTGTTTAAAATATATATATGCAATATTTTTTTATTATATATATGAACAGTGTTTTGAACCGCTAATTATCCACTTTCACCATTCATATATATTTTTTGGAACGCTAGAACCGCTTAAACCGCTAGATCCGCACTTGTACCACTTGATCCGCTAGAACCGCTTTTGATCCGCTTGATCCGCTCGATCCGCAACGCTTGATCCGCTTTCTCCATTCGGAGCCTTAATCACTATATCATTTGTCACATTATCAAAAAGATCTTTCTCAATAAGAAAAACTAAAATTTCATTTAAAAACTGGTCACTCATTTGATTGCGTAAGGTAGTCTTCAAATTGCAACTACTTGATCAATAGGTGGAGAATTATGATTTCAATACCACCAAAAAATTAACTAATTAAATTTAGCTGCTTCTAAAAAGTAGTGAAATTAGAAAGTATAGGAAGAAAAAAGTCGACCGAGTCGTAGGAGATGAACAGTAGAGAAATAAAATAGGGTTTATTTATTCCGTCTACACTAATTATTTTTTTTAGGCTAGATTCTAATAATTTGTTTTAGGCTAGATTCTACAGCATGGGCAACAGCACAGGAAAGACAAGTGCTGGGAAACCCACACGAGGTGATACAAGGGGAAACACCTCGCACAAGAGACATTTGTCAAGTGGATGGGGCTTGGAAGGAGACAGAATGTCGAGCTGGGTTAGGATGGTATTATTTTAACACGGATACCCAGGAAAAGTTGATGGGTACCTTTAATCTACGGCGGGGGATCTCGCCGCTTCAGACAGAGTTGGAGGCCCTTATCTGGGCAATGCAATGCATGTTAAGGCATAACAAATTAATTATGGTATTCGAGACGGACTGTTCCAATGTGGTGAAGATGGTGTCTAAACCAGAGTAGTGGCCAGCGTTCGCAATACTTTTAGACGAGGTTGATCGGTGAAAGAGGAGTTTTACTTCTATTTCCATCGTGCACACACCTAGGACGAACAACACGAAGGCAGAAAAGTTAGCACGAAGTGCTCGAGCTCTACCTACTGATGTATATTATGTAAATTCTGTTTCACCAGCTTAGATTCATGAACTGTTTTAGAAATAGAGGCTGTTGAAAAAAAAAAAAAAAAATAGTTGGGCTGAACATTTTTATTATTAAATGGGCTCTTGGCCTCTGGGGGTGGGGCACATATTGCACTTTTTAGCTATAACTAAAGAATATTTTAAAATTAAGAAAAAAAAAAGCATGGGGCACGTGCCACACCCAACGTCTACGTGGGTCCACCCCTGAATAACAATCAACTGTTAAATACTCGAACGTCGTTGAACTTAGTCAAAAATTAATCCCAAAGATGCTACATAGTTGAACTTAGTTGAACTTAGTCGAAAATTAATCCCATAGATACTACATAATCAATCAATCTCCATTATCAAACTCAGAATCAGATTAATCATAATAAACAAGATTCAATATAATACCTTATTATCCAGTTTGTCACCACGCCATTCCTCGTCTGATACCATTTCCTTCTCCTCTTCCTCTTTTTCTTCTTCGTGCTCTTCTTCTTTTTCTGATTCATCTTTGTTTTCCGATTCAACTCCTTCTGAGCTTATCTTCTCCTCAGTTTGGGCTTCTTTTTCTTTGGGATTTGCTTCTCCGGTTTCCGCCTCTCCTGTCACCTCCGTCTCCTATGTCGGCGGATATTTGTCGGTCGGTTCCGCCGTTTCTGAAGGCTTCGACAGTTCCCCCGCTTTTGTCGGATTCGACAGTTCTTTTGTCGGCTTTGTCGGTTTTGGAACCGCCCCTTCTGTCGAGTTCGACGGTTCCGCCGCCGCTTCTATCGACTTCGATGGTTCTGCCGCTTCTGTCGGCGGTTCCATCGTTACTTTGTTGCTTCTCAACACCATCATTGCAAGATTCACTCTAGTTCTTCACTTGCTCCTTCCTGTTACGAGATTCTTTTTTCGTTTTCGAATTGTGATTTAAAATTTTTACTTGCAAAATAAAAAACGGCGATACAGTTAATTTAGGGATTTTTTAGGTTAAAATCTGATTAAACTGGGTCGAGTTTGCAGTTTTCGTGTAATACCCTGGTTGGATTTGTAAATACTTCAACTTTGCTTTGGTTTTAATGTCTTTTACTTGTTTATTGATTTAAAAGAAAATGGAAAAGAAATTATTTTTTAAGTTGTGGCATTTTGGCAACCGGTTCGCTGATTTGTGGCAAATGAGAATCTTTTTCGTTCAACGATACATTAACCTCTTCTTCGGAACTGTTCTTTAAAGCGACAAGATCATTAAATTCGGGTTTCACTTGCCCTTTAATAGCAGAAGATGCAGAAGTAGACTCGTTAAAGGATGAAGGAGCAATAAAGAGATGTTCCTCTACTCCAAGTGTTGGTTTGATAGCTTCTTCTATATGAAACTCAGGCGGTATAAATAGCTCAGAGCTCTCATCTTGTCTGTCTCCCAATGGAACCGGGTCTGGCAGAGACAATTGGCTAACGGTTAAATCAAACGCCGTAACCGAGGTGTTCCTCTGTTCTCGCGCTGCTGCTGCAAAGAATACAACCGCCAAAAGCTGGTAACAATTCTAATTAAACACGGAAAAGGTAAAGAAAAGAGTTGTGATAAACCTTCAAGTTCATGGTTTGAGGTGATGAGATCGAGCTCCAAGAGATCCAAAAGACGACCAAGAGCGACTCCACTTGTCTAGTTCTCTGGCTCTTGCCCGCCTACTAGTTTCAGCCTTCCTCGGTTAGCTGTTCCGCCCCAAATGATCCCAACCGGTCGTGGCTTCTGACCATTTGGACTCCTTAAGAGAAAAAGGCTTCCGCTGTCACCTTCAAGGTCAAAAGTCTGCTGGTTTTCACCAATCACGAGAAAGTCCGTGAGGAAATAGATCCCTTTCTCGTCGTTGCATTCCAAAGCGTAAGCCATTATGGTTCCCCTTGTATATCCAGAGCTCCTCCCAACTTCGGCAACTTGTTTCCCAAGAAGACTATCGATTGAGGACTGCAAGTCTATAACGTGAACATTCCCTATCTCGCCAATGCCCTTTATCACCGTGGTTACATTGCTCGTGTTGAAATCTTCTACAAAAGGAATAAAGGCACCATCCGCTCTCACAAATGTTTATGCAGATGACCTGAACATAGTCAGTATATGAAATAAGATAGAGATTTGCAATGAAGTTGAAGGCTCTGAGTAGCCTGGATTAGTGCCAGCGAATATGCCGTACCACTGGTCATCAGTGATAAATGAGGTTACTCTCTCAACAGCACCGAGGTAGACACCATGTCCAAGGCCTGAAGGCAGAGGATGAAACATTTTCTGGCTTGGATAATCCAAATCAACAGCGACATGCCGGTTCGTAAGGAAACCAACCTCATGGTTACCTGTTCTGCTTTTCACTATGGCTCCCAAGGTTCCATACGTTTCTTGGCTTGCAACCTCCACACAATACATAACAAACAAACTGAGACTTTACGGTAACGGTTTGCAGAAGACGGAGAATGAAAAGAAGAAGACATACCTGAGAGCCAGAGCCAATGCAGGGATCACTGCCTCTCAAGCCATCTACAAGTTCGTTATAAACCTGTTCCTTTGGCGTTGCAACAGGAGAACCATAATATTGAAACTCCACAACGTCTACATCGCACCATATCCCTCCAGGACCCTGTTAATGAAACGTATACATATATATGCTCTGATCAAATTCCTGAAAGTAAGGCTATGTGTGGAATGGAATGAAATGGATACAAGATAACACAACCTCGAGAGCGGAAGGAAGGCATTGCATTAGATTAAGCCACTGCCTATGGACTTTCCTAGCAACAAAGATAAATATAGCCGGAACATTCGTCAGAACGCCACGGCTGATCCGGAACCCAACTGCAATACCGAGGCTGAAGCGGCGCAGGATTTTACTGTGAAACGCTCTGATGGTCATGAGCTCAAGCAAGGTGGTGGCTTGTTGTCCTGAAGGAAGCCTCACAACAGTTCGATTGGAATTTAGTTGCGGTTTAAATTGATTTGATTCTGGTTAATTGATTTAATTGAATTAAAATGGTTTGATTTAATTAGGTTGGTTTAATTTCGGATTTAATTAATTAATGGTTAATTTAATTAATTAATTGGTTTAAAATAACTATATTAATTATTTTATTTATGTAAAATTATTATTAAGTTAGGAGAATTATTTAATAATAGAGAATTGGTATTTTTTAATATTTATTGGAATTTATAATAATTATTTAATTGCTAATAAATTGCGTAATTGGCCCGTAGGCAGGGTGATTGACTCACTAAGTATTTATTAAATACTTTTGCAACTCCATTCGATTGCGGAATCAAAGCTGAAGAGGTGATGATAGAATTTTATTGTTTTGCATTATTTATTTGAACTTGTATAGGTTGTTAGAATTATTTATTTAATTCCATTATTTGCTTCCGCTGAATAATGTCATTTGACTGGATTATTTATTTAATTTATTTTCAGACTTCCGCTAGAATTGTTTAAGAATTATTAAAAAACAAAATATTGGTTGTTTCAGGAAAAATCTTACATCCATGTTGTGAGTTCTAGACGGCACCTATTAACCCCCTAGTAAACCGATTGCAAAACCAAGTAGACCATACTCAGGTTTTCTTTGATAGAATAACCCATCTCGATTGTATTTTAAAGATAGCAAAAAATATGTTATGTCGGTCCAATGTCGACGCGTAGGCGATGATCTGTATCTTATCAGCAGATTAGTAGCAAAAGCTATATTTGGTCGAGTACAATTTGCAAGGTACATGAATGCGTCGACTGCGCTCATATAAGGTACTTTTGGACCTAATATTTCTTTGTTATCTTCACAATGTCGAAATGGATTCTTGCTAATATCAAGGGATCAATTGACCATTGGAATAGTCAAAGGAGTTGTTTTTTTCCATTGAAAAATGTTTGAACACTTTTTGGTGTAATTTAATTGATGCACAAATATTCCATTTTAGAAATGCTGTATCATTTTACTCAACAAGTATTTGCTTAATCGATTATACCATATATACCTGGATTGCTTTAATATGTAAAGTGGTCGTTGTAATTTGAGCGAACATATTTATTTAGATGCTTTTGGCATTTCTAGGATCTTTAATCTTTGTAGAATTTTAATGTAAATGTCACTATCTAATGATCCATAACGATATGCAATCACTACATGTATTAGGTACATCTTTTAGATGTCGTTAAACTCAGCAAATATCTAAATGTGATAGCATACGGTATGTCTCTCTTCATGTTTCTACAAATTAGTGCTTCTCAATCTCGAGAAGGGGCTTTGCACCAAAACAAAAAGAACACAAGGAATGGGCGTAGATGTATTTTAAACTTGTCTGCATTGAGTTTTGGATCTGCCTCATTTATTAGTACACGACGCCCTCTGTATCGCTTAAGAAAGGGTCTTGTTTCATACTTTTTACGAGGCTTACAAGTAAGTGAAGTGCAAAGGTCGCAAAAGAATCATCAGGGTCCTCGGTGGGAAAAAAATTAGGGAGCAGATGTTACAACTAATTGATATGGGAGATAATGCTTTTTTTTACCTAATCAATCGAACTAAGGAAGGAAGATGGCTTACTTTAAGCATCCAGATAAATACATCACGCTTAGGTTATATATTAAAGGAAAGGCAGATTGTTGATTAGTGAGCTTCCATTTAACATCTAGACAAAGTAAAAGCCAAAAAAAACATTGTCTTCTCCTAGAGATGGCTTTCCTCAGGTAAGTCTTGATTCTTCTTCGAGCTTTCTACTGCGTAGTCAGTCATCTTCTTATCCCCCTAAAAGAAACCACGAATTATTGAGAGGTTTTAATTTGTTACCAGGAAATCAAGAACCAAATACATGTATTTGGTTGGATTATAGCTAACCATGCAGAAACTTACGTTGATATACAGAAGAATGAATGAGCCCAAGGAGAGAAGCTGAAGAATATGGTATCTCGTACTGGGTAACATTAGTCTCTGTATTCCAAAAGTAACCATACCCGGTGCTAATATCCACAAGACCTTTCCACGGCTTAGGGAGATTTGGATCCTCAGGTGCGTAGCAGATTCTCGAAGCAGGTTCTAAAAGAGAAGGTGGTACCTCCACCTCGTCACCAGTCTCTGTATTCAGAATGCATCCACAGCCAGTCCCACTAACCTTACGATAAATCCATGGACGAGGGAGAAGACTAGTCATACATGGCGGCTTAGGGAGATTTGGATCCTCGGGAGCTAAAGAAGCCAATGCCATTACCGGAGTACTGTAAGAAGAATATGGATCAAGAGGGCAGTCGGGTCGCATATTGCAGGCGCCGGCCTCTCCATCTCTATCTGGACAATCAAACCTAGAAAATTTAAGACTCTCCCATCCTTCCTCATCACTTCCACTAAGTTGCAGCAGCTTCTCTACTGCGTCTATTCCCACAAGGGTAACGTAAGCGTTACTATCAAAGGCAGCAAACAAAAACAAATCTTTGGTTAGCATTTGATGATATGAGAGCAAATTGGGAGGAAGAAGCCACAAACCTGTAGACAAAACCTTGTCCATCTTCGCAGATAGCTATCATCACACGTCCACATTTAGAGAGTTGTTCATACAGATATCTCTCGACATGCTCCAAGGGAAGCCGAGTGTCATATCCACCAACAAGAATCCTAATAATTTGATAATTTTATCAACCAACATGACAAGAACCTATCTTACAGAAAAAATCTACATAAAAAAAAAACTGACGTGTGATGTTGTATATTGTCTTCGTATCTCGTAGGAGCAAACTTATGGTCAAGGTGTTTGGCATGAAACGGGTAAGGCTCAACGACTAACTTGTGTCCTCTGCCGCTGTAACTTCCACTTAGTTTCAACGCCTTCTCTTCTGCACCTTCTCCCCGAAGATAAATCAAGGAAAATCTGTAAAAACAAATTCAAGAGTTTATCGCAAAAGCAAAGCTGATAAAAAAAAACTGGAGGAAAGAGACAGCCACAAACCTGTTGAGAGTAGTGCCTGGAATGTAACCAGTGTATCCGGGAATATAAACATGCATCACCTCTCCACATGAAGAGAAGTGTTCTCTCATAGAGTTAACGAAATCATAGCCAGAACGCGAAGTGTCGTATCCCTCTACGTAAATCCTGCTCACGATTCTACAGATTGCAGGTGAAAATAATATTAACATGACAACAACACATCTTACATATACAGCAGAGATCTAAAGATTGTATCAACTTTTACCTGCTTTTTCGAATCTGTGCAGCATCACAATTGTTCAATTCCGGAACCTAGGGTACACAAAGATATCTAATCAGATATTTCAAATTCAGAAACAGAGATTCAAGAAAGAAAGCCATAAGGATCGAACAAGAGATTACTTTGGTGGCGTATCCCTCCATGGACAAGTTGAGAAGATGCAACTGCGCTAGGTTTTCGAGGGGGTGAGGATGATATTTTTCTAGAGGCTGTCCAAGGGGAAGAAGGTATTTATAGTCTTTTTTTTTTTCGTTTTCCTTTATTTTTTTAATTTTTTTTTCAACGAAATAGAATTATATTGAAGTCAGTGTAATACACAGAGGAAAGAAAATATGGAACTAGAGGGTAATAATTGTAACTTGATGTATTCCTTAAACTACGTTCTGCTGCTTGATTTGCTCCTCTTGGAATCCATGCGAAGACCACTTGGTCAAATCTTTCTTTCCAATTATAAACCCCAAAATCCAATGAGTTAGAGTTAACCAGATTTACTAGATTCATGCAATCTCCTTCAGCGATAGATACATTGCTTTAGGATAATTCATAGCAAAATACTAGTATCAATAAGAAGCTGTACTGATTCATTTTCTCACCCTTCTTATCATACAAAGGCACAGATCAATCCCTGGTTTTAATTCTGAAACAGGCAAGCATGTTTGTCCCCCAAAATCATCCTTCTCAGACATATATCATACTCTCTGACTTCGATCCTAAGCAGCGCAAGCTCTGGATATGTTAATGGGAAACTGAATTCCTCATCCCAAATTGGATACCAATTGTCTGTTAGATGTGAAATTAACACATTTTCCTGAGCCCGTGGCCGTCACAATTAGTAACAATAGCAAGATCCAGCCCGTCTTCAACCTTAACCTCCTTAAATAAATGGCAAGTCTTGAGGAGAAAGACAAATCTTTGGGAAAATGTACAGAGAGATATATGCCGACTCGAATAATGGAAAGAAATCAAGGACAAGAGTGATGATGTCTTGATGCATGCCTTCATCATAGATGAAGTTTTCCAATTTGAGAAAAATGAATAATATATTGATGAAGCTGACCTCCTCTCCTTATAAATAGAGGACCCGTCATTATTTGAAGATCAATCCAAAAATTCTGTGAAAACACCTAGAGCAATTGCTACTCTTTTATCCTTTTTCCTCTTGTTCTCGTATTCTGTCTCGTTAAAGCCTGTTTGACGAGACCGTCCTCTTGTTTTCATACTTTGTCTCGTCAAGCCAGGCTTGACGAGACCACCGTTCTTGTAATCCTTTGATACTTTTCGAGTAAAGGTCTCCAGTTCCCTTTTTTCTATTTTAACAAAATTTAGGCCTTAAACATAAAAAAAATCAGGGGCTCAAATTTTTGTGTAATACATGAACACTATATATAGCGATCAATTCTGTAATACATGACCACTATAGCGATCAAGTCTTAGTTGTGAGTTTTTGGTGAGACTTAAAAAAAAAAGTTTTTTGTGAGACTTAAAAGGAAAAGATAAAGCGTTTCTCTATATATTTGAAAAATTGAAAAGACTATCTTTATATTATTAATTGAGAAGTACATTCTAATGTTTGGATACAAGAATTAGAGAAACATCTATTTGGATAGAAGAATAAATGGAAACAAAAGTTGTTTGGATATAAGAATAAGAGAAAAATCTATTTGGATAGAAGAATA